ACTTATTAAATCTAAAGTTTATTAATATAAAATATAATAAGGCTATTATATTAATATACTAAAAATAAAAATATTAATATTCAATTTATACCTATTAATAATAGGTTTAAAACACCTATTAAATATATTTAAAATAATAACTTTATAAATTAATAATACTTTAACTTTAACTATTAAAATCTTCTCTAAACTTTATAATAAAAAGGTAAAAAAGGAAAAAATTTTATATAAACTAAAAAAAAAACTAACTAAAAATAACTCACTTAACTTTAATAAAGCCCATATAATAAAAGAGGGCAACCAAATATATATCCACTAAAAGAGCTAAAGTATAAAAATCGAATTAATTAATATAAAAACATCAAATTAAGTATATCACTATACTAAATAAAGGGTATATAAAGTGTATCTAATATTAATATACCAACTAAAAGCCTTATTCAATTTATTAATTATAACACAATTATAAAAACTAATAAAAAATAACTATATAAAGTTAAATAAATGTTTAAAATAATAAATAAAAAACCTTAATTAAGGACTCTAATATATATTAATTAACTTAATAAAAGCTAAATTAGTAATCTTTATAAATAAATTATTTACTAATAACACCAACCTTAACTTATAAATTAAATTTATAATTATCCTAATAATTAAAAAGTAAATAATAATAAGATATATTAAAATGTAACTAATAATATTATTTACTAATCCTCCACTAAATATAAATATATTATAAAAAGTATATTAACATCTAAAATCTATAAAATAGTTAATAAATTTAACATAATAATAATCATTTCTATTATACTTTATAAAATCACTAACCAACTTAAAATAAACTATATACCTCTTATTATCTATATAAACTTATTCTCACTATATAAATATCTTATTAAGCTAAAAACTATAAAAAAACACCTAATAATTAATATAATAATACTTTATTAATCCTATAAATAAATAAAAATTAATAAAATCTACTAAATTTATAAAAATAATAACCCTATTAATATAATAATAAAATTAATACTAAATAAAGCCTTAAAAACTTATTTCCACTAATAAACTTCACCTTAAAATATAAAAATATATTAATTAAAAGACATTAAAGCCTAATTTTTAAAATTATTTATAAAAATACCTTTAAAATAGTTAATTAACTTAATAAAACTAAAAATACTAAAATTTATAAAAATAAAATAAAAAGTCTATAAACTAAAAGTAGAATAATAATTAAAAAAACTATAAAATTATAAATTATAGTAAAAAAATTAATAAAAATTTAAATCTATATTATACTAATTACCTATATCTTACCTTATAAAATAACACTATTAACTAATAATTAACTTTATATCCCTCTTAAAGGTAAACCTTATAACTAAAGTTTAAACTAATAAACTATACTAATAAAATTAAAAATATATATATTATCTATTATTATATAAACACTTAAATTACTAACTTATATATAATAAATATCTTTAACTAAATTTTATAATTATAACACCTATATTACTAATTTATTTAAAAATATTATACTATAATATAACTAATAATAATAATATAATAATAATATAATAACCTAATAATAAACTTTTATTCTAAAAATTATAAATAATTAAGCTTTTATTTTTATTAAATAATTTATAATATTAAAGTTAAAATTATAAAAATCTACAAAATCTATAAAAGTCTAAATCTATATTTATTTATATTATTCTATAAATAATAAAAACACAAACCTATATATATATTTAAAAATAATTACTTATATATTTAAATTTAGAATTTAAAAAAGCAATCTTTTAAAATTAAAAATTTATATAGAGAAAATAATATATTATTACTAACTTTTAAAGTGATAATTAAAACCAAAACATATAAACTAAACCTCCTAATAATAGCAACAACACTTTATATATACCTTTATTTAATAATAATATAATAAAATAAAAATTATAAAACTCTAAATTAAAATATAAAAGGGTTTAAAGTTTAACTTAATTTTAAAGGATTTTTTCTTATATTTTTCTTTATAAATTTTAAACAAATTAATATAATAATTTTAAAACTACTAATATAAATTAAGTTAATTTAATAAGTTAATAATAATAAATAAATTATACCTACTTATATAAATAAATATATTAAATAAATCACCTTATTAAACATAACTTTACTATACCTTTTAAAAAGCGATATATATAATTAAAATAAATATAACTATATTATAAATAACCTCTATTTCTCTTATATATATATATAAAAAGCCAACCAATACTTAATTTAATTTTTAATTTTCTAAGCCTCTCTTTAAGTTTTCTAACCTTTCTCTCTTTAAATAAATTAAAACTTTATATTTTTAAATTTAAATTTAAAATTCTTATAAATTTTAATATACTTTAAATTAAACTTATAATCTCTTAATATTTTAAAAATATATTAACTATTTTAAATAATAATAAGTTCTTTTAAAATAAAAATCTATCTTTATATAATTATAAATTTAATTATTAATAATTATTTCTTCTTCTATTTATAATAAAGCTATTAGAACTATAAACTTAAATAATAGAGTATAGTTACCTTATCTAACTATCTCTTAGTTTAATAGGCTAAGTAACTATTTTTAAGTAGTTTTATTTAATAAGTGTTTATTTATAAAGTAGAGCTAGAACCCTTAAAGGAATAGTAGCTTTATCTTTATTTATTTTAATTAACTTATATTTATATATAGCTTAAATTATATAGTGAATTTAATACTTATATATAGTACTTACTAATGTTAAACTAAGTAGTTTATAGTTAATAATACTAACTTAAATTAATATAACTTAGTATATTAATATAGGAAGGTGTTTTTAATAATAAATAGCGTTATAAATAGTAATAATAGATTATATTAAACTATACTTAATTTATTTAAATTAGTATTATTAACTTTAATATAAATTAATTTATTAAAGATTAAAGTTATTATAAATTATAAGTTATTTAATTTTAATATTATTAAGTATTATATATAATATTATTATATAATTTAAGTATAAATTAATTAAAATAAATAAAGATAAAATTTATTACTCCTTTAATTAAAAATATATATAAGTTTTAACTTTATTTAAATAAATATTTTTTAATAAACTTAAAAGATAAATAAAACTATTTAAAAGTAGTTACTTAATTTATTATATTATTAAATTAAAAATAATTAAATAAAGTAATTATACTTTATTATTATATATAATATTTAAATTTATAGTTTTAATAACTTTATTATAAATAAAAAAATAACTATTAATAATTAAATTTATAACTATATAAAAATAGATTTTTACTTTAAAGAAAAGTTATTAATATTTAAAATAATTAATATATTTTAAAAAATTAAAGAATTATAAGTTTAATTTAAAGGAAATTAAGATTTATAAGAATTTTAAATTTAAGTTTAAAAGCTTTCTTTAAATTTAATTCCTTTAAAAGAAAAATATTAAAAGATTTTAAAAAAGTTTAAATAAAGTTAAAAATTAAATAAAGTTATAATATAATAAAATAATTAAATAAAAATTAATTAAAATTTTATAATTATAAATTTTTAACCTTATATTTAAAAAGTATAAATTTATTATATAATTTATATAAATTAATTAAAATAAATAAAAATAAAATTATTATTTTTTAATTAAAAATATTTAAATATTTTAATTTTATTTTATAAATAAATCTTTATTTAATAAATTTAAAAATTAATAATTTTATAAATAAAATTATTTAAAAATAAATATATAATTTATTATATTTTAAATTAAAATATACTTTATTATTTAAATTTATAATTTTAATAATTTATAAATAAAATAAATATTATTAATAATTAAATTTATAATTATATAAAAATAAAGTTTAATTTAAAAAAATTATTAATATTTAAATTTATAATTATATAAAAATAAAGTTTTATTTTAAAAGAAATTATTAATATTTAAAGTAATTAATGTTTTTAATAAAATTAAAAACTTATAAATTTAATTTATAAATAATTAAAATTTATAAAGTTTTAAATTTAAATTTAAAAGTTATTTTAAATTTAAATTCTTTAAAAAACTATTAGAAAGATTTAATTATAAATTTAAATAAAATAAAATTAAATTATAAATATTATAATTATAAATTCTTTAATTTTATTTTTTAAAAAATAATTTAAATATATAATAAATTAAATAATTATTTTTAAATAACTTTATTTTTAAAATTAATAAATAAATCTTTATTTAAATAAAATTAAAACTTTTAAAAATAATACTTTTATTTTTATTTATTTTAATTAATTTATTTAAATTTTATAATAAATTTAATATTTTATATAATAATATTTATTAATATTATATTCATTTATAATTTATAATATTTTTAATTTTTAATAAATTAATAATATTAATTAAAATTAATATAATTTAATATATTAATATAAAAATATTTTTAATAATAAATAATATTATAAATAATTATAAAATTATTATAAAAACTTTATATAATAAATTTAATTAAATTAACTTTTAAAAATATATTATATTTTCTTTTTTAAAACTTTAACTATTTACTTTTAATTTAATAAAAATTAAAAAATATAAACTACTTATATTTTTTAATTTCACTATTAAGCTAAAAGTAAATAGTTAGAGTCTAAAAGGGATAAGATATAATATATCCTTTAAAGATTAACTTAATTAAGTTTATTATATAAGTAATTAAAAAAATATAAATAATTTATAATATTTATAATAAAAGAATATTTTAATAAGAATAATAGTAAAAATAGGTAGTTTAAATGTAGGTGGGGTATTTTACTATTAATTTAAAGATTATTTAACAGCCTAAGCTGTTTAGAGTTTTATTAAATTAGGCTACTGGCCGACTAGCCGATTTTAATAAGCTAAGTTCATGTGCGGCCTGGTTTGGCTCAGTTTGGTCCCGACAGGACTTATACTTCGATGACCGAAGCTCGCATTGCCAAACCCAAATCAATCTCAACTGGTTGTTACCTGTCTGGTCCCACTATGCCGGAATGCCGAAAGTTTGTATGAACTCATCGAAGTGAACACAGTGCACGGTCCGGGCTCGGTGTAACCATTAGTATTTGCAAGTCATAAACATCAAATTACATCGCTTTCAGCACATCAGCAGTCTGTTCAATTTTCTCTTCAGCCTGGAGAGACTGAAACTTCAAATTTCGCGCACAACGTTTTGAAGCAAAACATTTCATGCATAGCCACTTAATCATACCAACTTGAACATGTCTATGCAACTAACTCTTGAGGGTCAGTTAACCATGGCACACACTAAGCATATGATCTAGCTGACTCGCATTCAGATCGTGCGGGATGTGAGGCTGCTCTGTTTGATTGGGCTGAGAGCTTTGATTCAAAGGCAGGCATCCTAGGACCCATGCTGTCAAGGGCATATATCGCTGACTCAATTCCAGGACTGGGAACGTCTTCGAACTTGTGTCGCCCCGTCACTGAGAGTAGACTACCGCTCTTTTCTCAACAAGCTATGGGAAGACATGGCTGCTGATGAGTTCGCGCGCATGGTTTCAAGTCCTCATGTGCTGGGTAGCCCTTTACTGATGACCCAGCATTTCGTGGGGACATCTAAGTGGGAGAAGATGTCAAGTGATGAAATCGTCGGACATCACCAGATGCGAGTCGCTCATCAGAAGTATACAGATCCTACTCTTAAGACTGTAGCCATTAAGGGACATTCACATGGGAGCGCAACCATATGGTATAAGAGAGTAGACGGGGTTTGGAAGTTTGCCGGACTCAGACCAAACGAGAGATGGTTCGAATATGATTATGATAAGATCTTTAGAAACGAATCGGAAGAGTAGGACGATATTAATGATACTTAAAACACCATGGAGACAGACGAGGCTTCATTGTTGGCAACAGATAGATATCCGAGTCTTGCCTGATCGAAGACATTATAAGGAACCTTTAGTAAATTGATGGCAATACGTGTTTTCAAGACACAAGCATCTTGATCAGACTGATTATTAGCGACACTGATCTATTCACCTTGGGTGTCTCTTATCCTGAATCTAATCGCGGTACTAAAAAATGTTGCAAATGACCGCTGCGCTGAAAACCAGATTCTCAAAGTCATCAGATCGTGCCTGCTGAAATCATGTTGTGACACACAAGACTAGCTAGGAATGTATGGTATCCGTAGGTAGAGCAAAAGTATACCTAGGTAGGATGCAACATTGAAAAGAACTACCAGGCTGTTATGGGAACCCTGGAAATTCTATGTAATTTCAATTCACGTTATGTGGTTTCGCTTCTATTCCGTATGTGTCCGAGGACATACATGGCAATTAAGGTTATAGGATGAAATTTACTCCGTGATGCGCGGCGGACACGAGTATAGGGCCCGAGCACGATTAGTGGCTTTAGTAGATTACATGGAGTGCATCAACTCATGGGCGTGCTTCTTCTTGTCATCCGTCCGTCGCGGACCGGAGTTCGGTCGAACAAACCCGAATACATGTGACTTAGAAGTCGGATGCCAATGACCGGTGATCACATGCGGACGAAGATCCAAGGATGAATAAACAAATTGTAGCAGCTTCTTGGTATAATAAATACGGCAACCCGGGCGTCGTAACAATACGATCAGAACTTTTTAACAGGTAAAATATGAAGAACATTTGAGAGCCACGAGCCTTTTCTAATTGCAGCAATAGATTAACAATTTCGTTTTTGAAGACTGTATACCCAGCAGACATAATGGCATCTCCATTCCGTTTGGATGGCAAGGTAGCCCTCGTCACTGGTGCCGGCCGTGGAATTGGAGCATCCATCGCCATCGAGCTGGCTCGCGCCGGAGCGAAGGTGATTGTCAACTACGCCAGCTCGAGCGGACCAGCCGAGAAGGTCGTAGCTGAGATCAAAAGCCTTGGATCAGATGCCGTCGCGATTCAGGCAAACGTGAGGGACGTAAGAGAAACGATCCGGCTGTTTGAGACGGCAAAGGCAGAGTACGGCCGGATTGACATTGTCGTTTCCAATGCCGGAGTTGTCTCGTTTGGGCATTTGGGAGAGGTCACAGAGGTGAGTGTTCGGGGGATAAAAACGAGTCAGTGGAATTGGAACTTATATACATACGTCTCAAAAGGAGGAATTCGATCGCGTCTTCAGCCTCAACACGCGCGGCCAGTTCTTCGTTGCCCGTGAAGCGTACAAGCACCTCAGCCGGGGTGGACGCATCATCCTCACGAGCTCGAATACGGCCGAAGGATTCGTGGTACCCAAACACTCACTTTACTCTGCATCTAAAGGTGCGATCGAATCCTTTGTGCCCTGTCTGGCGCTTGACTGCGGTAAGAAGAGGATTACGGTAAACGCTATTGCACCCGGCGGTATCGTGACGGACATGTTTCACGCCACCGCAAAGGACTACCTCCCACACAGTCAGGACATGTCTGAAGAACAGATCATGAAAGTGAGTCCATTCGGAGAGATCCCAATGCCCTCCCCCTTGCTAATGAGCAATGGACGGGAAGGTCGTCGCATCAGTCTCGCCCCTTAACCGAGTTGGTCTTCCCATCGATGTTGCACGTTGTGCCGTGTTTCTCGCAAGCAGCGAGGGAGAATGGATCAACGGCAAAATCTTGCGACCGGATGGCGGTGCTGGAAGCTTCCCTAGCGGTGAGAACTGATGGAAATATCGTTTGAAGCCTGTGTAGGAGTACCTAGGTAGTGATTATGCCAGTAACTTGATTGATGGTAGTTCTCTTGCCAACAATGGACGTAATTTTGAACCCAATGCAGTAGCGATTGTACTATGACAACTCGAAGGTAGAACGAGATGTCCGAATACTTCTCCTAGTAGGTAATTACGTGCTTGCTGTGGATAGCAAGGGATATGACGCAGCAGGCGCAAGTATCGAGATTGCCAGTAGACTACAAACAATAACAGGTCAAAACACTGTGCATGAAGCGAAACACGTCCTGAAGTCACGTGCCACTCTGTGATGTGTTGTGCCGTAACATCCAGCTACTACATCAGACCCTCATGCCTTGATCGAATGACATTCGTGGCGGGAACGACGAGCCTCGTTTGTTTCACCGAGGAGGGTACGACTCCAACGGAGATCAGGTACAATGTAGTCCAGCCCGTGGTTGTGGCGCTCGGATGACCCCACAGAATGGGATGCACGGCCCTGGAGCTGCAAAGGTGTTCAACCATGTCAACGTACGGAGTACTCGGGCCTCGGCCAGGGCAAGGTATCCGTAGGCTTCGATGAAGAACCTTCCCGGCCCGCAGGTCGCAGGGGCAGAGGTGGTGGCGTGCAATGGACACGCCCCCCCCCCAGAGCTGCCCCCCCCCGGACCTGAGCTTATTTGCCTTGGCCTTGCTTGAAATCCTAGTGTATTGATTCGGCACCTGGGCACCTACTAGGGGAAGGAAGGGAGGGGGTGGCGCTGGGCGTACTGGCGGACAGCACTACTGTGTACTCGGTAAGATGGTAGACGTCTTAGCCTAGCTGCCCAGTTGCTGGCTGCCTAGGGCTGGCTCATTTGCTGGCTGCCGGCTGTGAGATGACATGGAACGACCTCATCTGTAGATTGGTGGACTTGATATCGGAGTGGCAAGCTTGATAGATGGCGTGGGGCTAGACAGTAGTGTCGCTATTCGCGCCTATTATCGATGCCACTGGGGGGTCCCGCCCGGGGCGTTGGATCCTTTATTCCCGTTCCTGTTCCTGCAGCGGTATGAGGCCCGGAAAGGTCCTGGTCTTGGCAAGTTGGTACAGAGTAAGGGGCGCGGGAGATCCCTATGGGGCACGGAGAAAACATCTGAGGCAGTGGGCAGGCGTGCTGGCGTCCCTGGCGTCGCGAGCCCGCTTGGGCCCAGGGGCGGGACCTGCAAGTTGCGAAAACAAGATTGACATGTGGTGTGTGCGTCGAGTCCCTGACCATGCTGGTGATATCCCGCCGGGTTTCCTGAGTCGGGTGGCAGGTGGGCGACCGCAGAGCTGGCAGGCTGGCCGTACCACAGTATAATGTGGTAGGCACTGCGAGTGAAGGCGAAAGCATGTGTCCGCTTCGGGAAGTCTGCGCCGGGCGCGAGAAGACGTCGAATCTACCTGCAACACTGAGAGGTTTCCGACACCCGCCAAGATTGTCTGTCGTGTCGATGCTGAGGATGGATGTTGTGTGGTCAAGTATGCGAGGGACAAATGCACGAGACAAGCAGACACAATGCGATACCGTGCCGTGCTCTGCGGCCTGGCGGGCTCATCAGCCATGCGGTCGGAAAGAATACAACCAGGAGTACTGTGCAGTCTTATTGCCGTATTACACAAAGCTGGTGGTAAACTGGTAAACAGAGATTGCAGGTGGGTGAGCAGGCACATGAGGCGTGGCACAATGCGATCTGACCGCGGCAAGGCACCGTGGGAATCTGGAAATCAACAAAGACTTGGCGAGATTTCCTGAAGTTACGACTCAGGCCCCTCCCGCCTGCAGCTGCCTCGGAGGTTTGTTCCTGTCCTGCATGTGCACTTTATGCAGGCCAATGTTGTCGGGGTGGAGGGTCATATACGCTCGGTATTGTACGGTGAACATATGGGTGCTTAGGTGCTTGGGTGTCTAGTGCCTAGTGTCTACTCTTAGGCCCGGCCACAAACAACCCCCACCCCTCAGTCTCAGTGCATTGCCTACTACGGAGTAGCTGAAGAAGGAGAACGGCCCCTCTCCCCGGCCCCACGTCGCTTGCTCTGGGGCTTGGCTTCGCTTTGCCAGCTCCATTCTCAATTCTACTGCCACCACCAGTCTCCCATTTCATCCCAAAGCCGCCATCCCCGCTCGCCAGAGGGCTGCCACACAGACAAGAAACGCCCCGTGCCGATTGGACCAGGACAGGCCGCCAGGGCTTACTCCCAGGAAGAGTGCCTACCTCACATCCCTCTCCTCCTCTGCCTTGCCTTGGCTTTGCCTGCCTGCCTGCCTGCCTGCCTGCCTGCCTGCCTGCCTGCCTGCCTGCCTGCCTGGACTCTGTCGTGTCATGCCAATGCCCATGTTGATGGGGCCAGCCTGCCAAGCCAGGCCCGCAATGCTCCTGCTGCCACTACTGCTGCTGCTAGAGCTGTCTTGTCTTGGTCACTGTCCGTACTAGACTAGACTAGCCCTCGTCCTGTTTGTCTATCACGGCCGTCAAGCCTCCTCCTCACATCCGACCTCTTCACTCTGCTCACCACAACACAAGTCGACCACGGAGACCCGGGCTTGGATCATGCTGAGCCGTGGGGGCACCCGACCCACATCTCTCGATACACCCCGACCATACCATACCGAGCAGCGAACAAGATCCAATTGCCACCGGCAGTCGTCTGTTCTGCCAAAACCACCACACTTGCGGCTCGGGCTGAGGCTCACCTCTCTCTGACCTCGACTTTCTACTGTTGCCACCAGCACGGCTGGCCACAGAGAGGCTCATTTCGGCTTCGGCTTGCGCCAATGCCAATAAGGATCCAGTGCGACGCCGACCCGTTTGTCCGCCTGTCTTGCCGAACCCACTTGAGAGCCTCGCCTATGCCAATCTGAAGTCGGAGAAGCCAGCCAAACCCAATTGCGTCGGCCTCTGATTCGCAATCCGCTCCCCACCACGCCGATCGTGACTCGAGAGTTGCAGAACATCGCACCCGTGGTAGCGACTGCATCGCACCTGCGGCCCGAGGGTGGATACCGACGCATTCGTCTGGAGCTTCTGGACAGTCTGGAGCCAGCCCGCCTTCTAGAATAATTGGCACTTCTCTTTCAACCTACGGTGGACGCCAGCTGGTCGCCTCCGCTCCAATGCGCATCCTTCACACCTCCGCGAATGTGGCCCGGTCTGTCGAGCATTCATCCTCCCGGAATGGATGCCCGCCGCATGTCTCCAGACGGTTCCTCTCGTCCACCTCCCCGGCCACGCCGGCCTTCGGCCTCACTTAGTTCTGTACCCTTGCAGCGAACATTCGACCCGGCCTCTGGCGGAGCACCGGTACTAGGTTGGACAAGCCCCTTGCTTTAGCTCCTCTACTCCTGATCCCGTCCCCAGCACACACGCAGTCGGGCCCTCGTGGGAAACGGCCAGCCTTGCACCCAGGATTGGAGGTTCCGTCCCATTCGTCTCTTCCCCTCTGGTCACGTTGCCGCTCCGCATGCCGAGGAACGATTGACTAACTTGCTTCAGGGGGCGTCCCACGCAGGACCTCTGCGGGCAATCTTCGCAGCACGACCTATCGCCCTGGGAACCCCACGGGCGCCCAAGCCACCGTGAGGGCCGTCACACCAGAGCCCACCGAAGACGGCGCACAAGAGCCCATGGCCACAAACAACTACGGTGAACCCGTCACGCCCCTGCCAGGCACCGCCGTCAACACTCCCATCGGCCCAACCTCGCCGCGAAGCTCCTCACCAAGGGCCATACCGAATGTGCCCGGCAGCGCCATGTCCAGTTCCTCGAGTACTGCCCGACGGCAGGGTGTTGTCTTCAACGACCACTTCCCCAGCTCCCTCGACAGCGCCTCCTCGAGCCCACCCGCGAGACCCCAGATCCGCCCTCGGGGCCACACACTAGATAGCCCGTACCGTCAGCCCTCCGCCGCGCCAACGCCAGAGAGCTCAAGACATAGGGTGGGGTCGGTGTCATCTTCTGGCTCAATGGGGTCGATGCCGCCTCACGAGGACGCGTTGCGCGGGCCTTCCCTGCCACGGCACTCCCCAGCGATCGAATCCGCCGGGTATCCTTCCGTCTATCCTGCGCGACCCACTGATCTGCATATCCATACCGGGGTGACCACAAAGGAAAAGAAAGGGCTCACCCGCGCGAAGCTAATGAAGCGAATCTCCCGACCAACCTCCCCGATGATGTCGCCACCACCCTCTGTGGACTCGCTGCCTCTGCCCGTACCGACCGATGATGCGAACAAGGTCCTGCTCTTGATGAAAACTCTGTGTGGGCGCATGAGGGGAGAGGCTTCGTATCAGAACGAGGCCAATGGCCAATGGCACTCGGGTTTGTGCTACATAGAAGAGGAAAAGGGCAGTCTCATGTTCGATTCCGGAGAGCATGGCCCGTTTCACACGTCCGTCATCTCTGACTTGAGGGGCTGTCGAGTACTCCCTGTGCACAAACCAAGCCTAGAACGGCCGTGCCTTGAGATCATCAACTCCCACACCGGCGTGGAGGTGCTTTTGTGGCCTCACGCCGCAGAAGAATTGGATCTGTGGCTTGCTGCCCTGCTCTGCTGGCAGCAGGTCCGGCCGAGTGCGATGCGAGTCAACAGCCAGTCAACCACACCAACGTCACAATACAGACCCGAGTTGATGCGAAGAGGATCATCGACCCCCTCGAACTCTGCCACAATAATCAAAGTTAGCAGAGTCTCGATATGGGACAAGGGTGCTGCTCATTCACCTCGCGCGATTGTCAAGAGGACCTCTACGCGGGACTTGCGGTCGCCACAGACGGGCTGGAGGAAAGTATCGTGCATCCTGTCTGACAACGGCGAGCTCAAGCTCATCTCGGAGAACGATGTCACGGTCCTCTGTATCATCTCCCTCTCCCAACTATCACGATGCGCCATACAACAGCTGGACAAGTCAGTCTTGGACGAGGACTTCTGCATATCCATCTTCCCAATGTACTCCTCGACATCTACTCAGCTCTCAATTTTCAGGCCCGTGTACATATCCCTGGACCACAGGGTCTTATTCGAGGTCTGGTTTGTTCTGCTACGCGCCTTCACAGTGCCCGAGATTTATGCTTTGGACACGGAAAACGACGACCAAGTTCTCGAGGTCACGGACTTCGACGCAGATCTCCCTTTCCAGATGTTCAGGGTAGAGAAGACGATAAATCTGCGCGTAATAGAGGCAAAAGTAGGCGGACCTACCTCGCCTCACACGGCCTCGCGAGACCGACACGGCAGGAACCACGACGACGCCTTCGTGGGGAATTATTTTGCGGAGGTCATGCTGGACGGTGATGTCCGTGCCCGGACCATCACAAAAACCGACACGCGAAATCCATTCTGGCGAGACGACTGTGAGTTCGCAGACCTGCCTGCGAACCTACCGTACCTTTCAGTCATCCTGAAACGGATCGATGGAAACCTGGAAAGCATGGCACACCAGCTACAGGCATCATTGGGCTTGCCGAGGACGGGGAATCTGACGGAGGTTTCTTGCGGCTCCGTGGATCTTCCATTAACGCAGCTTGAACGAGGAAAGGATCACGAGCAATGGCTTCAGATTTATGATGAGCGCCAACAGTCCATCGGAACCATGCTTTGTAAGGTTCGCCACGAGGAGGTCGTGGTATTTTTGGCCAGGGACTACCAGCCACTGTCCGAGATGCTTCACAAGTTCAGCTCCGGGCTGACTGCGCAGATCTCGGAAGCTCTCCCAGGACAACTGCGACGCTTGGCAGAAATCTTCCTGAATGTCTTCCAAGTGTCGACTACTGCGAGCGATTGGTTGATGGCTCTGGTGGAAGACGAAATCGACGGCATCGGGCAGCAGTCTCAAATGAGGAAGATGAGATTTAGCCGTCGTCTCAAATCCAGCGAGAACCTGGATGTCTCAAATGCCTATGAGCGAGAGGCGCTTCGCGACATGGGCAAATCCCTGGCTGGCGAGGCCAATCTACTTTTCAGGGGCAATTCTTTACTCACACAAGCCCTAGAGTTCCATATGAGACGTTTGGGAACTGAATACATCGAGGAGATCCTGGGCGACAAGATCTTTGAAATCAACGAGATCAATCCAAACTGCGAGGTTGATCCTGGGAAGTTACAACAAGGCGAAGATATCGGCCAGCATTGGGACCAATTGTTGCAGTTTACAAACGAAATATGGGACTGCATCGCCAAATCAGCCAACAGGTTCCCCCCAGAACTCCGACACATCTTGAAGTACATCCGCGCTGTTGCGGAAGACAGATACGGTGACTTCCTCAGGACCGTGGCTTTCACCAGTGTCTCCGGCTTCCTCTTCCTGCGATTTATCTGCCCAGCCATACTCAACCCGAAATTGTTCGGACTGCTTCGGGACTACCCACGTCCCCGGGCCCAAAGAACACTGACTCTCATCGCAAAGGCATTGCAAGCGCTTGCGAATCTTTCCAACATTGGAAAGAAAGAAGTCTGGATGGATCCGATGAACCGTTTCATCAGTTCTCGCCGCCAGGCTCTCAAAGACTTCATTGACGAGATATGCGCAATACCAGCCGAACGCTCGAACTGCATCTTGCCCGCGTCCTACTCGACCCCAATCACCATCCTAGGCCGCCTGTCACCTCTGGCTCGTGAGGGCTTCCCCTCCCTCCCATATCTGGTCGATCATGCACGCAGCTTTGCCCTTCTCGTCAGACTGTGGGTGGACAACCAGCCTCTTAGTGGTGACGCGGAGAACCAGTATGATGGCGAACTCCTCAAATTCCACAGATTATGCGTTAGCCTCCAGCAACGAGCCGACCTCTGTATGGCGCGCATCGACAGTGTTCGCGCAGCGGACATTGAGAATTCAAGCCAACGCACAGACTCGGACGGCGCACTTGCTGATGCCACAGAGCACGTAAACCTCGCTGAATCGATGAATACGTCCCACAAATCCGCTACAAGCACCTCTTGGATGGACCGCGACCGCCCGCCTGGCTCATCTGACGGTAGCTCGCTGGACGACACTCGAGGCCAAGGGCTGCGTTCTCACCGCTCATCTGAGAGGTGGGCCAGTGGCCTACGGCAAGCTGTGGGCAGCGCTGGCGAGCTCTCGGACCGCAAGTATCAGCATGGTTCCATGAAGTCCCTTCGGAGTGGGAAAAACGCGAGAAAGTTCCTATCCGGTTTCCTTCGCAAGGTCGATCGGACAGACAGTCCAGAAGCTTCGGGCTCAAGTGGAAGTCCTTCGGTATCGCCATGGCAGAATGGAAGTGGTGATAACAGCATCGCTTCTGCGTACAAATCAGGGTCTGGCTCGACAACACCGACAGGCACGTTAAAGGGCAGAGATAAGGAAAAGGGGAGGAGCACCTTTGGCGGCCTTGCCGAGGCCTGGAAAGAATTTGATCCGTCCAGCAGGCATTGAAAAATGATTTCACGACAGTCCGCAGACCGAAACCATTGTGCTATCATTGAAAAGTCACTGCACCAACTTACCATTCTTCTTCTACCCCCCATCTTTTACCATTACTACTACTATTATAACGAAAGTCAACGGCCGGGAATGTGATGGGAGTTCAAGGCGAGGCGCGAGAAGATAAAAGAAGCCAGGAGGCATTCTGATGCGTACCACAGGGGCGGCCATTCGTTACCATTTCTAAAAGCAATTACCACATTCACGCCGCGTGTCGCCATCCCCAGTCATCTATCCATCAACCTGCCTCCGTTGTGGTGCCTTCGGCCGAAAGGGAGGCGGGCAATGAGGCGCCCAGGAGTACAGTCTCTATCCTCTTCCAACTTCTCTCCTTTTTTCTTCCTCATGTTTTTGTCATCGGGTCGGCCTCGAAAGCTCTTGATTCACGATACCTATATTGCAACTCCTTTTTTATATACACATATTCTGGTTTGAATGATAGATTGGGGGTTTCTGTCTTGGATAGAGAGATACCACTATCGCCAGCTTTTGATGCTTATTTCTTTCGAGCCTTGTCGTCGTATCGGCAGTGACAGGACATCTAGTTTCATTTCCAAAAAAGATTGTTCTCCACAACTGGACCATGGAGCAACAAAATGGGCTGTGGGGGTAGGATTGGAAGATGTGCATGAAAAGGTTAGTCACTACATGGCAGATAGGATCTTCTAGCGGTCAGGCATCTAGCAGGAAGACTATTCTATGCCTGAGCTAAAACTACTCTATATACTTTTTACTTATTAAAATATAACTTAATATAATTAAAGTTATAAAGAAGATTTAAGTTATTATTATTAAAAGAAGTTAAGTTAATTAAATATTTAAATTTTATATTAAGTAATATAAAAATTTATATTTTTTTAAAAAGAATATATATATTTAATTTAATTTATATAATTATAATTAACTTAATAATAATTTCCTAAAGTTTAAATATTTAATAAGTATTCTTTAAATTAGGTATCCTAGTATATAGGGCATCCTGGATCCTAATCCGCTATGGTAGTTTAGTATAAGCTGTATCCGATCTTGAAGTTGTGTACAATCCACTCCTCTGGGCTTTATTCTGCTGCCGGTTCTCTTAAAGCCTGTGACTCTACTAGTAGGATCCTGCAGCAGGATGCCAGTGCCTCAGCGGGTCAACTGAGGCCCCAAGCTGCCGCAGCCTGGTATCGCGTTTCCTACTTAACAGCGTAGTAGTCTCCGCGAACACGTTTGTATGCAAAACAAGTTATTGCTACTCAACATAGCGGCCTAGGTACGATGGTCTCTCCCGTATCCAACTCGACGCCGGCGCAGAGAGTATTATTGTTTGGTTCACAAGCCTTGGCCATCGATGGCGAACTCTTCCACAAGCTTAGCCTGAAGGTGCACGAGGAGAGCCACCGCTGGTGTTTGGATGTGGTGTCATCTCTTTTCGAAGCCTGGCCAGATGTCATGAGGAGCAATCTTAAGCTGAAAGACGCGGATACAGAAAGACGTCTGAAGGATTTGCATGATGCATTGAGCACGGGCGAGATGTCAAACTCCTTTTTCCCACTCTCAAACTCTCTCCTGACGCCGTTGACCGTTATTACCCACTTAGTGCAATACTCGACTCTCCTGAGAGCATGTCTTCCATGTCTTGAGGCTGGCGAAACAGTACCACTTTCAATAACGAGCAGCACCGAGGTTCTGGGACTCTGTACCGGTATGCTAAGTGCCTTCGCTGTGGGATGTGCATCATCCATAGATGAGTTGCAGCAATTCGGCGCTGTAGCAATACGGCTAGGGTTTCTCATCGGCGCACTGGTCGATGCGGAAGAATCTTTGCCTCCGTCTGACGGCCTGGCAACTTCCTTCTCAGTGTCCTGGACCAGTGCAGATTCCAGTTCTATCGTGGAATCGGTGCTTCGGAATTTTCCTAAGATGAGGAGACTAGCTCCAGGCAGTTATCTGAAAATGTGCTAATCCTTTGATGAAGGCGTACATTTTCATATTTGCAGACGAGAGAAGGTCAACAGTAACGGCCCCGAAGGAAGTAGCGCCCGCCGTAATTCAACAGCTGAGGGAGGCGGGTACTCATGTTGTCGACCTCTCAAAGGCTCTATTCCTCCACAGGAAAGTCACAACACTATCAGCCCGTCTCTGAATGCACTCCCCAACGACAAGATCGAAGTTTCAACCCGCTTACAGCCGTGGTCGGCAACGTTTCACGCCGCCCTGATCAATAATTATGGCGCGTCCGGCTCGAACGCGTCAATGGTCATCACCCAGGACCCGAATGGAAGATAAGCTCGGACGATACCTTATACACAACTGGAAATGTCTTTTCCCACAAGGCAGACAGCAGCCAGCTCGCTCAAAGCTTCCAGAGCTTGTCGCGCCTGAACGGCAGGAGACGATGCGCCCGACTCCTCGAGAGCAATGACGCCGACGAGGTGCTGCAGGGCCGGAATATTTACCGCGCTTGCGAACCAATTGTCGACTTCCAAGATCCATTCCACCAGCTCACCAGGATTGTTGGCGTCGACGGAGAGTCGGCCGGCCGTGTGATAAAATCACGCGACGACGAGGCGTGGGTCGATCCTGTGCTGACCGAGTGCTTCTGCCAGGTCGCCGGCATCTACGTCAACCTGATGACGAGCTCTGACAGCCTTTCCGAACGAGGTATCTTCGTTACTGAGAAGATCGGGCGGTAGATTCGCAACCCAGAAATTCTCTCTAACACTTCCCAAGGTCAGCAATGGGATGTGTTTGCCGTCCACCATCCGGAGGGTGGCGACAAGTATATGAGCGACGTCTTTGCGTTTGACCACCGCAATGGGTCCCTCGTCGAGGCCATACTGGGCATTTCTTACAAGAAGGTGTCTCTAGCTGGCTTCCGCGGTGTTCTCTCGCGTGTCGCTCGGCACGCTACTCAGGAAAGTGCAGCACCTGTGTTCCCAACCTCCGAGCAGTCCCACCAACCGGCAGTGTTGCCTACAGCATCAGTCAAGAAGCATATCGCCAAGAAGGCCCCAAGACCAGCTGGGCCAGACTTCGACGGGAAGACTCGCGAAATCATTTGCAACCTATCGGGCCTGGATTCCGAGGAGGTGCAAGACGAGTCCGACCTCGTGGAGATTGGAATCGACTCTCTCAGTAAGCATGATATGTTTTCACTAGTCTTGAAAGATTTGATTTTCAATCCAGTGTGCTCACTCCTCCGCTGCCTCTCCTCTCCCCGAGGGTCTTCAACGCCCTCTTCACCTAGGTGGGACACCACATGCATTCATATGCAGCCACTTGCCTATGGCTTTTTACGTTTCCAGTGGCCTTCAAAAACATTCTATCCATTTTTGTTTCTCTCATGTTTGCCATCTTGGCTGACTGTCAATCACGCAGTGGCGATGGAGCTGGTCCGCGAGGTCGAGTCTACGTGCAAAGTGAGCCTTGAAAATGAACAGCTCATGGATTTAACCGATTTCCGAAAGTCTGGTCTCGTGCATTCAGACTGCGGTCGGATTAGACTCTCAGCCTGGAGCTGAGACTCCAGACACCGAAGACAGACAGCATCCTCTCAGAGACCCGCGAGCGCAGCAATGAAGCATCTGTCAGCAGCACAGGTGGTCTCGCCCCATCAATCGTATTGGAAACATTTCGCAGGATTAAGTGGGCTACTTAGGTACTGATGACTTTATCGTCCAAGGCCACCTGGCAACATACTATGACAAAGTCATGCCCAGGTAGTCACCGGAGCAGCAGGAAGCCTAGGCAGGCACATTGCTGGTCATATAGCACGTCTGCCAGAAGTCCACACCGTGGTCTGCCTTAACCGCCTGAGCCAATCTTCGGCTGAACAGCGCCAGGGAAAGGCTTTTGAAGCCAGAGGCATCCATATCGAGGACGAATTCTTCACCAAGCTCCAAGTCATCGATACAGATACCAGCAAGCCGCGGCTCGGCCTCTCGCAGGAGACGTACAATCACCTCTTGGACACGGTCACTCATATTGTTCACAGCGCCTGGCCCATGATGAGCCTGGCCCGTCCCGTGCGCATGTATGAGTCCCAGTTCAAGGTCTTCCGGAACTTGATCGACCTCGCACGGGACATCGCTGACCGCTGGCCAGCTCCGTTCAGACCTGGGTTCCTGTTCGTCTCTTCCCTAGCCGTCGTCGCCAACTACCCACTGCTGGAAAGGGGCGGTTGCGATGAACAACACCAACAACACCAACAACAGCTGGCACTCGTACCAGAAGGCGCGGTTGGGGTAGAGGCCTGTGCGGGTGCGGGCTACGCGGAGGCGAAATTGGTCTGCGAGCGCGTGCTGGCGCGCACGCTGGGCCAGTACCCGAGGTACTTCTCGCCCGCGGCGGCGGTGCGCGTGGCGCAGATCTCCGGATCCACGGTGAGTGGCCATTGGAACCATACCGAGTACATACCGTTTCTGGTGCGCTAATCGCGGGTGCTGGGTGTGCTTCCGCAACTCGGAGGCACACTCTCCTGGTGCCCGGTGGACCTCGTGGCCTCAGCTATCGGCGAGCTGCTACTGATGAGGCAAGAAGATGGCGCCGCGGTGAATGAGGTGGGCAAGAACCTGTTCTACCACATCGATAACCCAGCACGACAGCCCTGGGCCGAGACGATCGCCTCCCTTGCGTCTGCGCTGGGCATGAGTGAGGATTCTATTGTGCCATATCAGCAATGGCTGAATCGTGTGAGGCGTTTCAGGGGCTCGGTCAGCGACAACCCGGCCATGCAGCTTGAGGAGTTCTTCATACACTACTTCGTACCGATGTCGTGTGGAGGTCTAGTACTGGATACCACCAGGACGATGGTCCACTCGAGGACCTTTCGAGAGATGGGCCCTGTGAGCAGCAATTTTGTTGCACAGTATGTCGCTAGCTGGAGGCAGTCGGGGTTCTTGCATAAGTAGAAATGACTTTTTCTTCATTGCATCTCTGACTGTCACACAGTTTACGGTGAAGGTTCGAGAAGTGAGTCCTCACAGGCCCCAATTAGAACAGAAGGACGCTAAACAACGTGCCTGTAGAGTTCATGCCTGACGAGAAGTATCTTCTGGGCTAGAGTGCATAGTGACGATATTGTAAAAATATATTTATATATACTACTTCTATTTCGCCCACTCTAGTTTGAGTCCTTAATTTCCTCCCGAAATGCACATGCAGAAAATCAACTGTGCCAGGCACGGGATTGCCATTGAGGACTACACCCAGTGTGGAACTTTCAGTGAATTCGGCCCAGCCACGGCGTGGGTTCCCAGCCTCCGCCATGAGTGTCCAAGCCGCTTGTATATATGAGCTCAGGATAAGTTCTTCCTCGGACAAGTTACATGAACCCATGCCAAGTAGTAGTTGGTGCACCCAGCTAAACACGAAAGCGAGCTCCGATATATGTGTGGGCCCAAGCAAATATACCACATCCGGGGCAATAAAAGGCACCTATAGACAAGTGACCGTGTGGTTAAATACACAAGTATAAACCGGTACCCTATTAGCAGCACTCATTATAGTACTAAATATAATATAATAGATAATAAGTAATATATAAATATTATTAATTATATAAAGGCCTTAGAATTCTATATTATTATATTATAAAATTAAATAATATATTTAATAATATATTTAATAATTATATTATTAAAATTAATTAAGATAATATTTATTTTATAATTATTATTACTTTTTTAAAAAATAATTTAATTAATAAATATTTATATTTAATAAAGATTTATATTTAATAAATATTTATATTTAATAAATACTTATATTTAATAAATACTTATATTTAATAAATATTTATATTAAATAAATATTTAAAAGAAATTAAATATAATTAATAATTATAAACTTAATATATAATATATATAAACTATAAACTATTTATATTTTTAATTCTACTATTAAATTAAAATAAATAATTAAAGTTTTAAAAATAAAATAAAATAAATCTTTTAAAGATTAATTTAATTAAATTTATTATATAAAACTTTTATAATAACTTTATAATTTATATTTATAATATTATTTATTATTAAAGAATACTTTTATATTAATATATTAAACTATATTTAATAAATTTAAATTAATATAATTAATATATTTATTAAGTTATTAAAAGTTAAAACTATTATAAATTATAAGGTACTTAATTTTAATACTATTAAATATTATATATAAATTTTAAATAACTTAAATAAATTAATAAAAATAAATAAAAATATAATTATTATTTCTTTAATTAAAATATTATAATAGGCTATAATACTAGATATAATAATATAGGATTAAGAAAGGTTTAAAGGTATATTAGGTTTAGATTTAATATAAAATTAATTTTTATTTCTTTTTAAAAAGAGATAAATAGGCTTTACTTACTTTTTAATAAGCTTTAAAAAGGGGTATAGCTAGGCATTAAGGTGCTTTTAAAATACTTCCTTATAACTTTTATTTAATTATTATAATTATACCTCTTTTTAGGAGGCTATTTTTAACTATTATTATTAGTTAATATTAATTACTTTTATTTATATTTTTAAAAACTTTTTTATTTATTATTATTAATTAATTTTAATAATTTATTAGATTTTCTAATAATCTTTATTATATCTTTATAGAAATATAAATTAGTTAGTTTTCTTTTTAAATAACTATTTTTTTCTCTTTACCTTTACTTTCTCTTTTTTTTTTCTTTAATAATTAACCTTATTAAGTTCTTAATAAACTTTTTTTTAATTTTTAATATCTTTTAATTATTTTTAATTATTATAAATATTATTAATATATTTAAATAGTTTAAATTAAATAGTTTTTTAAAGGTTTTTTATAATAGTTTTCTATTAGTTAAAAGTTTTTAATTAATAGTTTTATTTTTAATTAATAGGTTTCTTTACTATATAACTTTCTTTCTTTTTAATAGTAATTATAATATTTATAAATAATCTTTCTTTTTAATAGCTTTATATATTATTTTTATTACTTTTATTTAATAGTAAAATAAACCCTTTTATAAAAGTTTTATTAAATTAAGTTTAACTTTTAAGGGCTTTAATAGTAATTATATTAATTCTATTACTTTTAATATTAATAACTTTTCTTTTAAACTATTATAATAAAAATATTAATAATAATAAAGTTTTTAAGAAGCTTTTATTAAAATAGTAAATAAAAACTTATAATTACTTTATATAGCCCTTAAACTTATTAAAAATAGCTATAAAAGTTATTATTTTATTAGAGGATTTAGGTAAAAAGTTTATTAAAGATCCTTTAAACTTTTAAAAAATTTTTATTTTTATAAAATCTATTTAACTTTTAACTACCCTTTTAAAGCTAAAAATATATTATACCTCCTTTTATTAGAATATAAAAAAACTTTTATAATTATTAATTTATTTAATTATTTTATTTAAATTATAAAAGAATATAAAAAGTAAAGTTAAATAATTAAATTTTAAATACCTTATAATATATATATATATATCTTTTAAAATAGGTTAAAAGTATAATACCTTATTATAAAAAATATTTTTATATTATTATTAATTTAAAAGTTTTTATTATAATTAATATATTATAAAATATTATTTATTTTATATTATAATAAGTTTATTTTATTTTCTTTATTAACTTATTATTTAATTAATTATTTTAAAAATCTTTTAATTATTAATTTAATTTTTAATATTTACTTTATAAAGGCCTTTTAAAGGAATTACTAATAATATAAAACTCTATTCTTATTTATTTAAATAAATAAGCTTATAATTTTATAGATTTAGTTAGTTAATATTTTAATAGCTATATTTATTAATAATTCTAATAGTAATCTAATATTTTAAAAGAGTAGAAAACTTAAAATTTAAGAATAGTTTAAAGAGAAATAAAAGAAGTAATGGATTTTAATACTAAATATAAGCTATTTAATGTTTATTTAGAAAGATAATACTAACTTATTTTAAAATTAAAAGATTATAAAAGCTAGTATTTTTAAATATAAGCTATAATAGTTTTATATTCTTTTAATTAATAGAATTTAATTTAGAGATAGTTTAAATAGTATTTATAAAAAATCCTTAAAGATTTTATAAATAGTTATTATAATATAATATATTTAGTTTTTATAAATAATAGGTTTTTAATTTAATATACTTTAATTTAAAGGTTTCTTTAAAAGATTATAAATATAATAAATAAAGCCTTTAAGTTATAACTTTAAGAATATTTTTTACTACTTTAAGAGATAATTTATAGGATAAGAATAGTCTTTTTTTAAAAGTTAATTAGATGTATTATAAGTTAGTAATTAGAGTTATAAGGGTAATATTTAAAGTTTTTTAAAGTAGAATAATAATATTTCTTTATATTACTTTTTTAAAGTAAATTTTAGCCTACTATAAGTTTAAATAATTTAAAAATAGTTTATTTTTAATATATTTTATACTACTTTTATAATAGTCCTCTTAGTTTTAATATTATAATTAGTTAACCCTTTTTAACTATTAGCTAATAGTACTTATTTTCTTAATATTTATTCTTTAAGTGTTTTACTAAGCCTTTATAGCTTACTTATTTAGTTTTATCTTCTTTATTAGCTTTTATTAAATCTATATTTTATTTTTATTAGTTTATTATAAGGTCTTTATAGGTTATTTATTAGTTATTTACTTTATTATTATTTATATTATTAGTTATTTATTAATATATATTTTTAATATTTAACCCTTATTTATTTATTTTTATTTATTATAGTTTAAGTAGCCTTTTTTTAACTCTTTATTTACTTATTTTTAAGTTCTTTTTAAAAATATTAAAGTTTTTCTCTTTATAGTATTTTTAAATAGTTTTATTTATAAATATTTTATTCTTTAATATTTAAGAGTTATATTTATTTAGTTACTTTTTTATTTTATTAAATAATAAAAGGTACCTTTAATTTCTTAATAATCTTAAATCTTCTTTAACTTTTATTTAATTTATTTATTCTTTAAATTTAATAGATTTATAATATCTCCTTATAAACCTTTTAATATTTTAGCTATTTATAGTTTTAACTAATTTATATAAAAATATTATATATTTAAAAGTATTTTTAAAGAGAATTAGGCTATAAGCCTACTTTTCTATTTAAGTTAGGATTTTAAATAAACTAGTTCTTTATAAGGTTAGTTTTTATTCTTTAAATAAAGATATTTAATTATTAAGGATATTTATTTATTAATATTAAATTATTTAGGTTAATAATATATATTATAGTTTTAAGCTTAAATCTTAATAGCCTTTATTTAATTTTCTTAATATTTTATATAAATTTATTAAAACTTCTTTAATTACTCTTCTACTATTAATATTTTTTTATAGTATATTATCTTTAATAGACTATTAGTTATATAAAATTATAAAAGAGTTTATATTTAAATAGTATTTTAAATAGGTTTATTTTAATTATTATATTTTATATTAAATTATATATAAAAATATAATATATAATAGTTTTAACTAGTTTTAAGTATTTTTAGTAATAAATAATTTAAAATATTACTTTAAAGTTTAATTAATTTTTAATTTATTTATTACTTTATAAATAGTAAATAATAGTATAATAGGTTTTAATATTATTAAGTTTATATAATATTTTCTAAAACTACTTATAAAAATTATACCTTAATTAGTAATAATTCCTTATAAGATTTTTATTTATATTTAATCTTCTAATAAAAGATCTTATTAAGTTTTATAATATTTATTATAATATAAATTAAAAGAAAAACTTATTTTAATAAAATAATCTATAATTATTAAAATTAAATCTATTTTTATTTATAATAATAGTTAAAAGTTTAATTATAAAGTTTATATTAAATTTTTATATAAATTCTAATAAAATTAATAATAAAATAAGCTTTTATATAAGTAATAATATAGAGTAAATATATATTAATATATTATATAGGAGTATATATATTTTATTATAAAGGCCTTTAACTTTAACTATTAAAAGTACCTTTTAAAAGAGTTTATATTCTAATCTACCTTTAATATTTATTTAGTAAATTATTATAATAAGTTTATAAAATTTTTATCTTAAAGCCTTTTATTCTAATATATATATATATTTTTAATAAAAGAGTTTATTTTAAATTTTATAATTAAAGTTATTTAAAATAATATTATTTAAGAATTATATTTTTAATTATAGCCTAAATTATAAAGTTTTCCTCTAGGCTTTATAAATTAAATTTATTAGTAAAAATAAAACTCTAAATATATTATATTAATATTAAATATATATACTTAAACCTAAACTTTTATTATAAACTATTTTTATAAAGGAGCTATAAACTTAAGCTAATACTTTATTAAAAGAAATTATTTTTAAAACTTTATATATTATAGTATTTCTAATTATAATTTAAATTTTAACTTACTATTAATCTTTTAAATAAAATTATAAATTCTTTTAATAATTATAACTATCTTTAATTTTAAAATTAAAATTTAATTTATATTTAAAGGCTTTTTCTTAAATATATAATTAAGCCTTTTAAAAATCTATTAGCTAAGTTTATCTTATTAAAGTAATATTTAATAATAAAATTAAATTTAACTAAATATATTAACTATTAAATTTATTTTTAAATTAATTCTTTTACTTTATAAAACTATAAAAATTATTATAATTTAAAAAATAATAATAGATTTTTAAGCTTCTTTAAAATATTATTATTAATACTTAAAGTTATTAATAATAGTACTTAATTCTTATTATAGGTTATTTAATTAAATTTTATATTAAAGAACTTTTTAATTAAAAGTAATAAAATATTATTAAAATATATCTTTAATAATATATTTTTAAAAGATTATTAAAGTAGCTACTTTATTTAAAATATTATATTTAATTTAAATTTAAAGTATTAAATTATAATATTAAAATAAAAATATTATTAAAACTTAACCTTAAATTTTTAAAAGCTTTTAAGCTTTTAAACTTTTAAGTATAAATAAGTTAACTTTACTAAACTTTTAACCTTATTTTATATTAAATAATTACTTATTAAAAGTTAAATAATCCTAAAATATTTTTAATAAACTTTTAATAAAAATTATAAAAATTTAAAAATTTAAATATTATAATAAATAATAAAATAGATTATTTTAAATAATCTTAATTTAATTAGAATTTATTTAAATTCCTTTTAACTAGAAATTTTAAGAATTTAATCTTCTTTAAAAGAAACTATACTTTTAAAATTTTTATAAAGCTTAATTAATAATAATTAATTTATAATTATTTAAATATATTTTTATATTTTTTTACCTTTTAAAAAATTAAAATATTATTTAAATAAATAATTATATAAATATTAATATAATTATTTAAGATTTTAATAATAAATAATTAAAATATAATAAGAGTATTAATTAATTTAAATAATATTATTTTAAATTTATAATAATTATAATATATATAAAATACTATTTTTATTTATTTTTTTAAATATAAATTTAATAATAAGTATTTATTAAATTAATTTTTAAAAATACTTTATATTTAATAGTTAGTTTAAAATTTTAAAACTAATAATAAAAGTAATAATTTTTAATTATTATTTTATTAAAAGTTTAATAATTAATATAAAATTAAAAAGTATTATTTTTTTAAAAGTAAATAAAATTAAAATTTTTATTAAATTTTATTAGGATAATTTATTTAGTTTTAAACTCTTTTTAATTATTTTTAAAATTTTTAATTCCTTTAATAATAGTAAGTAAAGAAATAAAAAGATAGTAATATTCTTTTTAACTTAATTATATAGTTTATCTTTTTTAAAGGGGAGTTTTTTTATTTTAACCTTTATAAAAAACTTTTTTAAATCTTTTAATTATAAGTATAACTAAAAGGAATTAAGGGTAATTTTTCTTTTATTTATTTTTTTAACTTTTATTATTCTTTTTTATTACTTAAATTAAAAGGCTATTAATTAAAAATAATATAATAATAAATATTTTATTTTTAATTTTTATAAAAGTTTTTATAATTTATTAAATAATATATAAATTATTTTATTAAAGCTATTAATTTTTAAATAACTTTTAGTTTTATTTAAAAATATTATAAATTTAGAGTTTTAATAATAAAATAGATTTAAAATATTTTTAATTAATAATAAAAATATCTTAAGTCTTTTCCTTTAATTTTTAAAATAATTTTTAATTAAAAGGAATTTAAAAATTTTATAAATAGGTATTAAAATATAATTAATTTCTTTAATTAATACTAAAAATTTTATTAATTTCTTTAAATTAAATTTTTTTTATAAAAATATTAATTAAGTTTATTTAAATTTAAATATTAAGGTTAATTTTAATATACTTTTAATCTTATTTTATAGTTACTTTTCTTAAAATTATAAAAATATTATAAACTTTTATTATTTTTTCTCCTTTTAATTTTAATTATTAATCTATTTTTTATTTTAAATATTATTTTAATTAGTAATTAAAATAATTTTTAACTTCCTTTATTTTAATTTTATTTTTAATAATTCTTTAATTAATAGTTATTATAACTTTAAACTTAATTTATAAATATTATAGTTTTTATTAATATTAGGTAATTTAAGGTATAATAATAGGTATTATTATAGTAATAATAAATAATTAACTTTTTATTATTATTAAAAGATTAAATTTTAAGGTAGTTTTAAAGTTATTTTTTAAATATTTTAATTAAGTTAAATATATAAACCTTTATTTTAGAATTTTAACCTTAACCCTTTATATATAGGAACTTTAAGTTTTTTAAAAGTTATAATATTATTTTAAAAAGCTCCTTTTATCCTTTTATTAAAGGTTTTATTACCTTCTTTATACTTTATTTTTAGCTTTTTATACTTTCTCTTTTAATTTATTTAAGTATATTAACCTAAATTACTTAAATAACTTTAATTATTTTATCTTTAATATTTAATAAATTTAAAATATATTTAATTTAAATTTTTAAGAAGATCTAACTTTATAATTTAAAAGAAAGAATTTAATTTTAAAATTATTATGTCTAGTTTTTATTTTAACTTTAAGGTTTTAAAGTATTAATAAAAGGATTAAAGGTTTTAATTTTTTATTAATAGATAAAATTAATTAAGTTTTAAATAACTTTAAAAATATTTTAAGGTTTTTTTAAAGTTATTATTAAAGGTTTTAAACTTATTTTACCTATAATAATTAAATATAAACTTATTTTCTTTTTTTAAATTTTATATAGGTATTTTAATAGTTTTAATACTCTTTATTAATATAATTAAGTATATAAATTACTTTTATTTTATTATTATAAAGAAATTATAGTTAAAAATATAGGTTTTTTAAAATTTATTATTTAATTATTATATTATTATAAAGTATAAATTATAAATAATAGGTAATATTAGTTAACTTTAAATCCTTTAATTTAATTTTTAAGGTAATTTTAATTACTTTAAGGGTATTTATTCTTTATTAAAGGATTTAGTTTTACTTTTATTTTTAAGTAAAGGTATTATTTATTAGAGGGGTATTTAAACTTCTTTTATTATTATTTAAACTTATTTAGAACTTTCTCCTTTAGTTACCTATTTTTAATAGTATTATAAATAGTATAAAAAAAAAAATTAAAATTATAATAAGCTATAATATTAGGTATAATAATATAGAATTAAGGGAGATTTAAAGGTATATTAGGTTTAAATTTAATATAAAATTAATTCTTATTTTTTTTTAAAAAGAGGTAAGTAGGCTTTACTTACCTTTTAATAGGTTTTAGGAAGGGGTATAATTAGGCACTAGGGCACTTCTAGGGCGCTTCCTTATAGCTTCCACCTAACTATTATAAGTATTAACTTTATTTAAATAAATATTTATTTATTAACTTTATTATATTATAAATAAAATTATTTAAAAATAATTATTTAACTTATTATACTTTTATTAAACTAAAATAAAACTTTTAAATAAAATAATTATACTTTATTATTATATATAATATTTAAATTAATAATTTTAATAACTTTATAATAAAAAAATAATTATTATTAATTAAATTTATAATTATATATAATATATATAATATATATAATATATATAATAATAATTTCTTTTAAATTTAAAATTAAAAGATTTATAATTATAATCTTTTAATTAATATTTATTTAACTAATATATTTTATTATAATTTTAATTTAATATCTAATTTAATTAAATATTTTTAAATATTTTTAAATATTTTTAAATATTTTCAAATATTTTATATTTTTATATTTTTATATTTTTATATTTTATATTTTTATATTTTTATATTTTATATATTTTTATATTTTTATTTTTATATTTTTATATTTTTATATTTTTATATTTTTATATTTTTATATTTTTATATTTTTATATTTTATATTTTTATATTTTTATATTATAAATATTATAAATAAATAATATTATAAATATTATAAAGAATTTTAAAAGAAACTTTTAGAATATATTTTATATAATAAATTTAATTTATTTAATTATTTATAATATAATTAAAAAATACTTAAAAACTTTAAAAATATAAAAAGAAATTATAAATATTTTATTTATAATATTATATACTTTTTTTTTTTAAAAAAAAAGAGATAAAAAAAGAGAGAATAGTTTTTCTTTCAAGACTCTTTAGAACAATTATAATATTCTTACCCTCTCTATCTTGTGACTAGCTGTAGGATGATGAGCTGTTTAAGTAAAGAACTTCTTGTAGGCGGCCTTCTCCTTGGCTACGCGCGCGGCGATGCTCTTCTTCACATCGGCCAGCTCCTTGGCGATGGCAGCGTCGCCAGGTACCAGCTTGTTCGCGGCTGTGAGATCCGCCACCGCATTGTCCTCATCCCTCAGGCGCACGTGAGCCTGGCCGCGGCGGAACAGCGCCTTGGCCTTCTCCGCGTCCTTGAGACCGCCCACGTCGAGAGCCGAGGTCGCGTGGTTCGCGGCGCTCTCCCAGTTGGAGAGCTTGATGTTCATTAGGGCGGCGTTGTTGTTGAGCGTGAAGCGCACCGCGTCCATCTTGGCCTTGATGTCCGCAGACGCCGCGGCGTCACCCACAGCATCCAGGTCTGGGTCCTCGTTGAGGTAGCGCAGCCCCTTTTCGTACTTGTCCAGAGCGGTGGCCACGTCGCCCGCCTTGAAGGCCTTGTTACCAAACTCCTTGCACTCAGAGGCGATCTGCAGCACCTTCTGTGCGGGGAGCTCCTCGGCCTTCTTGCCGTCGGTGGCCGTGCCGTCCTGCTTGGAGAGCTCGTCCTCGGGGAAGTCTTCGTAGGGGTCGCCGAGCGCGTCGGGCTTGCTGGTTGCGGCGGTGGCGAGCTCCGCCTCCTCGCCCACGAGCTCGCCGCAGTCGGCGATCACCGCGTCCTTCTTGGGCTTATCTCCCGACTCGGTGGGGAGGTTCTCGATCTGACGGACGATGGACTTTCCAGTGAGGACCTCGCCGAAGACAACGTGCTTGCCGTCCAGGTGGGGGGTAGGGACGGTGGTGATAAAGAATTGTGAACCGTTGGTACCTGCCAAACACATCTGTTAGCTGGCACTACCCAGGCATGTGGTACGGGATGCAGCGAGCAACGAGCGGCGGGGCGTAAACTTACCGGGGCCGGCGTTTGCCATGGACAAAAGGAAGGGCTTCTCGTGCTTGAGGTTGAAATTCTCGTCCTCGAACTTCTCGCCATAGATGGATTCGCCGCCGGTGCCATTTCCAGCGGTGAAGTCACCACCCTGGATCATAAACTGCTTGATGACACGGTGAAAGCCAGAGCCCTTGTAGTGTAGAGGCTTGCCGGCCTTGCCAACGCCCTTCTCGCCTGTGCAAAGGGCACGGAAGTTCTCTGCCGTCTTGGGCACGACGTCGTTGTACAGCTCCAGCACAACACGGCCGGCAGGGCGCTGGCCAATGCTGATGTCAAAAAAGACGCGGCTGCGTGTTGCGGGCTTTGAATCCTCAGATGCCATCTTCGGAAAGTGGTGCTTGTGGGACGTTGCTCAAGTCGTATGCGCAGCAGATACGCCTCAAACGGACCGAGACGAAGCGGTGGGTGGTCGTGGAACAACCTTGGAGGTGTGACGAGTTCGAAGAAGGCCGCAATGGGACCAATTGGAAGGTGCCAGACAACGCTTGGAAGGGTGGGTTTGAAGCTTTATGCAGGCAGCAGTCAAGAGCAGGAATGTTTGTGGCTTCCTCCCATCTCACCAACAAAGGCTGGTTGTTCTTCGTGAACCTTCTATGCAGCCATCAAGCGGGGCTCGTTCCTGAGCCATATCCCTGTCAAGAGCTCAGCTCAGGGCCGGAAGGCGGGGTTCAGGAGGGGCAGGTACTCTGTACTGTGGTGCTCTTTCTTGGTGGGCTGAGCAAGATGCTTCATTGGCGGCCGCTATTGCGCAACGCACGCATTCCAGCCATCCTAAACCTCAACTTTGTGGTGTTCACAATCTCATTACTGGGTCTGCATGACTACCTAGGTACCTAGGTACAGATCTGCTTCAGGGCTATATTCTTTTGCCCTATGGAGAGTGTGTGCTGCCTCTACCCTAATTATCTGCAGTGCATATGAATGTTCTAGTAACTGCCAAGCCACTCACCCACGGTGAAAAGATTTAGGTCTTGTGGCTAGATGTGTGCTATCTATTGGTGCTAGCTAGCCAAACAAGACCAATTGGCATAAAGAACTCTATTAGTAATATCTATCTAACACTTGCAGGCACAACAAACAATATAGCCCCCTAATGGTAGATTATGTGCTCCTTAATTACAAATAATGTATTCCAATCAGACCATTCCAAGCCCTCAGTGCATGCATTGGGCTCAGCTCTTATTCCTACAAGACACATCTGTGTATGTTGAAAGAACTTTACTGTCTTCTGCTCCAATGTCCTTTACTTCTCATAGAAATGGATTTTGTGCTGAACTCATTACTAAAGTATAAACAAAATTTTGAGACAGATCGGTAGACTACTGCACGACAGACGCCCCAGCCAACAGGCCACAATTCCAAGTCGCCCAAACTTGGAATCCAGTAGTTGTTACACCCACACCATTGCAGGTTCCCCCTTGGATTCAAGCTGCCTGCAGGGTATGTTGTAGGGTACTTAGGTACTTACTAGAATGCGAAGACAGTCGTCACTTAAACAGGAAAAGGTGTCCTCGTGTTGGAATTCTAACTTCCCGTGGAGAATCACTGAAGACAGTCTTCATGATCTAGACTCTAAGGTTTTCTAAAGATGAATATAGTGAGCTCAAAACCATGAGGCCTGGTGGAAAAATACTTTCACCAGCACTCCAATCCTTTGGCTCAAGTAGGAAAACAAGGAGGCAAGCCCAGGGCTGGACAGGCCTAGAATGAGTCTGGGCGTGGATCGGTGTTCAATGAGAGGCCCGTGGCCATTAGATGCTGCCTGGCTTGGCTGGTTCCCCTACTTCCTGTTGCCTTCCAGCTGTGAGTTCCAATGTTACCTGTCAAAAAAACGTCAGCAAGTAAATCCTGTGTAGCTTAAACGAATAAGAATAGATTGACCTACCGGCCCATCATTTACTAGTGCAACTTCCATCATGGCTTGAAAGACCCCATCTTTCACTTTTTCTGCCGAGTAACCCTCCTTTACCTTGCTGAGAAAGTAGTGGTACAGCCGTTTTGCCTCATCCGGCGCTAGGGCTTGGTGGAAGCTTGGTTTATTGCCTTTCTTGGTGGAGGCGAGCAAGGTAAACTGAGAGACGCAAAGGACCTCGCCTCCAATGTCTTGTACGTTCTTCTTCCACTGTACAAAAGGTCAGACAAGGGGCTCAGCTGAGTGTGAAAGTGGTATTAGGGGGCTAAATACCCTTCCTCCATTTTCATCGTCCCACAATTTCAGCTTGATGACCTTAGCTGCAAGGCTGTCGGCCTCTTTTTCTGTGTCCCCTGGCGCCACAGCAGCAAAGACCAGAACGCCCTTGCCTATCGAGGAGACAAGCTCCTTTTCCACAGTGACAGATGCTGAAAGCACTCGCTGTAGTATGGCTGCAGATAACAGATAAGGAATGTGAAGACACAGGCGAACGGGAATGTAGGGATTGACTCACCCTTCATCCTGAGGCTGGGGCTGGGGCTACAGTTTCTGGTACAAGCAGTCAAGTTGTCAAGCTGCACAATTTGCCTGGACAGACAGGGCCAAACACGCCTCCTCGGGTAAATCTAGATGGCCTTATCCAGCCCCTTGGAGGACCTCTTTTGCAGCTGCAAAAACGCCGGTATCATGTGTGAGATTAGACAAGTCAGATTGAGTGTAAGGGCCTAGGTCAGGCCATGGGTAGGTCGCTGGCACATGGGGGCAGATAGATCTATTTCAAGATTGGGTGACCGAATTCACAGCTGGTGTAGGGTGGGTCCAGATGTCCATGACCAGGCCTGGTTGGCAGATTGGCAGATTGGTACGAGCGGCTGGAGAGAGCCTGCCAGGCTGCATGGCCCGTGCCCCAAGGCGGGCCCTCACTGCCTCATTGAACGGCTGACGTCTGTTGAAGCCCAGATGGCATGTATCCTGACTGCTGTGCCAGATAAGACCCAACAGAGTCGCAGCTCATCCAAGCTCACAAAACGGATGAATGTGGGTTGTTTGGGGGCCAGAGGGCATTTTGAAACCACCGACCGACCGTTCCAACGGAATTTAGCTCCTCTCGGCCCCAAAGCTGACCTCGAAGGCTGGCTCCCAGCCTGCCAATTACTAACAGGGGGTACATCGTAGGCTAATGACCCTCCCAGCAACCGCACTCCAGCTGTTTGGCTACCTAGTGCTGAACCTCAGCATTGGCTGGTAGCCTTGTGACCTCTTCTTCCCGACTGACTGCCCCAACGGCTGCTTCCCAACACCAGAGACGCATCAACACCCACCTCGACCTCATCCCTACTCACAAACGGACGCCTGGCCATACCCGGCAGGTATTTGATCCACCACCACTCATCTCTGACGGGCTCGACCCTCGGCCCTGGGCCAACAACCTGGTACCCTCCTCCAAAGCAGCACGACCAATCGGACCACCACACCTCGACGAGTTACGGTCGCGGGTGCCCTTTGTCAACTCGATAGCATACCGTTTTCCCTGCTTCACCTTTCCTCGGATGCCCCCCAGGGCACTACGGCCTCGACATGGCAGCACGGAAACTGGCGCAGGAGGTCGACAAGACCTTCAAGAAAGTCACCGAAGGCGTCATTGAATTTGACGAGATATACGAGAAGATCGAGCAGTCAAATAACCCGGCACAGAAGGAAAAGCTCGAAGACAGTCTCAAACGGGAGATAAAGAAGCTGCAGAGGCTACGGGACCAGATCAAGACATGGGCTGCCAGCAACGACATCAAGGACAAGGGTCCATTGATAGAGCAGAGGAGGACGATTGAGACGGTGCGTCTGGCGGTGAAACCTTCTGGTGCGAGAGGCTAACTGTGGTCCAGCGGATGGAAAAGTTCAAGGCCGTGGAGAAGACGATGAAGACAAAGGCGTTCTCGAAAGAAGGACTGTCTGCTGCTGCAAAGCTGGACCCTAAGGAGAAAGCCAAGCTCGAAGCTAGCGACTTCCTCGGCTCGCAGATCGACGTACTGGAGGAACAAATTGAGAAGATGGAGGCCGACGTGGAACAATTACAGGCCGGCATGAAGAAGGGGAAGAAGGCCAAGAAGGATGACGCGGAGGCGATAGCCAACATCGAGAACGTCATCGAGAAACACAAGTGGCATCAGGGCAAGCTCGAGCTAATTCGGAGGTCCCTAATGAACGGTGGTGTCGAGGCAGATCAGGTGTTTGATCTCAAGGATTCCATTCGGTACTACGTCGAGGAGGGCACGTCGCAGGAATACATGGACGACGACGAGATGTACGACGACCTGAATCTCGAAGAGGAAGAGGACGTGTTCGGCATGAACCAGGAGAACGACAAGATCTCCAGTCAGGACAACCAGTCTGTGGCAGACGACGTGACAGAAACGGAGGGCAGGTCCTCGAGTGCCACAGCAAAAGGAAAGGAGAAACCATCGGCAGATGCTGGCAACCCAGCAGCGAGGAAGCCGTCGTCTCAACTGAAATCACCACTGCCGACACTCGCAACGCTCTCGACCCCGTCGTTACCTACCATCAGCGGCCCAATACCGGGTAATAATGGAATGAAACCGGCGTCCGTGCCAACGAGACCACCCGGGGAGGGCCTGAAATATGCGTCTGCGGCAGCGGCGGCAGCAGACAAGAACAACGTGGGGATCGCGCCGCTCCCACCCCCGCCAAGTGCGCACCCTGCGGTTGGCATTTCCTCGGTAGCGAACCAGTCGAAGACGAGTTCAACGAGTTCACCGAGCATCTCGTCAGCACAGATAGCGGCACCTCAGCCACAGCAGGCGGAGGCGAAACACCCACCGGCCGCGCCTGTTGCAGCCGCGAGTGCTCCTACACCCGCAACTTCCACGCCCAAACCCGAGGCCGCGAAGCCTGCGCCCGCGCGTGCGACAGGCAAGGCGTCGGCGCCTGCAGAGCCAGCTGAGGCATCGACAGGTAGCACCCATGGCAAAACCCCGTCAAGATTGCCCCGCACTGACCGTCTTGCAGCACCTCATACGAACGGCGTGGCCAACGGCGTCAAGTCTTCCGAGCCAGGGTCGGAGGAGGAATCCATATACCACCTCCCGTCCTCTCTGGACGACCTCGTCGAGTCGTGGGAGGCAACAAAATCAAATCCTATCGCACCTGCCACGTCGCCTGCGGCGCAGCGATTGCTGGCGGCTTCTAGGAAGATGGCGCCCGACGTTGCGGACGCTGAGGCGCCTCGCAACTACTACCCCGAAAGCTACTGGAACACGAACAAGACGTGGCCCAAGGAGCCGCTTCAAATCATGGACAACCCCCAACTGTACCAGCCGACCAAGGTGGACAATGATACCCTGTTCTATGCATTTTACTACAAGCAGGGCACGTATCAACAATACCTGGCCGCCAAAGCGCTCAAGGACCAGGCGTGGAGGTTCCACAAGCAATACCAGACGTGGTTCCAGAGGCACGAGGAGCCCAAGAACATCACCGAGGAGTTCGAACAGGGCACATACCGATTCTTTGACTACGAATCGACGTGGTCAGTCTCCCCAACACGCCGCCGCGAGGGATGGCCCAGCCAGCCCTTCTGCATTGCGCTGGCTGCTAACATGTTCCCCACAGGATGAACCGCAGGAAGGCCGATTTCAAGTTCGCCTACAAATTCCTCGAGGACGAAGTCTAGAAGATGGCAGAGGGTGGGATACAGGCAGTGGCCCAGGCCCGGACGGTGGTTTACAGGCTGATGTTTACATTAATGCCCCGGCAACGACCAGCAGGGGTAGGCTCCGCACTCGGGCGGGACTGCTGGGGAGGACGGCGGCATCACGCTGTTGTTGCTCGGCGGGCGGGTCCGGGGAGGCAGGTATGTTCTGTCGATGAGCCTGGTGCGATGGGGAACTGGTGTCCATTCGCCTGTCTGCGGGGGAGGCTGGGGGGAGCCCCGGGATGCCAGTTCCGGGATTTTGTACGTGTGTGTATTGGCGACAATGGGTCTACATTGCAAGGCAACGGAGGCGTTGAGGCGACACGCGCACTCTAGGACATCATACCAACATGCAGCTAGACAAGGCAGGAGGTATATACGTGCGTGTCAGAGCCTCCGGTCTCCCGGTCTCATTCACAGAATATGATTCATGCCGCTTGCTGCCAGCAAAACAACATGTCCCCCGACCAGGTGTATGTGGACGGAGACTAGACTGCGACTAGACTGCGACACCCACCGCGAATCCGTTGCTTGCAAGCTCATGCTTGCTGTCCTGCCTCACTATCGATCTGCCTGCATGCAAAGCCCAAGTGGATGGATGCACTGGTGCCCGACGCACGCAGCTGGAGCAGAGCAGGCCCAAGTCATCTCTTATATGTTATGAGGTCCATCCGGTTGCCTTCTTATTTTGCCTCGTGTGGCTCCAGCTGCCTGATCGATCTGCCGTGTTCACTTACTTTCCTGCTTGCAATTCTGGAAATTGTTTATTTTTTTTATTTTTTATTTTTCCCCCCTTGTTGCTGTTGTTGCTGTGTTCTTCTTCTCAGCGCCCCCACCCCTCCCTCCCTATTGCTCTGGGCCGCTGCTGAGCCCCCGAGCTTCCGAGCTTCGACAGGCTGCCGGTGGCTGTGCCCAGTGGTCAACAACTGCTGCCTAGACGGGACCCGACGTGCGGCAATCAACGCTGGCACTGCCAGACTGCCATGTGCGCCTTCATGTTTTGCCCACCACTGCAGCCCCGGCCTGCTCACGTCCCAGCTTCTTAAGCAAGTAAGCGCGTCGTGCGTGGTTTCTTCAGCACCATGTCATTAATTACCAGCCCTGCAGGTCAAGAGCTCGACCTCGGCCCCGGCCCAGGCCCAGGCCCAGGCACCCTATCATCGGTACCAGAAGCTACCCCAGGGGTTTGGGGCCGTGAAGGATTTCGAACTGGCTTCAAGATCGAGGCATTTTCGGCCTTTTGCCGCCCCTTGGACGGGCCTGCTGACCAGGCGATGGGATCGCCGTGCGAGGCCCCCTCCGCAGCGTCAAAACAGGTGTGGCTAGCACGACAAAAGCAGGACACGCAGGGCCGACATCTTGGCTCGATGGGGCAGTTGAGGCAGTTGAGGCAGTCGAGGCAGCTGAGGCAGCTGAGGCAGACTGTCGGGCGAACCACGCTGCGATCCTTGGCGGCGGGCGAACCAGATAGCGGACCCGACTAACAGCAGCTCTGCTCTTAGCCGAGAGTTGAGGCTGGCAGGCTGGCCGTCCTGGTCTGGTGCTGCTGTGTGGCGCGGGCTCCTCGCCGAGCCTACATTAACGACTACATTCATGTGTCACGCACGCCGGCTCCGCATCTTGAGACCTGCAGAGAGCCCTGGCCCGGACGACATGCATGTCTCTCACGCTCACTCTTCACTCTCACTCTCTGCCTCAGCCCCCACCACGCCTCACTGGTCAACAAGTACCTCGGGGGGACTACATCGTCGCCTTCGCGAGCTTGGAACCGCAGCACACAGCGCGCCCTCGTGATCGGCTGCGCGTGCTCCTTCATCCCGTCTCGATGGCCTCGCTGTGAGCAAACAAAATGGCTCACTGGTGCCGAGAGGATTCCGTCGACATGTCTCCCAGTTTGCTGGTACCAGGTGGCCAAGCGGCCACCGATATCTTGTCGTCCCAAGGGTGGAGGTGACGTGCAAACAGATGGGAACACACGCTTGGCCCACCACACCCTCTTCGTTTCCCTGCCCACAAGCCTCGTCCACCCTGCATCGCGGCTCATCCCTATGTGGACCCACTGCTCTCCCTGCCTCTTGCAACATCCCCGCCATGTTTTCACCCTTGTTCGTCGGCTATGGGCATCACGTCGTCCACTTGCCTCGCTTCTATTCGACGGCACGAGCGTGCTTGTCAGCCCCGTCGAGGCGACCGTCATCTGCAGATTATCAGGCCTCGATCGGGATACACCCCTACTGCGGGCTTGCTTGATGTCACCGCCCCGTCCTCACCGTTACTTGAGCCTTTTACTGCACGCTCTCTACTTGGGACTCGGCCCTCTGGCGCGTGTGCCTGGCACTTGACGTCGGTACCTGGCTCGCCGAGCTCTGATTTGATAGCCCGTCACCCCTGACAGCACACCGGCGCCAGCTTTCTCTACATGGGCCCCGCCTACGCTTATCCTTCGCTCTGTTATTCCGGTCCTGCATGTCCGCAATTGGGCAGAGTCTCAGGCTAAGTGGCTGTATCATCTTCTAGAAGCCATGGGTGAGTCAACCTGCAGTTGAGCCTCTTCTCCCTGCCGAAGCTCCTTGCCCGTCAGCGACGCTTCCATCGCGTCTTGCGGGGCTCCGAGGCCATTATGACCGTCTTCTGTGTTGTCCTGGTGGTCCTGCATATTTATGCCTCATCGCCTATGCCGACATCGTTCATCGTGGCCATGGGGAGCAAACGCCCAACCAGTCGGACCAATAAATCGCTTGTCCCCATCATCCCATGTCTCGTTGTCGGTGTCGTTTGCTCGCCTCATATGTCCAAAGTGCCAGTTTTACCAAGCCCGTGCCCTGCCACACCAGACTTGCTCTCTCATTGTCAAACGGCGCCCGTCCAGCTCCCGGATCAAGATAATTACATATATCAGCCATAGTCGAGGGCGAACCCTTTTAGCTTCAGCGTCCTCTTCATCTACCTCCGGGCATAGCAATTCATCTCTGAGAAGTGCCTTTGATCAATTTGCGGCAAGATCCTGCCCCTGCTCGCTTTGTGAATTCTTTTCCCGCAGTATTCTCCATCCGCTCTCCGCATTCCACATAGCCGCGTTCCTCTTCATAAGCCTTGCCGGTGGCCGGCGTGCCCATGCCAGGATGTCTGGCGATCGATTCGACTACATACGAGTGCCCACGGCTTACAACAGTTTCGGTTTTGATGCCAACGACTTGGTAGACTATAGCAACTACAACGGGAGCCTACAAAGAAGTTTGTCCGGGATTTCCGACGACACGGCTTCCTTGGGGTCCCCAACGACATATCAAGCCTCCCCAAACTTGGACAACTTCAGCTACAACTTCGACTTCACCCACTACCCTAGTAACCCATTACCAGCACCAAGATCTACTACGTCCACCACAGGTAGCACCTACGCTACCCCTTGGACCGACACAAGTAGCGCCCGGTACAAAAGCGCGTACAGTTCTCAGTCGGCCGTGACAGGCCCTGTCAACAGACAGTCAAGCAGGTAAGAGTGCCAAACTACATCCGGATTGACAGAATGTAACTACACCTCATCCAACACTTGTCCACTTGACCCTACACATCTTTTGTCACGGTTTCGAGCCATGCCAGGCTAACACTGCACAGCGTCATGGCAACCCAAGCACCAGAATACGTCTGCCTATATGACGGCTGCCGGCAGAAGGCCTTTCGGCGGTCGGCCGACCTGGACCGACACATAAAGCACGTGCACCTGAAGCCCCCGGACGTGTACTTCTGCGACTACAACCGGTGCCCGCGGAGCGAAAAGGCCGTGGCAGCAACCGGGGGTGCGACGACAACGTCCAGCCTCATGGAGACAGTCACGTCCCCCGGCGCCGGCGGCAGCAGCACCGCAGCCGGGATCGGGGCCTTTGGCCGCAAGGACCATTGCCGTGCGCACTACCGCGAGTATCACCGGGAGGACATAACGCGGCGCAACGGGAAGGAGTCCGCCAGCTGGTTCGACGACCGCAACATCTCCAGCACCTGGTGGCGCTGTACAAAGTGCCTGCGCAAGGTTTCCAACTCGCGGTCCGGGTGGGAGTGCCGCGACTGCGGGCAGATGCTGGAGCCCGAGCGCATAAGCGCCCGCAAGAGGATGGGTATCAAGGGCTCTTCCTCGTCCTCGAGGGCTTACTGACTGACTGACTGACGGGAGGAGCCGGGTGGCCACTCCTGTCGGTTGTTGGCGGGGGGTGAAGGGTGTGTGGGGGGGGGGAGATGGCGGGTGTTGTGCCGATTGGACTCGAGCTTCTGTCTCGTCTCTGTGGGTGGATTGGCGCTCCGGAGCTGGGTTGCAACGTGTCTATCACGCTTCGCTGAAGGATTGACGTCGTGTCACCCGCGGCGGCGACCGCACCCTGCAGGCAGGCAGACAGCAGTTCTCCAAGCCGGGAGGCAAGGCACCAGCTTGGGCTACGCGAGGCTGTCTTGCCGCATTTTCCCATCGGGCTTGCGTTCGCGCTCTGCCTTGTTGCCTTGTTGCCTTGTCCCCATGCATGCTTTTATTTCAACACTTCTGCTTCTTTATGAGGCACCCGCACACCCACTGACACGCGCAAAGCAGGAGGTCGAGGCGGGCGGAAAGGGAAGGTTCAATGGGCTTTATTCTGTTCTTGTAACCCCCAATTTTTGAAGTTTTGCGTATTTCCTGTCGCCCTTCCCACTTGCATATCGCGTCAATCTCCCGGCGCCTGGTGTTTGCTTGACACAGTGCCTCGTGGCTTTTCCGTTGCTGCTGCTGTCTACAGAGTTCCCATATCCATGGCGTCTTTGGAGCATCCCAGGATCATCGGCAGCCTGGATCGGGCTCTTCAGAGCATGGCTTCAATGTTCACATCCTTTTTTTCTCTGCCTTTGTTTTTTTCTTTCCTCTTTTTTCTTTTTCTTTTTCCCTTTACAACTATCGCTCTGTGCTCTTGTTTTCTCCAGCTCATGGGGCTGCCTTGCTTGGTTCGCTTTGGAGGGGTGCGGTGTGGCGCGGTATGGCGATTCAAGGCAGACTGACAGGCGTAACGGCGTATTATGAGGTTGAAGTGCATTTTTCACTCAGAAGATTGGGTTGGCGTTGGGCGAGGCGCAATGTCAGCCGACTAAGATGGTGTGGAGAGACCGGTGCTTGTTGGTGGTTATACGTTGGTGCGGTTACACAGCATGAGGATAAGAGGCGAGGGCTTCTGTCAGTGTTGTGGCAGTGTAAAATTCATACACATATTGCTCGGATGACGAAACTTTGCCAGGAAAGTTCCCACGCCATCATTTGCCTTTTAAACGCCGTCAGAAGTGCTTTCTATAACTGTAAATCTGCCTACTTAAGTAGGTGATGTATAATTTAATTGCACGTGGGCTGCCATTATACGCACAACCTGTTTCCGTTATGAACAATAGCCAATGAGGACGTGGTCGATCTCATGTTGATCACTACAACTTTCCCAGTTTCACTGCGTCTACGTCCTACAGGACGAAGCATATTCAATTACCAATCTGTTATGGTGATTGGGGTCCGGGGCCATAGCCCGTTCTCAAAGCATTTTTGCAACCATATCGCCTTTGATCACGTGTAGCCTTAAACTTTTAAGCATGCGCAACGGCTCACCTGTGATCAATAGGAGATGGCCCAAGGCCTATGTCAATCGTATATACATGCAACGGCTTTGTGATCTGGCTCTGGCCGTCCGGCTGGAAAGGAGCTCCCCGGTTCAACTGCGCAGCCGGCAGCCACAGCCTGTTCTGGTTGTCAACCCACATCGCATCAACCCAGAGCAGTCTCTCGTCCCGGACAATTGTTGTCCTCGTGCCATTGGGATAGATCTTTTCAACAGCGTGACGGTCCGTGTCACTGACATAAATGTTCCCCTCGGAGTCGATAGCGGTCCCGCCGGTGGACGGCGTCAGCGCATACGGCTCAACATGGCCAGACAAGACGCCCAAGCTTGCCATGGATGAGTTGTAGAACGCCTCGTCAAGGAACCTTGTCTCGATACGCGACATGCCTCCGGAGGCGGGCTGATAGTAGAGCCACTTTCCGTCCGGGCTGACCTCTAGCTGGTCCGCATGTACGTACGAGGGCTCCCCTGAGGAAGACCGCAGGATGGTGCCCTCACCGCTCGGGGGCGTGAACGCCCCGACAGACAGGTCGCCTTCCAGGAGCCGCACAGCATGACCGCTGTCCAGGTCAAGGACGATAAGCGCGCCGCCGGCGCCGGCGTCGGTCAGGTAGGCCCTGGCTCCAGTGGAGTCGAATCGTACGTCGTCCAGCAGGCTGTCGGAAAGTGTCACGTTCCCCATGGGGTAGACACGTGCGACCTCATTTGTGCTTGTGTCGACGACAACCAGCTTGGGGCCTTGGGGAAGGATGACAGGGCTGCCGAAGCCAGGAGATCCGGTGTCGACCAGCCACAGGTTGCCAGCGGGGTCGACACGCTGGCTATTGACGCGTACGAGGGTAGTGGACGGGTCACTGTCACTGTCCGGGCCGGCATATGAGTTCCACCGTGAGTCTGGGTACGGGACGGTGGTACCGTTGACCCACTCGACCACCTCGGGCAGGCCCATGGCCTGCGTGCCGTCGACGCGGGCGTAGAGAACAAAGAGGCGGCCGTCTTGGGTTGTGCTGACGCCATTACAGGGCGTGTCGAGGGTCAGAGCGACCTGGACGCGGGGGTCTTGAGAGGCCAGGCGAGAGGAAGCCACCGCAGCGGCCAGCACAAGGGGGCGAAGACGCATATTCCGTCAAAGTCACAGTAATGTTGCCCTCGGCGGTGTGGCCAGGCGGCTTGACAAGATGTCATGCACACGCTCATGGATCCGTGGGTGGTATTTATACCCAGCACCACGGCCATGAGGACGGATTGAGTGGTACAATGCCGCAGTGGTGACGTGCGGAACCCCGCCATGAGGCGTGAATGAGCTGCTTATCAGCCAATCTGCATGGTGATGGCGATGCAGCCCACTGCTCACTACATACCCGGTACTATGCAGTAAGTACCTAGGTAGGTAGCAAAGCCGGCGCGAACCCACAGAGATGAGCCGCACATAAGCCCACGGCTGATCCTGGCATCGGCTGCCGGGTTGTGGGGAAGCATGTGGTTCCTGACAGCCTCGCAGCCGTCGACAAGTCTCGGGGGACTTCAGGAAGGCCTCTCGCGCATGCACCACGCTGGGCACGCGTGAAGCCATTGCGAACTGGCAGGCAGCTGGTAGGATGGCTGGATGGCTGGATGGCTGGATGGCTCGGTCAGTGAAGAAACAGCTGGGGTCGGTCCCTTGGCGGCACCGAGTCCAGGTCCCGCCGGGTGGCTGTTTCGCACCAGCAAGTCAGACGGAACTGCGACGATCTATCCTCGACTTGTGACGCTTTCCCCAGGTTTTGCCCCCACCCTCAGACCAGGTTGGCCAAGGGTCCTGCTTAGCGACTGCGGGGAAGCTCGTGCAGGGAAGGTGGGAAGTACACTGCTCCGTACGCCGCGGGTAGGCACAGTGGGTACCCAGGTACCGGGTACCTAGGTGCTCGAGTGCAGTCCTTGTAGCAGAGTTGCATCTGGAAATGTGCCGCGGCATCTCTGGCCGAATCTCCAACAGGCACTTCAGGACCACCATGGCGGGTGCAGGTACTTAAGTACCTATGTATCTATCAATCAGCCATGGAGGTTACCAAGGTATCAACGAGCCCAAACTGCCAACTGTCATAAGGCCCCTCCCCTCCCTGCCTCAAAACCGCTCAGAGCTCTCCTGCTTCTCTCCTGCCGACTCCTCCTCCCTCCTCCATATCGTCGTCGGTGCCATACTTGCTTATACGACATTCAATTGCCTACTACCACTACCAACGAGCCGACCACGCCGAAAGTGGGCTCTCCTCCGTTCTGCGGCTATAGACCATCCGGGTATCGGAGCCAGATCCCAGCTCACCTCACGGCCGGCCCACTTGTTTTTTGCGGCCATACATAGTAGTGCAGAGATCTGCGAGACGGAGAAACCGTCGGCTGCGACCCTCGGCGCCTTCCTTGCTGTTATTACTGTCGACTCTCGCTGGGCCTACTCCTGCTCCAAGTCCCGCGCCTCTCTCAACCTCGGCTCCTGAGCTGCTGTCTGCAGACTGTACTCTGTACCACGAAACCTGCCCTGCTAGGCCCTTTTTTGTAACACAGGCTACCTGGGTAGACTGCCTCACGAGCCTTAGTACCGCTTCCAAGGTTCCCCCACCCTCCAGCCCGCCCGTCATGCGTCCCGCGGCCGCAGCAGCGACTCTTCGTCGCACGGCGTTCGCCTCTGCTCGCCCCAGCTTCAGGCTTTCTCCGGTCACAGAGGCAGTCCCCGCCCTCAGGGTCGCAGGAATCATGCGCACAATGGCCACTGTTCCCAAGATCAAGGTCAAGAACCCCGTCGTCGAGCTGGACGGCGACGAGATGACTCGCATCATCTGGGAGGACATCAAGAACAAGTTCATCCACCCTTACCTGGACATCGACCTCAAGTACTACGACCTGGGCCTCGAGTACCGTGACAAGACCGACGACAAGGTCACTGTCGACGCCGCCGAGGCCATCCAGAAGTACAGCGTCGGGGTCAAGTGCGCCACCATCACCCCCGACGAGCAGCGCGTGGAGGAGTTTAAGCTCAAGAAGAGTGAGTCCCTCCGCCCTCAAGAGGCGGAGCTCTGCCGTGCTGCGGTTCCGTGACTGATCAGCGCTCAGTGTGGCTGTCCCCCAACGGCACAATCCGCAACATTCTCGGCGGCACCGTCTTCCGCGAGTCGATCATCATCCCCCGCATTCCGCGGCTCATCCCTGGCTGGGAGAAGCCCATTGTCATCGGCCGCCACGCATTTGGCGACCAGTACCGCGCAAAGGACCGTGTCATTCCCGGCCCCGGAAAGCTCTCCATGGTCTACACCCCTGCCAACGGCGGCGCGCCCGAGGAGATCGAGGTCTACGATTTCAAGAGCGGTGGCGGTGTCGCCCAGACCCAGTACAACACTGACGAGAGCATCACTGGCTTCGCGCACTCTAGCTTCAAGATCGCCCTCGACCAGGGCCTGCCTCTGTACATGAGCACCAAGAACACCATCCTGAAGAAGTACGATGGCCGCTTCAAGGACATCTTCCAGGAGCTGTACGACACCCAGTACAAGCCAGAGTTCGAGAAGAAGGGCATCTGGTATGAGCACCGCCTGATCGACGACATGGTGGCCCAGATGATCAAGAGCAAGGGCGGATACGTCATGGCTCTGAAGAGTGAGTGAAACGGCCGCCTTCTTCGCTTCGAGAATGAATACCTTTACTGACATTTCAAATAGACTACGACGGTGACGTGCAATCTGACATCGTCGCCCAAGGTTTCGGCTCCCTGGGCCTCATGACCTCTGTGCTCATCACCCCTGACGGCAAGACCTTCGAATCCGAGGCTGCCCACGGCACAGTCACCAGGCACTACCGCGAGCATCAGAAGGGCAACCCCACCTCCACTAACCCAATCGCATCTATCTTCGCATGGACCCGTGGTCTTGCCAAGCGTGGACAGCTGGACAACACTCCGGAGTTGGTCGCCTTCGCCGAGAGCTTGGAGAAAGCCTGCATCGACACCGTGGACAAGGACGGCATCATGACCAAGGACCTGGCATTGGCATGCGGCAAGGGCCAAGACCACGTTACCACCACCGAATACCTGAACGCCGTCGAGAGGAGAATGAAGGGTCTGCTGAAGCAGAAGTTGTGATGATGAGATGCTCAGGAAATTTCGAGCCACGGAGGTCGACCTCAGTCTCCTGCATGGGGCCTTCATGCGCCATCGCAGTGGAAAAGATCTGAGTGAACCAGGATATGCTGGAGCGAACGAGTCCAAGTCGACACTGACTGGTACGAGGCGAGACCAAGTCATATTGTATTCTTGTCTGGGCAGAGACAGGCTCCGTCACTTACTGTACTCTGGAGGGAGGCACCCGTCTTTCTACTTTATTGTTGTTCTTGCATAGTCGGCCGTCTGACAAATCCGCTTTTGGACTTGTTCGATTTCATTTCATCTGCGCGCTACTGTGTTTCTGTCGAGCTGCTCTATGACGCGCAATCATAAAGTCAAAGACAAGAGAAGACGTTGGAATACAGGATACAGGGATACAAGAAGCCGCCGATGGGTCAGCTCGTATAAAATGTAAATACACAAAATCAAAGAGAGCAGTACCGGGGCAGACAGAAGGGTGACCTCGCCGATTTGCAATTGGATGCGTGCCTTGGCTCTTGAAGTTGCCACCAACAAGCTGGCTCTCGTGAGGCGGGTGTGCTTGAGGGCACGATACATCCCAGTCGCACGCCATATCTGCGCTTCACCGTACTTGTTTGGGCTAACCCGGCCAGTATATATATATATTCTGGAAGGCCACTGCTACTGATTGTGGGCTACTATGGCAGAGCATGTATTGCTGCTCGTACTCTTTTCATGCGCACTTTCATGCGCAAAGCGTCCGATTCGGTGCGCACAACATGGGTGGCTTCAGGCAGGGTTTCGAAGGATAACAAAAAAAACTCGAATTCAACTAATTCGTCCAATATCCCGTCGCAGGATGCAGCCTTCTTGACTGCGGGCTCTCTCCCACCGCGAAATTGCAGCGAAACATATTGAATAAAACATAGGTACCTCCCCCTACTCCTCTCCGGCTGTGTGCTCCTCCAGCAAAATCTTAGACGGTTCATTCCTCCATCTCGGCCTCTGCGTCTACCGATGCTGTCTCATCGGCCGAGTCCCTCAATTTTGCCGCCTTCTTCCCCAGCGGACTGTCGACTTTGCCAGAAGCCTCGATGCTGTCGTCTGGATACAAGGTGACAGAGCCACCCATCTTGGTGCGTCTCTTGATCGGCCTACGGCTTGACCCTCCCTTAGGGCGGTAGCCCGTGTCGTCGTCAACGGCCACGCGCTTTCGCTTGCCTTTGGTGGCGGATGCCTTCGCATTCGCGGCCTGCAAGCCGATCTCATCGTCCAGGTCATACATAGTCTCGTCCATCGACTGCCGCTTGACCTTACCGGACGCTGCCTTGGCCCTCTTGGGTGCCCGCTCGGCCTTGGGTGCCCGTTCGCCCTTGGCACGCGCTGCCCCCGTGCTTGCCCGTCCGCCTTCGCCGCTCGGTTTGCGGCCTGCGCCTGTCGCCTTCCTGGCAGGAGTTCGAGCCTCGTCGTCGTCATCATCCTCATCTATCGCGCGGTGGGCCTTGCGAGACTGCTTCTCGCCGCTGTGGCCCCTCTCCTTCTTTTCCTCGCCGGTCTCGTTGTCTTGTAGGAAAGTCTTTGGTGCGTTCTTCCTCAGCCAGTTGTATACACTCACTGGATTCCGTAGCGCAAAGTCCCGGCTCGTGGTGCTGATGCTGCTGGCTCCGGCAGCCGAGGTGTCTTTGGCATTAGGAAGACCCGAAGAGGGGGTGGCACCACGGATTCCGGCACCATGGCTGCCAGCGGCGCTATCACGGGCCAGAGGGGCGAGCGTGGGGAGCATCTCGACGTCTTCGCCACGCTCCTCGGCTTCAGCCCTGGCCTGCATGTCAACCTCCCACAAGTAGTTGTCAATGTCGTCGGCAGTAAGGAACGAGGGCGGGTGTTGCTGGTGGGTGGCCTCAGCGGCGGGTGAGTCTATGCCGGTAAGAAGGTCTGCTGCGAGCTCAGGGAGGCGCTCAGCGGTGGCGGCGAAATCAAGGTGTGGCGTGTCCTTGATGAGGTCTTTCAGTGACTTGGCGGGACGAGGGCCAGGCCGGGGCGCCCTGTCGATGCCGAGGATGAGACCTTCCTCGGCATCAGAAGGAATGTCAAGGCTGACATCGATGCGTTTCTCTGTGGGGATCTGTGGGCGGTTGTTGATGTCTGTGAGTAGGTCGAGGAGGCGGCTGCATCGAAGGTTAGCACGGGGCGATTGAAGTGGCAGGCGTGCGGACAGACGGACTCGTTGTAGATGGCCAATTGCTTAATCTTCCTCATGGCCTTGACTTCCTGTTGGTAGAGGTCCTCGCCCTGCGACATCTTCTGGTCGAACTTGATTCGCATCTTGCGGTACTTCTTCTTCCACGACTTGTAGGTGGGCTTCGAGTCGGCCATCCTGACGTCGGGACCGCCATCCTCGTGCTTCATATCGTCATCGGCCATGGCTGAGTTGCTGCGAATGCGACTGTTGGAACCGGCATGCATTGTTTGGCGGCAGCCCGTGCTAAGAATGCTGCCCTTTGTTGTGGACGAACCGTGATGCAGCCAAGGGATTGCAGGGAATTGCGATGCGGGTTCCCGGGAGAGGTTGTTTTGGAGACAAGTCGATGGATACCAGGTCCTGGAGCTTCTTTACAAGGCACGAGGTTGAGATGGAGCCGAGCTGCTGTTGATGGCGTTGGTGTTTTGGGGCGCGCGGTCTAGGGGGTGAAGGAAGCGTCGGGCTGAGCAGCCGGCCTGGCTGGTGTACGCTGCGGTTGGTGTTGCGAGTTATCTAGTCTATCACCTTGCTTATAAGAACACGCTTCGCGACGCGGCAGGCAGGTAGGTTCTCGGCTGGTTTCGACATGGACCTGGCTAGCCCCTGCCTCGACTCACCTGGGCAGGCTGGCAGGCTGGCAGGCTGGCACAGAGGGACCTCTGGCCCAAGCTCCCTCCCCTGTGAGTGCTCAACAGCTCCACGTCCCGCGTCCCACCTGCCCGCAGGGGGCGAATGGGCAGCAGCTCAATTTTGCTCGTGGCATCTTGATGTCAATGTTTGAAATTTCCCCATCCTGCGTCTTCCCACCATACCCAGCCAGCCCAGCCAGCAGACCCCCACCAAAACAACCCGCAACCTCCCCCGCCATCATTGCTGCCCGTACCGTGCTCCGGCGTCTTCCTTTTCTCAAGATGGCCGCCGAATCTGCCTCAAAGCGCCTCAAGACCAGCGACTCGTCCTCCGCCGTCACCATCGGCACCCACAATGGCCACTTCCACGCCGACGAGGCCCTGGCCGTCCACATGCTGCGCACCCATGTCCCGCGCTACCATGGCGCCCGCCTGATCCGCTCTCGCGACCCCAAGGTCCTCGAGACCTGCGATACCGTCGTCGACGTCGGCGGCGAGTACGACGCCGACCGCCGCCGCTTCGACCACCACCAGCGGGGCTTCACCACAGTCTTCCCCGGCCGCAGCACCAAGCTGAGCTCCGCCGGCCTGGTCTACATGCACTTTGGCAAGGAGATCATCGCCAACAGGCGCGCCGCAGCCGCCGCCGCCGAGGGCAGCAGCGAGGTCGACCTGATCTACAACAAGGTCTACGAATCGTTCGTCGAGGCCGTGGATGCCAACGACAACGGTGTGAGCGTGTACGACTCGGAGGGTATCGCCGCCGCCGGTCTGGAGAAGAGGTTCAGCGACGGCGGCTTCACGCTGGGTGCCATGGTTGGCCGCCTGAACGCAAACTGGAACGACCCCACGCCCAGCGACCCTGTCGAGGCGCAGGCGGCTGAGGATGACAAGTTTATCACCGCGAGCCAGCGGATTGGAGAGGAGTTTGACAGGGCACTAGACTATTTCGTCAGCGCCTGGCTGCCGGCACGCGCCCTCGTAGAAAAGGCCTTCGCCGAGAGGCCGCAGTACGACGCGCAAGGCAGGATAATGGTGCTGAGCGGCCAGAGCTGCCCGTGGAAGGACCACCTGTACGCCTTGGAGGACGAGAACAAGGAGGCCGGCAAGGTGTTGTATGTCCTGTACCCAGAGAAGCCCACACCAGACGCCAAATGGAGGGTACAGACGGTGCCCGTGACCAAGGACTCGTTTGAGAGCCGCAAGGCCCTCCCCAAGGAGTGGCGCGGAGTAAGGGACGAGGAGCTGGACAAGGTGTCTGGCGTGCCGGGTTGTGTCTTCGTTCACGCGGCTGGTTTCATTGGCGGGAACAAGACCTTCGAGGGTGCGCTCGAGCTCGCTAAGAAGGCGTTGGACTAGGGAGGGCAGCGTCGTCGCGCTATAAAATCTGTTTTCTGATCACCCCACAAGGCCGTGCGTGGGTTGGCTCATCTGGCGTTTGGAGGCAACATTCAAAAAGAGGACATGTTCGGCTACAAATAAATAGACAAAGTGGAAGGTACATGGTTTCGTACACACAAGACCCGTTCGAGATGCTGAGCCCTCTCTTGTCAAGTGACACTTTTTGCGCCTGCTTTCCACAGCCTCGAGCGACCTCGCGATGACTCCACGATCCCGCCAGTCAATCTGGGAGGGTGGTTTCTGGGCAAACGGTGCGTGTGTTTGAGTTGTAATAAGCAGGACGCCATGCGAGCGCGCGCATCGTGAAATTGGGGATAGACAGACTAAACAAAAGAAGATGATGCTGTAGCGAATGCAGTGTGTGCGCGTGCACACATCAGAAGGATCAGCAAAACGAAAGAAACGTAGAAACTGCCGGGGCCAATACACTTGATATGTTTGTCATCCATTTCTCAACAATTTCCCCTGGTACCGGTATCCCTTTCAACGCCTTACACCCCTATTCTGCCATCACGACGCGCATAGTAACACAGAGAAGGTCTGCCCTGCGCAATGATGGAACCGAATTCGAGAAAGAGTTTCCGTGCAAGCAACAAACAAGCCTCGGCTAGACAGTAAGAGAGTTTGCAGAGCGACCAATCAAAACAATTCAACCGACGAGGTGGTGAACCGAGGCGGGCCTGCGCGCGGCAGTGGCCCGCGGTGAGGAGTCAAGAGGCACAGCCCACGGCGACCCACCCCATCCATCACCACCCGAATGCCCAGCGCTCATGACCTGATAGGGATTCCCTGCTGGGCCGCGTCGCCGGCGTTCTCCTTATTATCGGGGTCCTCCTCGGCGCTCGTCTCGCGGACGAGCCCGCTGGAGCTCTCCTTGGCCGGACTCCCGGCCAGGCCACCGATGCCCCCGGCGCCAGAGGCGCCCGAGATGCTACCGCTCTTGGTGAGGCCGGGCGGGGTGGCGGTGGCTCCGCCGACGCCGTTGCTGCTGCTGCCGCCGCTGTTGTGGGGGATGTTCTCGGGCACGGGGTGTTGGCTGCCGACGGTGCCCGTGTCGACGCCGTCGCCCTTGCCGGCCTTGGACATGGCGTAGTCGCCGCTGTCAAAGTACTTGCGCTCCTTGAGGTGCTTGGCGAAGTGGTCGGAGCGCGAAGGGAGCTTGCCGTACAGGCGGAAGAGGCGCTGCTCCTCGGGGGTGAGGGACTGTTGGGGCGGGGTCTTGGGTCAGCAGGTGCCATTGTGTTTATTGTGCTTGAGGACTTTGAGAGATAGAGCGCCCATGACCGACGGTCGTGGGGAGTTAGGCGAAAGGACTTACGCTCACGTCGATCTTGTTCTTCTGGAGGGGATTCATGGCGGGCAGATGGCGGAAGAGGAGGGGTGTGTGTGGCGCGGCGGGGGGAGGGGGCTTTGGAGGAGCGGGCAGCGGGTGGTTCGAGTCCAATTGTAGTAGGTCTGCACCGAGAAAATGCTGGTGTTGTATTTCTTGACTGCAGCGAGTTGGGGTAATGGATGGGGCGTTCTCGCGAGGTTGAGAGGGTCGAAGGTTTGGTCGAGGTGGAAGTGGAAGAAGCAAACGGGGTGCTTCTTTTTGGGCCCCAAACCAAGTGCAGCCAAGCTCTGGGTGAAGGTGGGATGGGCTCGGGTGCTTGGGCAGTGCAGTGGGTGTGGTCCCCCTCACTTTGCCCAGTCTAGGGACAGTTGAAAGCCGGCGCGGGTGGCGGGCGGCGGGCGGCAGGCGGCAGGCGGCGGGCGGGCGAAGAGGGATTCTAGGCTCTGGCTCTGGCGGCACTGATCCCACTTCTCGCTATGTTTCGCCTGTCTACACCTGCACCCACTTCCAGCTTTTTGGGGTGCGTGTCAAACTCGAACGAACCTTTTGCTGTGCTGGAAGCTGTGGCCAGGTGGGGGCGGGGGTGGGGGGGGAGGAGCCGGGTCTGCAGCTTCCAAGGTTGAGTTACGGAGTACAATGTGCCCTATTGACTTGTTGGACTGGAATGTTTCGCGTGGTGTCTTTTGCCATGAGCCAATTTCTGGTTGATGCGAGAGGGAGGGGTGCTTGGTATATATGTTCAAATCTACCTTCTTGTCTCCCCCCCCCTGGCAGTGGTCCTAGGAAAGCATCCTAGACTGGCATGACCCAAAAGCCCAAATCTTTACTGAGTAGCATTATACAGAGTCTAACAACAGCCTTATTAGAGAGCCATGCTACCTAGGTAGGTACTTAGGTACATCATCAACAGGCGGGACGGGTTGTTATCGAGGCCTGTCCAATGCCCAACTGGCACCAGGCCCACCCAGGGCCCACTGTTATTCATGCCTTCCAGCGAGAGACATTTGTCGTCACCACACCAGCCACTTGGGCATCCGGGCTTCTGATCCACTCGATCTTGTTATTGCAAGAGCTGTCATGGAAACACGACCCAGTCTACTACGGAGTGCTCTGACTCATCGACTAGACCACATCGGCAGTTTTGGTCGAATCCATCAATGATAGTTAGTGCCCATGCCACCTCGGGCTCCACGGGCAGCCTCTCGTCTCGTGTCCCCTTTGCACCTGGGCACTTATTATTGCTTGACCCTGCGCCACAGACGACGTGGATCTCAGAGGAGGCTGCGCACTGAGAGGTGCACAGATGCTTCATTATCAACCTTGTCGTGACCGTGACCGCCTGGTGGTCACTCAATTACTGTACACATATTCTGACCACGTGCATTTCACGGTGGTGAAGAAGTGATTGACGGTCGGTGCCACATTCACTGGATCGTCCACCGCCTCAAAGAATAGCTACCCAGGTACTTAGTAGCCTTGGAATGCAGCTCTACAGTGTCGAAGTTGGACTTGGCACTCTAGAGCTCAGCCAGGTTGCATGGCCTGACCTGCCGACGTTGGTTGTCAGCGTGTTCGCTCCCGCCTTCAGAAAATTGGCCGGGACGACCCATGTGTGTTGTTCCTTGTAGACGCGATAGGCGACACGAGTCACCCCCTCCCCCCGGAGAACCAATACCTAGCTAAGTTTCTGGTAACAAGACCAGTCGGCGGCTATGTGTTGAAGTTACAGCAACTACTGTGAAGGAGACTCGCCGGGGCACCCGCGTCCTTCCCAGTCCAACTTCCGATCCTGGGTATGATACGGCCTCCCTTGAACTACAAATTTGTCCCGATGTGCAGTGCCGCAGTTCTTTGACCTGGGCTGACTGCAGGTTGAAGTCGACCGCGATAGGGCTGCCTGGCTTTGACCATGTAGCCATGGGGAAATTTTTGGCAGTGGAGAGTCCGACAGTCTACAAGTGTCCGTCCCACTCCATGATAACATCCGGATGTCGGAGCGGTGATTCCAGATGTCGAGTGCCTAGGTGATCTTCCCATTCTTCTTCAATTCAAATGGCTCGCCGTCAAACTCGCCGATGAGGAAGACTCGGCTTTGTTGGGCCTCTATGGATGCTTTGCCTTTGCTCGTGGTCCCACCAGCAGCGAGGTAACAAAGTCTGACGGAATCTCATACTCGCCTTTGTAGAGTTTCATGGTGCAAGTTCCCAGCTCCATCAGGGGCACTTTATACGCTCCAGTGGATGAATCGGCATAGGCTCAGCAAATTGCGTTACGAGGTTGCCACTTGAAGCGACCCTGATCTTGATATGCATGTCGACGGTCTCACTACCTAGTCATAGTCGAAGAGCCCAGCCCGGAGTTGATGGCGGTGTTCGTGAATGTGCCCTGGTACTGGACCCCTTCATATTCCGCGCTTGTGATGTCTTCCGTGAACTTTGAAGCTGTGAGACTTCCCCTCACTCGAATAATGAAATGCCGACTAACTGAAGTGCTTGGAAAACACATAATCAAGGTCACCACCGGTGTACGGTGTATGGGCTGCTGCCGGAGGTGAGTCCGAAGGCTGCCAGTGCAAGTTGGCTGAGAGCAGCCGCGGCGACTAGGATGACTGGTATTATCAACATCATCAAGTGTATCCGCCAAAGGCTGCCAAACATAGTTTAACAACGAGGATGGTGCTGACTACTGGAACTAGAACCAAGACTCGCTAGAAATTTGACAGCACCTGCTTGCTTACAAACACATAAACTCAACTAATCTAGCTACTAGATTCCTGAGAGATATAAGAAGATTGTATTTCTATAAAAGTCTAGCTTTAATTACACTATGTTCTTCCTTTATACTATCTATCTACTTTACTATTAAGTTCTTCTATAATAACTTATAAGGTGTGGTTTCAAGTGGTCTCATTTTTAATCCATATATGTCCAAGGACATACATGGCGCCTTCATACGGTGATTGGTCTGTTAAGGTTGTATTTTTCCATGAGTAAAGTTCCTGAGTGAAAAAGGTTAGGGGTGAATCCTGTACAATGCATCCCGAGGTCGTTACATGCATCTCGCCGGTACTGTTGGCCTCAGCCTTGCTCAAGCGGCCTTGAATCGACATGGAACAGTGCTCGATAGCTCATCTTAGGTTGGATGTGCCTTGAAATGTTTCTTGTGGTCGAGAGACTACCTAGGTACACATGTAGTAGTACCTTTCCTTGGGACCGATGTGTTTCAGGCACTTTCTAGACCTCGTGTGGTTCGGCCGTTGTACCTGAGTACAGCAGGTGTCGCAAAAGGGTTGATTAAGTTCGCGCCAGCTTATCCAGGTTAAGTAACACTCGAGTCAGTGGTGAAAGCACTGCACCCGGCACATGGTGCCTGCCCTCCAGGCCGATTGCTCCTAACTTCCTACCTCCTAATCGAGCCCAGACATCAAATGTATACTCTCTGTTAAGGACTCTTGTATGTGCATGTAGAATCCCAAGCAACAATATTGTGTGCCCCAAGCAGAGGCGTTACAGTTCCGGCTTCCACACCTGCTTCCGTAATCACTGCGCAGTGGGCACAGGTGAAAATGCTTTATGACATCACGCTGACATCGGAGTGACCTCTCCAGATTCACGATGCGACACCAGCTTGACAATGACGCACTTGCGGTGCTGAGGGTAGCTTATAAAGGCTTCATTGGATTTTGACAAACTCATGGACATCATCCAAACACCAGTCCAATACACCACCCATAGAAACAGCACCTGGGCAACATCATAGCCAGACACACGACCGTCGCCACATTACTTCGTCATCTAAAACCAGAACCAAGACCAAAATGCCTCGCCAGGGAGAAGGACACGTTGCCCACAACGCCGTTGATGCCAACGTGCCCCAAGTCGCCGACGGAACCGATGGAAAGGCAAGTTTCTAAATTTGGATTGCCATAATTCTCCCGACCAACGCAGTGAATGGATCAGAACTAAACCTTGCTGACAACGTCTGCTTGCAATACAGTCCGACCAGGTTGCCGGCACACAGAAGGCCGCACCCATGCCAGAGCAAGAGAAGGGGCTCGCAGCCGAGGGTGTGCCCGCCAGCGGGGGCTCGAGCCAGGGTATCCAGCAAGGTTCTGAGGTCGGTCAGGGTGCGCCCAAGCCTTGAATAGCGCCTCGAGGCAATCGGAGATGGTGAAGTATCGGGTAGTGTGTGGGTGCCTGTGGGTCCAGTCTGAAACCACGATATCGAGCCGTAATAGTGTATCATCAGGCAAGCAGACCTGGCCGGAATACCGGGAGCAGCAGCCTTGAAGCTCTGAGAATGGGCTCTAATGAATAAATGTGTGGATAGTCACCTAGGTAATCAGTGTGTATCAACGAGACAGCCAGTATCGTCTATATCTATCGTGTTCTTTTCAAGCGCTGGGTCTTGAGCGCTTATTACCACCGTATGGAGTCACCATGTATGTCCTCGGACATATACGGAATAGAAGCGAAACCACTCAATTTCTTTTTAACTCGTCGCAGCCTCCTTCGTGCCAGCCAATGCCTTGGGCCATTAGGTTCGTACCAGTACGGGTGTCATCGATTTCAGCCAGATCCAACAGGAGGCACAACTACTAGCTATAGGCTCTACCCGTCCAGCCAAAGGAGCAGAATAAATAACCCAAAGGATGAGCTATTCCTAGCAGTATCTACTGTCTCTTCGTATATGTCCGAAGACATCAATACATGGCGCATTCATACAGTGCACCGACAGTTATATAAATTTCATTGCCTTCAGTACTCATTAGTTGATGGCTTGCTTGGTCTGGTGGCGCTTGCCAAGCTGGAGGATGTGTATGTATACTATGGAGATAATTGTAGTTACTTATTAGGTTCGTGACTGCAAGACAAGAACGGGCCTACCTACCATACCGTGTGTTGATAGGTACTAGAGATAGTTACTGTAACTAACCTTTAAATAGGAAATCCTTTTTTTATAAGACTAACTTTAAGTATATTTAAATAGAAGAGAATATTAATCTTTAAATAGTTAATTAATATTTTAATATCTTTTTAATAATAAAAGATTTAAAGAGGAAAGATAATTATAAAGAGAAGAGATAAACTTATAGAAGGATTTATAGAAGGGAAAAGGGTTATAGAGATACCTTTCTCTATATAAGGAGAGGAGAAGTACTTCTTCCTTCCTTCCTTCCTTCCTTCTTATAACTTTAACACTAACTCCTCTACTTTCTACCTTTAAGTTAATTAATTAAAATTAACTATATTTAAAGATTTAAAAGTAAGGTTATTAAAAATAGGTTAATAAAAGTTAAGTATTTAAAAAAAACTTAATAAGAAGGGGAAGGAAAGGAATCTCTTTTAGTTAATTAATATATTTAAGTAAAAGACCTACCTTTAAAGAATAAAGAGCCTTTTAAATAAGTTTATATTTATTTTTATAACTTTTTTTTCTTTATAATTATTTTTAACCTTTAAAATATACTTATAATTCTTAAATAATTATTTAAATTTAATAATATAAATTATTATAATTATTAAATTAAAATAAATATTGTAATAATAACCTTAAAGAGAGAGAAGTAATATAATAATTAAGAGGTAGTTAAAGGTATATAGGTAGTTATAGTGACTATCTCTAGTACCTACTAACGCATGGTATGGTATTAAATATATTCATTAGGATTGCCGTTAATATCCTCCAGCTGTCGCGCATTACCTCCATGGACAACGTTCAAATAATGACAGATAGTCACAAACACGTACCTAGGTTGGCAGTGTGACAATTAGTAATCCATGGTGTGAAATGCAATCAGACTCCTTTTTGAATGCGTGCCAGGCAGTCCAACCTTCTCAATCCTCCGAGCCCCGGACCGAGCCAGCCCGCCCGGGTCCGGAATAAACCTTGAGGCTGATCTAATCTTGGCCGCCCCATTACCAAATTATGCACGCGGGGAGAGCTGGCAGGGCGGCCGCAGTGAGCATCCGACCTGTGTCACTGAGAATGCTTGGCACCTCACACTTCTCTCGCAGGTGCTCTTGATCAATGAAAGACGTAGCAAAGGGATTTCCGCCGTGTGACAATGTCGGCGGAGACGACATGGTCGCAGTCGTGCAGACAGATCGTATCAAGGTTCCCAAGCGCGACAAGCGTGGAGACTAAAGTTTAGAGAAGCTGGAAACCTTCTGCACCGTAGATTCGACCTCGTACTTCTGCGTGCTACCGGAAAGGTAATGTCGCTAGCCACTTCTAGAGCCAAAACAAGGTACGTGCTATTGCTATTCCTGGCAGACCTGCATCATAAATAGAGTTAGGTTGTGCGGAAACTGCATGCGATTGAGGGAGGTGTGCTACGGGGACTGGGACCTCGGGAGCGAGCACATTGCGTACCACAGTCGTGTAAACCATGTGTTCGCCGTATTTTTAGAGTTGTAGCAAATGGATCAATTCTGTGATTTCCGTGACACCCGTCACGACTGCGCTCTGTGATTTAAAGCCTACGCCCGTGGAGGTCTTGGCTTTCACCTCGGACAGCGAATACGGACTTGGGTAGCACTGTGCGACACTGCTCCCCGTAACCTCGTAGGAAGAGGTTGTGGCTTGTCGGAGCTTGCAAGCAGTACTCCCGTCGGGTAAGGTCAAGAAAACGCCGGGCGTTGGTAATGCTGCAGTGCCCTCTGTCCTACCTAAGTACCCTAGGGTAATGGCATGGGTAAGTCTCGAACAGTGTTTGGGAAGTAAACACCGAATTCACATGGCTTACGGTTGTGCTGGACCATTGTGTGTAAATGAGATCAGCACTATGTATATACAGATCAACTCTAGCCTCTGCAAATCTAGGTATATCCAAAACCGCGCGAAACAGTTTTGGCATGCAGCACCCGAATAATGAAAGATCGCTCAGTGCGTCCCTGTTATATTTCAAATAGCGCATCAAGGCCGTAAAATGACTTCAGGTTGCAGGGCTGAAGTGTATACATTACGTAAAGGCGGTCCGCAATGTCGTGCGAACACAACTTTGCTTGACACACGAGCAAAGGGAAGGACCACTTTCCCCTGCGAAAGATAGGGAAAGAATCCGAGGTCTTTCTAAGAGGGGAGAGCCAACAACGAAAACATTCCACCGACCACAGGTCTGGCCTTGAACTGAGCAGGGGCATAACCGCCAGTGTCTCCGTCTATTAGGTCACCGTACGGGGAAGTTTGAGGCGTGTTGTTGATCCAGAAGACCTGCTTGTCGATGAACATCTTCTTTGTGTCATCGCTGGCCACCGCCGCCGCCCACAATTCCCAGTCGCTCTTGATCCAGTTGTGGCGGGTGTCGAGCGGAACTCCAAAGTCCGTGGCCAGGGTTGGGTAGAACGCAGACTGCATATCGTAGATTTCCTGAGGGACAAAATTCAGGCCAAGCAGACGGTCTGCGTAGATGTTGTAGAGTAGGCCGTGGGAGCTCTGGTCGTTGTAGGTCAGAACAGTATGAGGGGGAGACGCGTCAGAGTTGATGCCGAAGCTCTGCCACTGAGGGAGGTATTCTTCAGCCGTGGCATCGTAGGTGACGACGTTTCCGGTGAGGTTTGCGACCTGTCCCATAGCCTTGAGGCCAATGATTCCTTTCAAAGCCAAGTTTGTCTGATTGGCAAGGGTGCCCGCAAAGTCATCCGTCGACAGCTGCTCTGCTGGGATGAGAGAGTCATTGACTAGGTAGCCAGCCCACTGATTGAGCTTCTCCCAGTGCTGGTTGAGGTAAGCAGAGTCCCCGGAGCGTTGCGAGTAAGCCAGCGTGAGGATAATCATGTTGCCGCTCTCCTCAACCTGCATTGGCTCATCGTTTCCTTCCGGATAGCCCAGGGCGTTAGGAAATACACCCAGGTCGTGTATGGCGTATGCATTCGGATAATGCCCACTCTCCTGGTTCTCATACAGCGGGTCCAGCAAAAGCTTCACCAGGGTCTCGTTCAGGTAGAGGAGCAGAGGGGCTGCCGGGAAAATGACATCGACGGTATTAGTGTCTCCGTTGGAGCTGATCTCCTTCAGGAACAGATAGGTTTGCGTGCCTTGAGCGGGGACGGTAGCACCAAAGACCTGACGCACCCCCAGGGTTGTCAGAGTGGTGTAATTCTGGCCGCCGGCATTAGACGTGTCGGTTTGGATCTTGCTGTCGAGCTCAGTCATCTCGGCCCGGGCTGATGCGTAGTCGTTGTAGAAAGCCGCCATTGCGTCTTCGGCCGAGCTGTAAGCTGACTTCCAGAGCCCAGAGAGCGCCGTTGCACTAGGTGAATTGCCCTGATAATTCACAACGGAGTCCTGAGACAGCCCGATTGTGAACAAAACCCCGGTCTCAGTACCGGCCACATCACCTAGGTCTTTGGAGAAGGCAAACACAGGCCTGGAAGGTTCGCTTAGCACCTACAATCAAATTGTCGCGGGAATCTGCTGCGGCTACTCACCAGTCAACATTGATGGCCCGGAACTTTGTGTCCTTGGTATTGTCAAGTGTGTGATTGTTCACAAATTGGCCACGCACGGCCGTATCCTGGCCGATTCTCCACGTAACCTGCGCACCAAGGTTAGCCCGACTGCCTTGCGCTCCAAAGCTCTCATTGGGAGGGTGAACCCACCCCGTCCGCGTCGGCCGTGGACACGAACCACTGTCCCCATGCGGGCTGGTCACTGAGTTCAACGAACTGTCGCTGGTTCGAAAGTTGGAACGTGTGATATTCGACTCCGCCGTTGGTGCCGTGATCCCACGTGATAGCCTGGCTGGCGTCTCGGCCACTAGCGAGCTCACCGGACGTGTCCAGGTAGACCTGAACACTATGTGATGCCCCGTCGGCAGACACCGCCGTAACGTCCACATACGAGTGCTGCAGAGATTGCTTGAGGAGGTCGTTTGGGTAGACTGGAGACAAGAAAGTGGCTTTCAGAGTGACTTTGCCCTCAACGTCGAAAGTGAAGACGGTGTTAGTGGACGTGTATGTTGCAGACGTCTGATTGGCTACAGCAGGGCCTGGGGCGGCCCCCATCCAGTTGTAAACAGCACCATCCACAGCCACGAAACCTTGCCATCCTGTGATTTGGCCGCTGTCCACAGAGACACGGTCAGATATTGTATGACTTTTGTGGTTTTGGAGCAGGGGAGATTACATACGCCCAAAATGTTGGCCAGTGTCCGGCGAGCAAGCCCGCAGATGACCCGTCCAGCCAAGTGCTAAGGTACGGTGATCTGACAGCCAGTGGCCAAGCTGGTGGTCTGGAAGGGCTGAAGTCTACTGCATGCGATAAACCACCCAAGAAAGCTGCCGCCGAGGCAGCAGATTGTACCAGACGCATTTCTCGTGTACGATACCCGAAGCCGGTAGTGATGGGTGTGAGATGGTGGTGAGCAGCAGGGCTATGAGACGGTACAAGAGGCCTCTCGCTGGGTTTCTCCTTAGGAGACTGGTGAAAACAAGGGATAGACGAGATACATAAGCCCCGCGGGGGAAACCCGAGTAATATATACGCTTAGCTTTCGATATCGTGGGATGAACTACGGACCCAGGGTAGCACGAGGCACCGATAGGAGGCGAGTAAGGGCCCGGTTTGGACAGAAGAGGGTGGTGGTAGGAGAAAATCTGAGACCAAAACTCAATGGGGAGGGGCGGTTCTTCAACAACGTTGGTCGTGTGAGCAAGATTTGATGTACGGGCCTCACGAGGTAGCCGTCATGCAGCACTGGGGGGTGATAAAGTAAGGAAAGGGAAATTGTACAGTAGGACCACACATGGGCATAGTTAAAAATGGAGGGTGTGGCTGGCGGCGAGTTGCGGGCAGGGCGGGAGCTAGGACTGGTAACTCAGGCAGTGACATCAAGTGCCGGGCTTATTCAAGACGCATGTACGTCTGTTCCTGGGACCTCCAAACATAGCAACGGTCGTGGTTATGTCCCTGACCCTGGTAAGAGGGATAGAAAGGAAGACGGGCTGCCGTGGCATGGCCGTCCACCGAATCCGCCATGCGGACCACGGCTCCCTCCAAGCGCTGTGGCCGTCAGAGATTTGAGGTCGGACCTGGGCAATGAGAACCCGAGCCTGAAGAGTTCCTGCAGGTGTTGGATGGATGATGCTTGAAGTAACAGCGGGCCATGGTCAAGACTCAGACAGTGCATGCGCTGAAAGCTTGTGACTCGGCCACGGCCAGGGCGGAGGGATCTAAGAACCTTGGCAACTAGTGCGTGAGAAACAAAATGCGATAGTTCCTGACAGCGGCTGCCACGACGGGCGGCGGGCGACTTGATGGGTTTGGGAGCGGCTGGAGGTGAGCATCATCAGCAAGTGAGTTGAAACAGCATGCCACGAAGCGGCGGTACCTACCTACCTAGGTACCTAGGTAGGCTGGGAAACAGGATGAAGGGCTAATAAGGGCGAAGGGCGAATCAGGGCGGGAAGCAGGACCAACCCCTTTCTTGGTGAGGCAGTACGCCCAGACGCATAGACTGGTTCAGGGCGGAGGGAAGGGTGACCTTGCTCAGGCGCCTGATCCGAGCCTGCTGGGCGGCTGGGAGTGGTGCATGGGACAAGTGGGCGAGTGACCTGGCCGTGGTCGCTCAATGACGGCTTCATCAAAAGACTGACGAGAGGCCGAATTCTCGTGCTGCGCCCGTGCTGCACCTGCACCTTCGTCGACGGAGGAGCAATGGCCAAGACGGTCCCCTCCAAAACTGTGCGTAAGTACTCCGGACGAGACGTGGAAGTACCTAGGTACTCCGTACCCAGCTACCCAGATACCTGGATGCCGTCATGCCTGCCGTCCTTGGCGGAAAGAAGCAAACTTCAAGGTGGAGAACCAGACGCTGATGAGGCAGTGAGGCAGTGAGGTTTGTTGTTGATTGTTGATGCGACTGAACTTGGGCTGACTGCCCTGACTGCCCTGACTGACTGCCAGGGATATGGCTCCCACCGATCAGGGGCGGGACCTTGTTACCTGTGGGCTGTGTGGTAGTGCAGAGTGCTACTCCGCAACTGGGCCCGTTTCCTGGGTCTGGGGAAGCAACGACAACAACGGTCATCTTCTGGCGACCAAAATCTTGGAATGGTTCCAGCCCCTTGCATCCTTCCTACCTGCACATTGAGAGATCTCTTGTGCAATACATCTTGTGCAATACATACTCCGCCTGCCGATCACGCCGACTGCCCCCTAGCCTGGGCCCGACCTGCAGACCTCTGAGTCCGTAGCAGCCATGCCAACTCACCTACTCAAGTACCCAGGTACTTACTTAGCTACCTAGGTACCTAGGCAGGTAGGTGGGTGGTCTGACTCCTGGCAGGCACTTGATATGCATTTCTCCCAGCTGACCAGGCCTGACCGCATCTCCAATGCGACGGCAGGAGGCAGGCCTTGGCATAAAGGAACAGCATCACACATCACGAGGCTTCCAGAAACCACAGACAGGCTCGAGCGTGCGCATCCTCCGTCACGTAACATGTCGTGGCGCTCGCTCGGGGCCAGTCGCGGCCCTTCTACTACGGTACAAGAACAACAGGCAATTTCCTGTCCCCGTACTAGTCGTCAACAGGAAAACCTTCCCCGGATTTGAAGCCCGATGGCCTCCTCCTAGCCGCCGTCATCTTAACCCGACTCGGCAAGCGATGGCCGGCCGGAGTTGCACTACAGACCACCCCGTGACTACCGCTACGAGAACGACATCAGCCCTGTAACCCTTTTGGCATCCAATTGGATCAACACACAACCAGGCAACCTTCTACCGCACTCTTGTTCCCGCTCCCTTGCTTGGGAGGCAGGCATCATGAGCCAAGCCTCCCGGCCGGACTCTTGGGGAAACGAGAGACAAGAGACAGCAGTAGCCACACAACGCCAACTCAGGTGACTTCTGATCTGCCACCTCTTGTACGGGTCTGGTTCTCCTATGCTCATCACACCCACCCCCTCCACTGCTTCCATTTGTTCATCTTACATCCAGGCTGACTAGGGGCGTCCCCAAGCTGTCGCACAAGTTCGATGTGCAATTAGGGACGGTTGCCGCCTTACCCTGCTCGGTCTGATCCGAGAGACATGTTCGGAATTCGGAGAAATCTCTGGGCGGTTCCAACACCTGTGTCTCTTCGGTACTACCTCCAAGTCACATAAGGCTGCTTCACCTCAGACATATCTACCGAAGTTTGTGATTTTTCGGTCGAATATTCGTTGGACTTCCAACCGGTCCGTCATGGCTGCAGGGTGGGCCATCACGGCCCATATGCTGTGAGCTTGCCCAAGATGCGCAGCAGCGCCAGGCTTCTTGAGCGCCGGGCTCCGAGGTCACTCACGCAGTGTGACCTTGCACCGAGAATTCCGCCAGAGGCCTGCACGATCCAGTCCTGAAATCTCCGAGCTTGTCCCCCATAAGAGCGCCCACATCCTGCCAGGCAGGACAGGCAGGACAGGCAGGCAGGCATGCCCTCTGCTATGATATCCCAAGACCCTCCCACTAATGCAACTGTTCCTGCGCTAATGATGGTCAGATCATTGAAAGCAGCCACACCCGCTACCTCACCATGAGCCATCAATTGCCGCGGCGCCACTCCCTACGCGAGAGCAGTCAGACGCGCCATCTCCCGGGTGCTAACCTATCATGCTTACAATATCCCCAGCCACCGCCGGTGTCCCATGCGGCCCCACGCTTCGGGCAGGGCACATGCGGTGTCTCAGACAGTCTATAGCGCCCGATGGCGTCGTCGACCCCGCAAATTTTCACACTGGCTGACTCTGACACCTGCCAGCGGATACTGGTGCGGTACGTGACTAACAGACTTGCAGACTCGGAGACTCATAAACTCACTGAACAATGACCTGTTCGACGTGCCGTCACAATGCCCTTGTGCCCCCCTCAAATTGCGCCGCTGTCGTCATTCAGGCACGTTCCCAGGACTCGTTACACACACAATAGGAACTCATCATGGGGCTGCTCATACAAACTCCCTTTTTGGCCAAGAATCTTTGAGGGGGCACTTTTGCACCTCATGAGGCTACAGGCACGGACTGATATCCTACAGCATCACCGGCATGCTACCTTCTGTCATTAACATCGTTCCACCCATGCGCCTGCTCTCTCCTGCCAAATGCCGAGGCTCTGATCCGGGAGTTGAGCCTCGGAAGGTCTGTACATTACGGACTGACGAGTTGCCATGCCCTTGGTCTCGTGACACATTCCTTGGTCACGATGGAGTTGGCTTGAGGTTTGTATTTTCGGCCACGTGGGCCAGCCGTTTATCTCTGTGAGCTTAGTGCTGCCACAACTTTACCGTTTGGTCAGCACAACATCGCTTTTGTCTTTTGAACTGTTCAAATGTTGCCAGGGCCTCTCAAGTGTCCCCAATTCGCGCTTAATTTGTTGTTCTTGTTCAGGCATGCTCTGCAGCCGTCTTGTTTCGAGTGGAACGCCAAGATATCATACTTATCTTCTGCTTATTCATTCGTGAGCTTCACATTTCACTGATGCTTTTTTCACCACTGCAGGTGTTGTCATCTCCTTATGGCACTATTTCCTTTCAACGTGGATTAACATCAATGCAGAGTATGGGGGCTTGTGTTTTGCTGTCCAGAATGGTTCTGAGACCACTGTTGAGAACAAACAGCTATGATCTGCCAAATCAGAGATGGTAACCTTCACTAGTGGGAAGTGTTTGTTGTGTCTGCTCGCAAGTAGACCCTGAGGTAAAACAGTCCTAACTTGGACAATAATTACAAAGCACCTACCTAAGTATGGCATGTCCTAGCAGCCAAGGCTAGGACTTTGTCCGATGGTGTGGACAAACACGACGAGGCAGACCATACCAAGATTGGAAGCATGGTTATTGGACTTCCAAGTAAGGACCCAGGGTCAGACTCTTTGAGGGCCCACGTGACGACGTTCACATGTTGTGTTCCAATACACGGAAATGTTGATGTTCCTTCCTTCCTTGGTCTCTTGTGCAATTCGATTTCTTCACGGTCAGAAGTGTAAGCCCCTCAGGAGAGCCTTTGTGAACGCACTCACACAAACCTTTCACGACAGTGAGATGCCAACATCAATCCTTGAGGGTGACGTCAAAGGAAAATTCAGGACTGCGGACTGACATTCCAACTTTTGTGTGTGATTTTCAGCCTCCCTGAACGAAAGCTTTATGGTCTCAAAATAAAGTGGAACACGTTGGTGATGCGTAGCTGGGTCAAGGGAGGGGCGGGATCCCGGGGTTTCAGTTGTCTTGATTTCGCCCTAGGCTATTCATGGCCCCTGAAAGTCCCTATCTCATTGCGCAGGCTTCGATGTCCTGAGGAAGACTGTCAGCCTAACTGAAACGACTGGTTTTAGTGACAAGTTAATCAAAATTGAGAGAACGTGCCCGGCGAATAAATTTCTCCACGTGCGGCCGGGGGTGCGGATCATCCCGTCATGGCTGCTTAAGGACCAGTCTTGACCTCGGACCAACGTTCAACGTTTTCTAACTAGATCTCTGCACTGTGATATACGTGTTCCTTGATCACATCTCAATCCATGCAAGCGTTTCTGAGCTGTCTGAGGGATCGGAAGCATCAAGACATGTTAAAAGTTTGTCACTGCAGGTCCACAGCCTTCGGATGCCAGGACACCCAGAACTTAATTACTTGAATCTTGAGAAGTACTGTGGCCGGATATTACTGTGGCCTGTTTGTCTGACCATTGACCATGTTGTTCGCTGTGTTGGCATCATGACGTGGAAGTATCCTAGGTCAAGCAACTTTGAAAATAGGATATAAAAGCCCCATCCACTTGGAGGGCCCTCAATTTGTGTGCATCAACAAATTCGCCTCCGCTTAAGCAGAAGACATGCGAATTCAGGCCATATGGTGCCCACGATCGAAAAGTACAAAAGTACAAAAGTATATAAAGCTTCTCATCTAAGACCTGGGCTAATCGCATAGGTCGTTGCCAAGTGGAAGCCACCCCACAGCAGCCCTGAGATGACCTTTTCTACACCAGGGTTGACTACCTGCAGAACACAGGGTGCGCTTTTTCACAAAGTAGGCTCGGGCTCAGCTTCTCAAACTAGTCGACCACACCTGTTCTTCGGCAATGCTCATTGGGGCAAGACGAATTCTAACTTTCGCCGTGAGCTCATATGTGCCTAAAGGCATCAAACTCGGGTAAATTTCAGTTCAGCGCCTGGATTACAATCACCGATGCTCGGTAATACTCAAGGGATCCTAGGATGCGAGAAGCAATGAGCATGTATTCGAGAAGCTGTTGGAAAGTGATATTGTCAACCGCTCAGCGTTCGTTAACGTGGAAGTGACGCCGTCAGCAGAACTCTGAACTTAAGGTGAATTTTGAGAACATCATGTTGCCGGTATAGTTAAGGACGTTGGAAGATGTTCTCGATCTCATCTAAGCTTGAACAACCATGGTGGCATTGCTATTACACGTCGGCTTGGGAAATCTACCCTAGGGTACACTGCCACAGTAAGCGCCTCTAAGCAATTGTGAAAAGACTTGGGATTAACGAGGTCTGAAAAGCGGGGACGACATTGCCATTTTTGTTGCTGGCAAGAGAGGAAACAGTATTCCTTCAACCGCCCAGATTGGCAGTTGCTCGTTCAGCAGAGTTTCGGTGTGTATCAGGCGCAGGTGTTAACTCTTCCTTGTTCCACTGAGGCACTTTCAAGGCGATCAAATCGTGTATCTCATGATCTCGGATGGTGGCAGATTCGAGTTGGGATTCGCGGTAAGGGGGTCTGATTTCAAGTCTGCCTCATTTTCTATGGTAATCTCACGCTCTCTGTTGATCAACTTGGCTTTAAGTGGTTGGAGTAAGCCCTGGTGTCTCCAAGTTTTGAGCGCAGTTACCCAGCGAAATAACATTGGCCTGAGATAGTAACTATATGCGTTGCGGCGGCGGGACGGTGAACCAGGAGAAGCTTTTATCACGCGCACGGTGGAACCTGACTTTGGCATGATTTCTCAGGGCCCCATGCCGTGGGTATCACACAACTTGAAGACAAGAGTCTCGCCGTCATGTATTCTTCAGTGCGCCATATTTCCAAAAGCAACGCTGTTCAGCGGAAAAATGCTCCAAGGCGGGTTTTAGGAGAAAGATGTGTCTGGCGGGAACAGGCGGGAGTTGCGAAGCGAACAGGTGCACAATCGAGAATCGAACCAGTTGACAAGAGGGCAGACAGTGTCCTCCTTAATACCACCAAGTATTTAGCCAGTGGGTTTGGGCTTAGAAGAGAACTCCGTAAGATACGCTGTCAAAGTATCAACCGCTCTGTTGGTTCTCAAAGTTTCAAGGGCGTGGCCTGTCACCCGTCTCGGTTTGGCTTTTGTGTCACAAGTGTGGGCGACGGCGGCGGCGGCGGCGGCCAGCGGCGTATTTCGGCCGACGGCAATGCTCGCTTTCCCCCACCTAAGGTACACGATTCGGACGACCATCTCTCAATGACAGGCATCGATTCTATGGAAGGCCTGGGCTCCATCATGTGCGGTTTGAGGCGTGCATCATGTCGTGGCCACTTGAGCACGCTGAGATGGGCTTTGGCCCTCGCTCCTTGTCGAGCTGCTCCAGTGGGCTGGCTCTTGGTGTTTCTTCTTCCATGTTACAGTCACTGCTGAGTGAAACAAATGCTCGATTTCTTCCTGATTGGCCAATCGCTGCCATGAGTATGCATTGGCCCACAATGGTGGTATTAAACCGGGGAAATTACACAGAAAGTGTCCCAACTGTAGTGGTTTTAGCTGGCAGGTCTGCAGTCAGGCAAAGCACACAAGTTTTCGTGACAAGCTCCTGCCGAGCGGAGAAGCCACTGCTTCGACTGTTGTATTAGCTGAAACGGCTGCGATGGGTGATGTCTGATCCCTGCGCGAGCCTCAACAGGCCAAGCTTCAGGCTCTCGGAGGGCATCATGTTAGTGCCGCTACCACAGTACCTAGGTACCGGTTAAGTAGGTACTTGAGCTCCCAGGACTAGGACCCGCGGCTTGTCAATAGTAAAAATAGGGATGTCAGGATGCGCCGGCCCCTTGGGTGCTTTCCGAAGACCCGCACCAGATCTTCTCGCTGCTAGATCTACCTGCCAAGAATCCGGATTAAGCTTGTTTCAACGTGCTGGGCTGGTAGAATATTGATAGACCATTGACTGTTCGCTTGGAATGGGCCTCCCTCCTGTTATCGGAATCTCTTGTGTTTTGGACTCTGATGCGAATGGCTGCCCTGACAGTACCCCGGAGAATACGTCTGAAGTATTATTTTCCCTGTTTGGGGCGGAGCTACTCATGGCAAGGAGAAAACCGGCCCCTTGACCCCAGCAAGCCTAAATAGATCCGGTGCTGTATTCAAACGCGGATGAACTGTGAGGGTTGCGCCCAACATCCATGGATGGCTTTGTCTGACCTGTTGTTGAGACGAATGTTCGAAGGCTGACAGCACGCGTTGCAAGACGCCAAGCCATCCTGGCTAGCCTTGAGATGAAATTTAGATAAAGCAGCAGACATTCCCACCAACCTTTCCTCTTCTCGATAGCCCTCCAGCCTCACCAGGTTCTATTTCTTGTCCGTTCTCCTCTTCCTCTTGATATTTCCTGTCTTTGAGCCGTCTCAAGTACCCCAGGGTTGCTGGTTCCACCCTCCCTTCGTTAGTCCTTAATCACTGAGAGGCTGCCCTTGCCTAAGTGAACCCTCACTGCCAAGATGCGTTGTGTAAACCTAGTCTTTGCCATCGCCCTGACAGGCACCGGGCTCGCTGGGCCGACTCGTCGCGGATTAGATGCTCTTGTTCTCCGGCAGGCCAACGACACAGCTCCTCCTGGGCCTCCTCCGTGAGATAGCCAAGACTGTAAAGTTGCGAAGAGGTTCAAGGACGAGGTCGACTAACATGGAGCAGACCAGCAGCTGCGTCCGGCGCCGACGCTCCTCCACCGCCTCCTGCAGTTGCTGTAAGATTACCTCATTCTAACACACACCGCGTCATTGACCAAGCTTGCCGGGTTGGTGGACAACATGGCTGTCAAGACAAGCCAGAGGGCTCCTACATTCCCAAGATCCCATCATCGTTAGACAGCCTCGGAAGTCATCCAGCGCCCCGGTCATGAGATAGTAGCGAAGGCGACTGACGTATATTGTTGTCAGGCCTGCCCTCCACCTCCTCCCCCAGCCGCAGAGGGGGCCGCAGCCGCTGCCCCACCGTGAGTACCTCCTTCCCACATGATCCGCAAAGGTTGTGTTTCACGGGTGAAGTCCATCGGAGCTGCCTCGAAAGCAGTCAACCTGGAAAGAGCCATCCTGCAGGGTATTTGCCTCCAGCGCCGCTCGCTAACTCGGAGTCATCAAGACCACCGCCTCCAGGTGCCATGGCCCCTCCACCGTAAGATATAGCCATCCTGAACTCTGAGCTTGCGAACCGTCGTAAGGATCATGTCGACTTATGAGGAACAGACCCCCGGTTGCGCCAGGCGCTGCGATGGTGCCACCCCCGTGAGTACCTATCTCCAAGCCATAAGGCCCACAAATCGTCCGCCTCTCGAATGAGGCCCATTTCAGCTAGAGTTGCCTCTGTGGTCTCGATATGCCTTTCTTCCCATCCTTTGCTAACCACCGGGTTGGTGTCTACCAGGCCCGGCGCCCCTCCAGTTCCTCCGCAAGCGTAAGTACACTCTGGATTATTGACACTTCTTAACCTGATGCGTGGACAAGTATACATATGTAATATTGGAACTGACCTTCATACAGACCGGCTGCCGCTTCTGGATCCCCTCAAGCTCCGCCCGCCCCGTGAGCGCGCTCCCAGCTATCTTTGCCTGTCGAAAGACTCATGATCCGGTGTGGCTGACTGAAAGTTTGTAGACCTGCCGCCGCACCCGCCTCGCCAGCAGCCCCGTAAGCATGCCCGCGACAATCGCTTTTTGCCGGATCCTCCATGGTTGTGTTTACTGACTTTTAAGACCCCCTGGCCCCGCCGTTGTGGCGCCTCGTAAGCATTTCCCTCGAGGACCTCGAATTTGACACCAGGTGCTGACAAAAGGAACCACAGCTCCGCCCCCATGCCCCCCAGCGGCGCCCCCAGCCCCTGCTGCCGTCCCTCGTACGTGAAACTTTTACAGAGAGACATCTCATTAGTATGCACAGGACACTAATGGCGTGCCCAGCCCCACCGCCTGGCCCTCCAGCCCCGACTGGCCCCGGACAGCCAGTTGCCCGTAAGTGAAAGCCATCAAATGATGCACTATATCCTCGCAGTCTACGGCTGTCGTTCGCATCCTTCATCCTCTGGCAGATGAGCAGAAGCTGAAACGATGCCTAGCAGCCCCAGCACCCGCAGAAGCCGTTGGTGCAGCCCCGCCGGCAAAAGGTAAGGGCAAGGCCCGTCGGCGCTCAAGGGAGATCGGACACATCTGAGGTGCTTGAGAGGCCTATGCGGGATCCCATGTAGTATATTTGACGGTTGCTATGTGGCTTGATAACGCCGGCATAAAAAGGGTATGTCACAGATGGTCCTGAGACTGGCTCTGGGGACCATACAGTCATGTTTATTATTACCTAGGTACTTAGTTACAATTTGACATCGTGCTGGTTACGACCGCTGGAAGAGCTGAGAACTGCTTACATTTATGGTTGTTGTCGCTAGGGGTTCGTTGAGTTTAAATTGTGCAAGTAACCTTGATTTCCCTTATAATATAAAGTAATCTTTAGCTTTAATAGGTTATAAGAAGTAACTAATAGAAATCTTTTTAAAAGTTTATAACCTTAAATATAAAGTTCTCCTTCTATTTAAGTTAATATAATAAAGATTTTTAAAAAAATAAAATAAAAAGTAATTATTCATAATATAAAATTAATATAAAAACTTTTAAATACTAGTTATTTAAGTTTATATTAGCTGAAAGACAATAATTCTAAATTTACTAGAATTAGAATATACTATGTCCTTTCCAACTATAGAGATACCTTCTTCTGTACAGAGCAGCACACATGATAACAGGTAAGCTTTGTGCTGAGAAATCCACACGGTATGGACAGCGCGGTCGTGAAGAGAGTCTCATCCCTCCCTGCCCTCAAATCAGCCCCGAAAGGGCTATTTCCAAGATTGAGGCTGTGGTATAAAAGCTGACGCATAAACGCACTTGAGCCAGACCCGGTCCGCGGTCGTTACGGTTAATATCAATTGATCAAGTTCTACCTAGGTATACTGAGAATCTCGGCATTGGTGACCTAGAATCAAAGGGCAGTGGTCTTCAAGTCCACCTTAGGGTGCAAAACATAATTGTCCGTGGCCTCGCGCAAGCTCTTCGGCCCTATGTAATGGCACAGTTGCACTCGTCCGGGATGAGCAGCGTCAGAACATATTTGCCTACTTCAGTAGGTAGCTAGGTACCTAGGTAGTCCGTCTGGGCATGTGGCCCCAGCCTCGTGCCGGAGACAAGGCTGGGAAGCATCGCTCCCCACGTCGCCGCCGGCTAGAATCGTCAAGACGAGTGGTCCAAGGGCTATCTGCTACGGCGAGCCGGCGAAGCAGTCGTACATCGGAGACTAGAATAGCATCAAAATCATCCCTACTTGGGAACGATTATACGCAAGGGGTCCGAGTCAAAAAGCTGGCCCTTCCCCATCAATACACACAAGCTCCCAGCAAGAACCTCGGCAGGTGAGCACCACATCCTCTATCCAAGCACACTGCTGGTAAATTCACAAGAAGCCACGGTGCTATTCCTTTACAGACAACGAGTGTAGCTAGATGAACGGGGTATTATCTCTCCTCGTGGTGGACTTGGGGAATCGTGATTTCCCCTGGGCACGCGTGCATCATTCCGAATCAAGATTCGACACGCCGTGACGAGTGCAAAGGCGGGAGGCATGCGATTGGCTCGATTGTGTATATTTGTCCTCGGCTGCGGGCCATCTGGGCGATGCGTTCTTTGGCATTCAGCCTCTCATGATCACAGGCAGGTCAGAGTCAGACTTCCCACGAGCTCAGCTCCACAAGGATTCGCATTTCCCTATGTACTGATGTTCTCTCCCCTCCTCACAATCCCTCACAGCAGTTGCGCGAGGATGGAAAGCAAGATTGCAGGCATTTTATCCTTTCGCCGAAGGACCCGTCCGTTAATGACCACCGTATTGCCGTGTAGAAAAGTTCGTGAGAATCCGCCGCAGAGACCAAAAGACGATAGTTTTTGACAAGCACGTTGTGTTGTTTGCGATCCCCGCTTAGAAGACAAGGGCGGCACCCTTGGTCTTCTTGTCACCACCCAGCTCGAAGTGCTTGCATCGCTTCAGGGCGAGTTGCAGCTTGGTCTTGCAGGAGGAGCACTCGAGACGCAGCACAACCTTCTTTGTGGTCTTGGCCTTCTTGTGGAAGACAGGCTTCGTCTGACCACCGAAACCGGATTGCTTCCTGTGATCGGTAGTGGTTAGCACTTGGTGTCCATGATGTCCGCGGCGTCGGTTCGTTCGGGCGTCGGTCGTCGAGCTCAAGGTCGTCGCGGGATCGTGATTGGAGTCGTTGGCACATACCGGTCGTAACGTCTCTTACCCTGGGCGAACAGGGAGGCCTTGCCAGCCTTGTCTGCGGGTTGTCAGCATCTCCGTCGCCCACTGGCTTCATCCTCGATTGCCATCGGCTACTCACACTGCGTGACCTTGTGCAGGGTGTGCTTCTTGCAGTCCTTGCCCTTGCAGTAGCTGAATACCTCCGTCAGCATTGGTCCTGGTCTTTGGTACCGTGATCCGAAGCCGCCCGCGCCGCGAGGAGTGCGTCCGGCCCATTCAAATGCGTCGGCGAACCAGTCCATCCATCTCTTCCAAGCATAGCCCTATCAAGGCATGATGCCCGAGGTGCCGCCCATGTTTTCAGATGCATCAGGTACGTGCGGCGGTTCGGTCGTTCGCTTTGTTTTGATCTCGCGGAGCGGGCGGGGCAGGTCGTTGGCGGGAGTCAACTCACGTCTTCCTGGTCTTGGGAATGTTCACCTGGAAGCCAGAGAGTCAGCAAGGCAATCCAAAAGAATAGAATCATGTCGAGGACCGTACCATCTTGTCGGTATTGACGGGATGCCGGCTTCAACAGTCGTTGGGTGGTGATGTTACGGGGTGGGTTGTCGACGAGAAAAGGCGCGGTCAGTCAGTCGCTAAGGTTTTGGCCGGATTTCTCGAGTGAGAGAGAGTGCCAGGGTGGATTTTCGTGCGCCGATTTTTCTGCACCGCCACAGCCTCATGCGCCACCGCTAGCGAAGGAGAAGCGGTCAACCCTTTTTGGTTTTCTGCCCGCCGCACCCGCTTGCACGTTGCCCGTTGCCCGCACGCAGCGATTCATGAACCTCGCATCCTGGACCGTCAGACCGTGTAGGTTCTGTCTGCATCACTATGGACTCGTCCCCGAGAGCCGAGTCCAATTGTACATATTACTTCAACGGTCACTACCCTTCCTATCATTATCACTGCTTGCCTCCAGCTGCGGTGGTCTCGGTCCAAAGGTCCTGGCCCGACCCGGAAAAGACATCTTTGAGACATCTGGACCGAAGCATTAGCTCCCCCAGTTGCTGATGCGATCAAGACACAAGTCGGTTGCTCGGCTGGTCTAGCCGTCATGGACCAATCTCGTCAGACACGGCGCGGGGTGATGAGAGACGGCGCGTCGGTAAGCATTGAATGATCCCACCGCTCTGCCGGGTTGCAGGGCCCCCGTCGACCTGGCGCCCGGGGGCTGAGGGCTTGTTAGCCCAATTCTGTCTTTTACCCGACAATGCGAGTGGGCACGATGTCACGGTCATTCCCACCGCCGTCCTAACATTCGCGTGGCGTGGATATCGAAGGATTTATAGCGTCCTTGGCGTACCCTGATGCCTAGGGATTCTCATTATACAAATTCAACCGCATCTCCTGCCCGAAGGCACACTTCATAGGATATGTGAGCTTCACGGGACGTGCAGCTGCTTCCGTGAGTGCAGCGGCATCATCATCATCATCACCACCATGGGCCTCACTCTCCCCTCGCTGCGCCGCGCCACGCTAGTGCTTTTGTCCCTGGCCGTTGTTTCAGGGGCATCTGCCGACTGCAGCCCGAGTGCATCGTCGTTTGACTTCGTAAGACGTCCTATTTGCCATACCCCCTTTTCCCTTTCCCTGTTGCCCAAAGACCTTGACCGATCCCTCTAGTGCTGACCCTCACCAGATCATCGTTGGCGGTGGCACCGCTGGCCTGGCGTTGGCAACAAGACTCAGCCAAGGACTGCCCGACGACTGCATCCTCGTCGTCGAAGCCGGCTCGCCCGCTCCGGATGAGCTCGGCATCAATGTGCCGGGAAGGAAGGGGAGCACCCTTGGAGGCAGATACGACTGGAACTTTACAACCACACCTCAACCAGGCCTGAACAGCCGGCGCATCTCTGCGAATCGGGGCAGGGTGCTGGGTGGAACCTCGGCCCTCAACCTCATGACATGGGACCGCGGAAGCGTTCCTGACTATGATGCGTGGGAGGCTCTGGGTAATCCAGGGTGGAACTTTGAAAACTTCATCTCCGCCATGCTCAAGGTCGAAACCTTCGACCGCACGAACAATCAGTATGGAGATGAAGGTGTGGGCTCCGACGGGCCTATCCAAACTCTCATCAACCGCTTCGTGCCCCCTCAGCAAGTCGGGTTCATCCCAGCACTCGAGAGCCTGGGCGTACCGAACAACCTCAACTCGCTTGGCGGCGACCCTCTCGGTGTCATGCTTCAGCCCAGTAATATCCGCGAGTCAAACTACACGCGGTCTTATGCTGTCGACTACCTTTCTCTTGCGGGCCCGAATCTGGTTATCTGGAATGACACGGTAGTTTCGAACATCGTGTTGAACAAGATCAACGGGTCAGACTCTCTGGCTGCCACAGCTGTGAATATCGGCGGAAACACCGTGGAGGCCGTGAAAGAGGTCATTCTGTCGACGGGTGCCTTCCAGACGCCAACCCTGTTGGAGCTGTCCGGTATTGGAGACCCATCAGTCCTCGCTGCAGCTGGGATCGACACCCAGCTTGAGCTGCCTGGTGTTGGATCGAATCTGCAGGACCATCTCCGCATACAGAACTCGTACAAACTGAAGCCGAACTACACCATCGCATTTGATGAGCTTCGGACCAATGCCACATACGCGGCGCAGCAACTGGCTTTGTGGCAAGACAACCAGTACTCGGCATACGACTACACTGGAAGCGGCTATGCCTACCTCACCTGGGCCCAGGCACTCGGCAATGCCTCCTGGGAGCTTGTGGATCTCGCCAGACATGTGGCGGACCCGAACAGCAAGGTCGACCAGCACAAGCTAGCATATCTCACCTCCGATCTGAGCTCGCAGGTCCCCGAGGTCGAGTTCATCTTCTCAGATGGCTACACCGGAGTGAAGGGAGCACCGCCAGTCGGCTCGGCCGACTATGACTCGCACTTCTTCACGCTCATAGGGGTCATACAGCACCCATTCTCCAAGGGCAGTGTCCACATCAACGCCTCCGACCCGACTGGCAAGCCCATAATCAACCCCAACTACGTGTCCAACCCGTACGACCTCCGGGCTGTCGTGGAAGCCGCCAAGCTCAGCCGCAAGATTGCCCAAAGCGCCGGTCTAGCCGAGGCCTGGTCGGATGAGTACGAGCCTGGGTTTAATCTGGTAACAACAGAGGCTGCTTGGGAGCAGTTCGCGAGAAACACGACGCTGAGCATCTACCATCCGCTCGGCACGTGTGCCATGCTTCCAAAGGAGGATGGAGGCGTGGTGTCGCCGGATTTGGTGGTTTATGGCACTTCGAACCTGCGCGTTGTTGATGCGTCGGTCATCCCTGTCCAGCCGTCAGGTCACATCCAGACCATGGTGTATGGCATCGCGGAGCTGGCTGCGGGCAGGATCGTTGAGCGGTACTCCAAGGCTTAAGAGCACGCTTGATGTTCCGGAGCTTCACTTTAGAACAGGTGGTATGACATCTTCCGCAGCCATCTGCCGCGGAACTCTCAGATCTCAGTAGGGGCGGTTTCGTTCTTAATCCCCATACATATAAAGTATGCGGCACCCTCATACACTGTCACTTCTCAGTAACAATAAATGAGCGGAACAATTCCGCCCGGTTCACAAGTTGACCTCCTTCAATCGCATTTACATTGGCCGGCATCGTTCTTCAGGTCTTGCCACCTGTCAGACTTGACATTGCTATGCAATTTCCTGCTCTTCTCCGTCTCCACGGCTACGCGAATTGTAGTGCCGGGTTGATCCGCATCGGACATGGCAGGATACCCGGGGGCCTGGACCAACAGCTACATCTGCACAACCCCACGTCCTCGCTCGCGGAGTTAGAGGGGTTGTACCATTCGCCCGTTCCCTGGCAGGCTTCCCTCTGATAGGAGCGTCGATGAAAATTAATAGGAGCGTGGCATCGTATCGTTCCCCAAGACCCAGCGCTCATTCGAAAATCAATGCCAACCTTAGAAGGCAAAGCCTCCCAGAACCTGACTATGCTGCCATCCCACGGCACGAGATGCCTGAGATTGGCGAGGTTGCCAGGTGCAGGGGTGTCATCGCATCATGCAGAGCTGTAGGCATTGCATCCGGGGTCACACCGGCCTTACGAAGAGGTTGTCCTACCCTGGCCTGCCTCGGTACCCAGCGAGCTGCGTCGAGGTGTTGGTTGCTAGGTTTTTTCATGACCGTTAAACTTTCTTGATCGCTGGCTGTTGGGTCTTAACGATCCCATCACATTTGTCCAAGTTCTTCTCTGGTCCTTTCTCGAGCAGGACGCGCTTGTTCTGTGCTTGTGGACGAGTGATCCAATCCACGCTCCGCGTTTAATCCTTCAGGATTCTGGACTAAGACGTGGCAGCCGCGATAGTTCTGACACACACACACACACACACGTCCAGGCAGGACCATATCACAGGCCAAGCGAATTCCAACAACATGGCGTTGTCTCTTGAAGGGCTTATCACAGTGGCAATCCTTAGAGAAGTTGGTGGGCACTTCCCTTGAAACTAGGTGTGGGCTTTCCATTGCCAGCCACGCTTATCTCACTCTCCAATCTCAGTACATCGATCACATCATCAACTCAGAATGGACCAGTCAGGCCATGCTGCAACTCCCTCATCTTCTATTGTGCCACAAACATGCATGGGGGTTGCACCATGCACGCAAGCAAATTCTCAAGATTAACGACCGCTGCCTTGGACGATCTCCAACTCGTTGGATGCAACCACAATACTGCCATTCCCATTGGCTGTCATTTGTTGTGCAGAACCAACAGCCATAAGCGTCATCTCGAGAGGCAGGCTGTCCCATGCCCGCAGCAAAGCCGAAAAAGCCCTCGTTTATGCCGTGCGACCCTATTGGCCAGACAGCCCAGCTCCGGCGCCTACCTGCGTTCACAGTATGTGCGATCCATACTCTCGGGTTCAAAGGGCGCTGGTCATTTGCGAGACCACAACCAGATGCCACATCGCCCGCATTATCACCCACCACATATCCCCCCCTTGCCCGCTTAAGCAGCCAGTTGCAGCTCATGTGATGATCCCCCTCGCTTCTTGGGAGGCTTTGATCTGCGCCCTTCCAGTGAAGGCCGTGATGTGGATTCAATGTCTAATTTTCCCTAAACTTGGTAATGTCCTCAGTCTCTTTTGGGCAGGGAGGCACAGGCCAAAGCCGATGCTTGATCTCACTCTGTGCTAGCCTGACTGTAACTTTACTGTGCTGTTGTGCTCTTGACGGTGAGCTACCAAGTCAGTAGCTGGACAGCACTGCGCCACGGCAGCATTATTGTTGGTCGAGGTGCAGTAGTCTCACCAGACCTGTTGGTGAAGAACTGATCTGTAGCATTGTCCCATGCCGATTAAGCGCCGCGACTGGGTTTACAAGCCCGGGGCCTTGACCAACATGTTCCTGCACACCTCTCTCCGGGTCTTAGCTCTTGGGACAAGCCTTTGGGGGTCCCTTCGGCCCGTTATAACTACCACAGAGCCCGGCACTCGATCAAACTAGCCGATGCCCTGTTCCACCCGCTGCCTCTTTCCTCCCATGTCTCTGTGGCACCCTGCCCGTCGACAACTTCCACCAGCTGTCGCCCATCATGGCGAGTTCTGGCACAGGTGACTGCACCTTGGCGACCTGCCCGGTCGAGGAGGGCTGGCTGTCCAGCCCCCCACCGGTGGAGGGCACGGCTTTCCTGCTGGCCGCGTTCGCGACACTGGTCCCGGTCAACCTTTGGATCGGGGCAAGAAGCAGGACGGCTGTGTACAGCTTGAGCTTGAGCTTGGGTCTCCTCCTGGAGGTCCTGGGGTACTCCGGGATGCTCCTGCTCCGGCAAAACCTCGCCAGCAAGTCTTTCTTCGTCCTGTCTCTGATCGGGACCGCTGTGGGCCCGACACTGATCACGGCCGCCATCTACGCCATCCTGCCACACATCTTGGCCATCTACGGAAGCGATCTGAGCATACCGCTAGAGCCCCTCTGGCTCAACTACTTTTTCCTCGCGTTTGACGTCTTCACCATTGCGTTCCAGGTCGTGGGCTGCGTCTTTGCGGCCGGGGGACACAATAGGGTCGAGGTGAGCATTACTACTTTGGCGAGACTGAGCTTATAAATCGAAGCCATGGATTGACCCCTTTCAAGATCCAACAGGGTGTTAACGTGCTCATTGTTGGTTTCGCGATCCAAATCTTGAGCTTGGTGGGGTTCTTTGGATTATACTTCTGGTTTATGTCTCGGGTATTCCGCCATCGAGAGATCCTCGATCCTCGCTTTTGTAGCGTCTACCTGTCCGCAAGGTTCAAGACGGCGCTTTTGTGTAAGTTCAGTGTTCGACAGTAAAGTTTAGAATTTGAAACGGCATATTCACACGCACCACTCGTTCTCCTCCCTCTCTCTCCTCAACCTCGCGGTGTGCAGTATACTTCCAGCTAACCGTCATGCTACAACAAAGTTACGCAACTCGCTTTGGCTCTGATCCTCGCACGGACGGTCGCCCGAATAATCCAAATATCCGGCGGCCTAGCTTCGGCTTCGTCCCAGTCCCACACCTTCACCCTCGTGCTCGACGGCGCCCTTGTCCTCGTCGCGGCTATAATAGTCACGGTATTCCCGCCCGGCCCAACGTTTGGTCGGGCGTGGGGCACGACATCACCGTCCAAGAAGAAAGCCCGGCGCCATCACCTCGCACACCTTAATCATCCCGCGCAGCGGAGCCCTGGGTCGCCACTCCTCACTATGCGCCCCAGCCCCGCCGCATCACCGAACGAATATCGGTTTGGATATAACGCTGCCAACAACAACAACAACAACAACAAAGAGCCCCGCTCGCCGCCGCCGTCCGTCACCACGGACGCAGGCTCGATGGGGCAGTCGGGCCTTTGCGGAACCGGTCGCTACTCGCACAGACGGCAGGCGGCTGCGCAGCCGATGGGCGCCGCGGCGCCGCCGCCGTATGAGAGGCCGCTAGGCAACATTACTCGCGTGCCGTTCGTGCCGCCCCGGGCCCTGACACTGAGCCAGCAGTATGGAAATGGTCAGATTGTGGAGTCGGAGGTGACGATCGCGCATGGGAGTGATGGGTCCAAGACGGGCGGGTCTGCCGGCTCGGGCGGAGGGCCCAGTGGGAGGACAAGGACGAGGAGCTCGCCGCGGAGTGGGGACGCCATGGTGCAGCATGACTCTATCTGGTAACGGCGTTGGTGAGCCGGTGGTACGGGAGCACCTGGCACCCGGCCTCCTCGCATCGGAGTCCACGAGTTCTTTCTATATCCGATTTCTATATCCGGATCGGCATGGAGCAGTGTTTTGGCCGGCCTTTTTTTTTGTCTTTTCTTTTCTTTTTTTTAAACAGGCGTTGTAGGCTTGGACTCGGTGTTGAAGCGTTTCTTGGTTACTCAGATCGAGCCCGGGGGTCTTGTAGGCCCAGAAGGGAGGCTTTGTTCAGATTGGTAGTAATTCCCTTCGAGGCGGCCCAATTTCATCATGTTGAAAATCACCCGAAATTACTTTTGCTGAAATGCCACAAATTACGCTCGATTGATCGCAGACCAACCAAACAGCCCATCCATTGCATTGTATGTGGAGGGGAAATTTTATTCGGTTGAAAAAGTCAGTTGCATTGCATGTACATGTGAAGAATTGATTCCAAGGTTTGTTACTTCAATGTTAGTATCTAGGTACTTAAGTACATTGATTTAGTAGGAAAGGCACTTCGGTAAAAGTGGACATCTGCACGGTTGGTGGGGGTCCTGTCCTTACGGAGGTACAGTCGCCAATAACCAGGGTTAGGTCTAGTATCAACCGCGAAGAGTGACATCACCAGGGACATGCCTGGGACACGACTTCAGAGACCTGGCACGAGACCAAGACATTCCGGTTCTGAACAGTAACCGCAAGGAGACAAAAGTTTGACCATGTACGCACCATTCAGCATCGGATAGTCCAAACGCCAACACAAAAGCCGTGGACCACGCCTTCTGCTCCGCGGCCCTCGATCCCAGGAAGTCTGATCAACCCCGACGCTCCCGGCAGGTTGGCTCGCCCACCTGCTTCCCTGGCATTTCGAGTTCTGACCATTTCCCAGATGCCGAAGTACCCAATCGTACTCGCCCATGGCCTCCTGGGCTTCGCAGAGCTGAAGCTCGCTTGGAACTACCTTCCCCCGATCCACTACTGGCATGGCATCAAGGAGGCCCTGACAGCGAACGGTGCCGAGGTCATCACGGCCACGGTCCCGCCCACGGGAAGCATCGAGGAGCGCTCTGCCAAGCTTCGCGAGAACATCCTGCGAGACTCTCACGGGCGGCCGGTCAACATCATTGCCCATTCTATGGGCGGCCTGGACGCGAGGTATATGATCAGCTATGCTCATAGGCGGCGCGGCCAGCGAGGTGAGAAGCAGGCGCCCTCGAACGATGTCAACGTGCGGTCGCTGGTCACCATCGCCACCCCTCACCACGGCTCTGCCTACGCGGACTACCTCTTCGATCAGATAGGTCCGGACCGCCTGCCTGGGGTCTACGAGGCGTGGAAGCGCACGACGGGGCTCGGTACCGGAGCCTTTTCGCAACTCACCCGCAAGTACATGTCAGAGGAGTTCAACCCAAGGACACCTGACGACCCAGATGTACGATACTTCTCGTACGGCGCAGCCCTGAACCAGAAGCCACCACTCCTCAGTCCATTCCGGGCATCCTTCAACGTGCTAAGCAGGGAGGAAGGGTTAAATGATGGACTGGTCAGCGTGGAGAGCGCCAAATGGGGGACGTACAAGGGCACGCTGGAGAATGTCAGCCATCTTGATCTGATCAACTGGACGAATAGGGTCAGGTGGGCGATGAGGAGACTAACGGGAGAGAAGAATCCGTACGTCAGCCCGCGCACCCCCCCCCCCCCACCTCCAGCTGCGCATCACTTACTTGCGCGCCACGCTAACCATTGACGGTTTGAAGCTTCAATGCCACCGCTTTCTATGTTAAGATCGCGGAAATGCTCAAAGAAGAAGGGTTATAGAGGAGCACGCAGTGTTCATATGGTAATAGACTAATACCCAATTTTCATACTTATGGGCAGACCATAACCTACGTGGCTCCGCGATCTCAAGCAGCAGAGAACCAGATGCCCATATCATTCAGGCCATGTCGTTATTTAATGTTGGTCACAAATCGATGCCAAACAACCCAGGGCCATCACAGATCAGGGTCGGTCAGGTTGTTGCAACTAATGTGCATTTTCCAGATGACATTATCCCCAAACAATACACACAACCTCTATCTTATACGACTCCTGACAATGTCTTCATTCCTTTTCGCAACCCCATCCAGGCAACTGCTCGCCATATCGAAACCGGCCTCAGTACTGGTCTACTCTCGAAAAACGGGAGCACCACAGTCAGATCAAGACTGCTGTCCCTCGCCCCGGCCCTCAACCTTAGAAGAAGGGGACTGGGTCTTGCTAGCTAGAGGCTAGCCCTCGGTACTAGTCCCCGGGGGGGGCAGGTTGGCCTCGTCCACTTGGCGGAGCTTTTGCATGGCGGTCGGGTCGTCAGCGGGCAGCGCGGAAAGGTGCCGCCAGGGGCTCAATTACGAAATGCATTCAGATCATGTATCATAGCTGACTGATAATTTGGCAAGCGGCAATAAAGTCGCGGGTGTCATATCATCTGGTCTGCTCTCTTATCTTATAATTAATATCCTGGCCCATCGCCAACTGTGATTATAACCACCCTGGTGTTCTCTCTTTGTCAGGCTAAGTTGTAGTCTCCGGTTGTTATGGGTTTGTCTTATTTGATCATATTCTGGTTTTCAGGCACAATTAAATAAAAGTCTGCCTGCCTAACAGAAGGAAGGAAAAGGTAGCGAAGCCAAGGAAGAACTTTGGTACTTACCAAGGTAAGCACTCAGCTCCATACTAACAAAATATTGAATGGCACGCTACTGTATATTCTGGTGAGATATCTCCATAGTGTAACCAGTTTCGCTTCTATGCTGTGTAAGTCCAACGACATACATGGCGCGTTCATAATGTAAAATACTACACATGACATCCGAAGTTTCCTCAAAATGGAAAGGATGGGGGGGGTAGAGATCAAACCTCTTGCTCTCATGTAATCTTTCAAGATTGGCTTACGGAATCTGCTGGCGCTTGTCACACTGCGATATTTACTCACATTCGGAAGCGCATCTTTTGATTTTCAAGGCACACAAGTGTAGACTTTTAAAGTTGACCTCGGGAGGTAGTTGCTGATATTTCCACTGTTGTTCCCACCGCATCATGTGGTTTATCATGGTACAGATCAGAAGCCGGGTAATATGGTACATGTACCAGGTGACATGAGCCAAATATTCACGATTCTCTTCCTCATCCAGACCGCCTCCAGCTCATAGTGCTGCCTTGCCCCTGGACTCAAAAGGCAGTAGCAGAACTAACAGACCCGCTGATATAAACAATGCGCCCGACGTATACACCGGTGCGGCAGTGTCTAAATTGGCAAACATTGCGATAATCGGCGCCATGATACCAAAGATGCGGTTGCTGGTAGCAGTCAAGGCATTTCCTGTGCCCCTCTGAGGTGTCGGGAAGAGCTCCGGAGTGAAACCATATAGAACGGCATACATTATGTTGCTCGCGAAGTTCCAGACACAGTTCCAGGCGAGAAGAGTGTTGGAGCTCAGAGCCGTGGTGCTCCCATATAAAAACACACCCGTGAGGACTGTGCTCAGGCTGAGCGCGCCTTTCCGGCCGAACTTGGGCAACTCCACTAGCAGACCGCCTAGCAGGGCACCCGGGACCCCCAACACCGCTATGATAAGGCTGTTGCGGTATGTGATATACGTTGAGCCGTCACCAAAGTCCACGCCCCTCGTTGCCTGTATATAGGGCAGGAAAGCGTTGTAGAGGGGATAGCCCAGGCCGACGAAGGCCCAGACCGCCATTATTATGCCCGTGGAAAGCGCCATCTTTCGCGTTCCGAAGAGCGGCCTGACTCGGCTCAGGCTGACATTTTCCAGGCGTCGTTTGACCGCGGTCGAGGCGCTGGTCTGGGGCACGTAGCCCTGAGGCTCGCAGGCCTTCAGGTCATGGATGGTCAAGGTGCATGCTTCCGAGCGCCCGTTTCGCCGGGCCACCTCGTGCACGATCCGAACAGCTTCCTCGTCGAGCCCCTTTCCCATGAGATACTTGGGGCTTTCTAATGGCGACGTTAGTCCTGCTACAGAGCCTCATGCGTTGCATTCTGGAACACGCCAGAACATGGAAGACGGGGATCCGTGGCAGGTAAAAAGGGTGATGCTTACCGAAGATTGTAAAGCAGACGAACCTGATTGCGAACATGATCAAGGTAATAGCCCCCATTGTAATAACGAAATAACGCCATCCCATGTTCTTGGCGCGGGTGCAGACGTCATCCTGTTGGCATGTCAGGTTACCAAGCAAGGGCCAGGCGATGAGGGTGGCCACCACCTGGGCGATGGCCCAGTCGATGCTGAGAACGGTAAGGAGGTACTGGTGGCTCGCGGGAAGGAACTCCAGAAAGATGGCGCTGTCGACGGGCAGGTTGCCGCCGACGCCGAAGCTCCACAAGGCGGCGAAGACGCCGATGGCGGCAAAGTTTGGGGAGGCGGCCCCGATCATGCCCCAGACAGCCGCAGCGCCGAGGGTGGCGTTGAACCCGATCTTGCGCCCGAAGACGTCGCATCCGAAGCCCCAGAAGATGGCTCCAGCAAGAAGCCCGATGTTCTGTGAGAGACTGAGCAGGGGCGGTCGAGATGCGCTGAACTCGTTCGAGACTGGCGTGAGGATGAGTGAAGTGACGATAGGCCACAGGTTGTCCGATGCCCAACCGAAGCCTACCACGATGAAGAGCTGCCTTTTGACTTGTCAGTGGTTTTTCTTTTTTCCTCTCGACTTCTTCCCCCCCCCCCCTTGTTGAATTCAGGAGCTTTGGGGTTGCCCACCATTGGTACCATCCCATGCCGATGTCCTGGATCTTTCTCGCACACGGGCATGGTTAGTCTCGGCAGTGCCTGGCCAGCCTGGGGCACAGACTCCCAACTCACAGCTCGGTTCAGGACCCTGGCCTTTGCCTCGTACACAGGATCAATCTCTCCCTTGGGGATGGCAGCCTCATTGTCGCTGCCCGTGTTGTCCTGCAGGTACGTGGCCTCGGGCCCCTCAACCGCCTTCTTGTCGTCCATGTCGGTAGCGCGGTTCTTGTCAATGTCCGGCATTGCACCTGAGACTTTGGGTTGCTGTGGTTGAGGCAGATGTCAATCCTCTGGGGCTTTGACTTTTGAGTGGCGTTTGTGGTATCCCACAAGCATGTCTGTCTGGACAGCGACATTTTGTAAGAAGGACGTGATTGCCGTCTGCGCTGCGTCTGCTGATTTGCCCCCCCCCCCCCTCGATTGCTGCTGGTTGGGGTTGCATTAGCGCAAATGTGCAAACGCACTGTGGTTTGCCTTTTCGGTCACCACAACATTACCTAGGTGCGTACTTGAGTAGGTAGTGGCATTGTTTCATCCCTGCTAAATATCGCGCCATTGCACTGGCCCAATGCCTGAGGCTCTCCCCAGCCTCTGTAAGACCTCAACCCAACGAATGTCTCAGCTACCCTGGCAGATCCATCAGCTCGACTACTTCCGGACAGGCTGGACTTGTCCGAGCGTTGGACAGACAATCTTGCCCGCTATCCGAATGAGGCATGATGCCTGCAGGTCAGACATTACTAGGGAGTAATCGACAAGCCATCAATGATACAACCACGACTGGACAAAACGGAAGTGTTTCTTCCATGGCGGTTACGCTGCTGCTGGAAGGTCCTCAGGTTTCTGATAAAAGTACACAAGAAATGCAACCTTCTCCTGTCTGGGTCCAGCTGAAACTCATAATTATGATCAGCTGTATAAATGGTTTGCGGAGGCACCTTGGTAAGGAACCGCGATCATTGGCGTCTTTTCATGCCTTAATCAGAGGTCTACAGGTATTTTACTGGTTCAACCTGTTCATACGATCTAGGACAAGATAAGATTCTACCAATGTCGTCCCCCGGCCAATCCACATTTCATGAGTCCATGTTTCTGGTGTTATAGGTAGTGTCTACACTATTATTTTCGATTCAACTTGTGCGTGCTTGAACAGGACGGTAATGATGAGTACTTAAGTAACTACCATAGGGCTCCATATAGGGCTTCTGCAGACCGTTTTCAAGCCATTACTGTTATGGCCGCATCGGGCTGGGGGCTGAGGTGGGCGACTGGGCGCACGGGCCACCTGCAGCCTCTGAGGCCCTAAGCTCTTCTGACGTTGGAACCCTTAATAAAGGCTTCCTTCCTCCCTTCCTCTCTTTCTTAGACAGACCAGGTATTATTCGAAATTCTACGATTTTGAGCAAGACTTAAGAGCTTCGCCTCTCCTATGTCCCTCCCGTGACAATTACGGGCTGGGGAGTAAGTAAACTAGAAGGCACGACTTCCCTTTTTAAAAGATCTTTTTTAGGAACAGATAGTCTTAAAAGAAAGAAGTCCTTAAAACCTAACTTAAGCCTACACTTTAATATTAGAAGTAGCTAACAAAGGTTTCTTTTCAAGTATTTCTAAATATATTCCTTATTAATTTAAACTCTAAGATATATTTCTATTTATTCTATTTACTTTTTAACTAGTTTTACTTTTATTTTATATATATTTAAAGATATATATAAAGTCTTTATATAGTAACTTACTTTTAAACTTCTTATTTAACTTCTTTTATTTATTTATTTAAAAAGAGTATTTTAAGTGTTTATATATATAAAAGAAGTTTTTTAAAAAAGAAAGTATAATAGTATAATATTATTAAGCTTTATATACTACTTAACCTTTTAAATATTAACTTAAAATTCTAATCTTTTAATTAAACGGTCTTTTTTTTAAGTAGTAATAGGATTTATATTAATTTTAAGTTATATAATAAGGGTTCGAACCCTTTTATTAGAAAATTATTTAGGATTTTTAATTAGAGATATTTTTAAAAGGTTTAAAGTAATATTTAAAGTATAGGAAACCTTTATTTAATAAATGATTAAGAAGTAAATAACTTATTTATCTTATAGCTTAATTTATTCCGTCTAATTTTTAAGCTACTTATAAGGTATAATATACTTTTAAAGTGTTTAAAGCTTTATAAAAGCTTTAAAGAAAGTAATATAATAGTATAATATTATTAAGTCTTATATATTATTTAACTTTTTAAGTATTAATTTAAAATTCTAGTTTTTAATTAAGTAATTCTTTTATAAATAATAGTAGAATTTATATTAAAAGGCTTTAAATAAACCTTTTAATTTTTATTATCTTTTATTTAAAATAATATATTTATATTATTTAATAATAATAATTAATTTATAATAAGTTTAAATTTACTTTAAAGTTTAAAAGTATAAACTAATAATTATTTTTAAAAACTTTATAAAAAGTGTTATAATAAATATTTATAACTATATTATATTAATAATAATTTAATTAAACTTATTAGGTTATTATTTCATTAATAAAGAAAAAAATTAGTAATTAATTACCTCCTTTAATGTGCATTATTTATATTAATAGCTTCCTAAGTTACTAGTATGCCTATGCATAACTTAATAGCCTTATATGTAATGTTGGAAATTTTGCTAACTTTAGAATGTCAAAGATGTCGGCGCATCTGTCCCAAAGAATCGGGGGAAAAAGTGAAAAAAAATATGAAAAAGAACACTGTGTGACTACGATGAGAGCCGACAATTGTAGGACGCGAATACCGCACCTAGGTACTGATGGCGACGGGGTTGTGATGTCCGAACAGCGATGTCCGAACACCGCTGAATACACCATTCCGCCCCTCTTTCCAACTCCGTAGAATGTGTAGAGTGATTACATTGTCAGCTTTTGAGACGCTCCTTTTGGAACTAGAGTCCCCTAGCGGCCCCGCGCAGGAACAACACGGCCACTGCTGCAGATAAGGTAGAATTACAAACCTGGGTATGTACTAAGTACTCACTTGCTCGTGTGTGAATCATTGTGACGCTGTATAAATACCCACTGCAAGGTTGTTATGTTACAACAGGCTTGGGTCGGGTAGATATATTGAGTCCCATGAGTGAAACACACAACCCAGAAGACAAATAAGTGCTTGAGACCGCCATCAACAACAGCAGCACTTGAGAGCAGCATTTATTAGCAATTACCACCATGGTGCAGGAAAGCTACCGCGGATTGGAATGGCAGAGGCGGAATTACCCGCTTCTCAGCCTGGAAGAAGCGAACGAGGTTCTGCGCAGAAGTGAGATGTCTCGGAATCCGGACATTCAGGGCTCTGTCCCTGTCACCCGCTTCGACACCCTGAGGCTCGAGGCGACAAGCCCATGCCAGGACAATTACACTTACGAGACCGCTCATGTCGGCACGGGCTCGCCATGGCATTTCTGGGGGGTCTTTGACGGCCATGCGTGAGTCCAACCTCAACTGATATTGGTAGATGCATCATTGACCTTTCCTGCTCGGCAGCGGCCACCAGACTTCGACTGTGCTCAGCCAGGCGCTCGTCTCGTACGTGGCACGAGAACTCAGGCAGGCAGACAAGGCCGACCCAGCCAGCATCGACAAAGCCATCACGCAAGGATTCGTCAAGCTCGACGACGACATCATCAGGGGGGCTCTGGAGTCCGTGACCAGCGGGGAGACCCGCCCGCGCGCAGAGGTCATCGCCGACATCGCCCCAGCAATCTCAGGCTCTATGGCCGTGCTCGGTGTCTACGACCCGGCCACGTCTGCACTCCGCGTTGCGTCCGTCGGGGACTCACAGGCCGTCCTGGGCGTGTACAAAGGCCCAAGTCCAGATGGCGACCCGTCTCGGCCGACATGGATGGCAGCCCCCCTATCCACCCCCCAGACGCCCGACCGCCCGGACGAGCTCGCCAGCATCCACGACAAGCACCCGGGGGAGCCCGACGCGGACCTGTTCACCCCGGACGGGAGACGCCTGCTCGGCCTGCCCGTCACCAGGGCCTTTGGTGACCACAGGTGGAAATGGCCCGAGGACGCGGTCACGGCGGCACACAAGAAATACTACGCGCCTCCTGGCCGCCCGAATGCGAAGACCCCGCCGTATCTCTCGGCCGAGCCTGAGATCGCCACCGCAACAGTCAAGGCGGGTGACTTTGCCATTCTCGCCACGGGTAAGTGCGCCAGCAATCAAGGTGACCCGTCACAAGACTGACTGACCTGAACACCCCAGACGGCCTGTGGGACACCCTGTCTCCAGACATCGCAGTCCAGTGCCTACAGATGTGGTGCCACGACGGCAGGCTTAACGGCCCCCGTGAGCATCAGGGCACTGCCCAAGACCAGGAGCCAGAGAGCGTAGAGTCCGTGCCTGTTTTCCCCGCCCGCGACGACGAGGCCCCGACGAGGGTGGGCTCTGCTTGGGAGTGGAGGGCCCGGCCCGAGGACCTTGTCGTCCAAGACGACAACGCCGCCACCCACCTTGCGCGGAACGCCCTTGGTGGCAAGCGGAGGGAGCAGTTCTGTACGATCCTGGGGGTGCTGGACCCCCACAAGGACGATGCGCACGACGATACCACGGTCCAGGTTCTGTTCTTTGGCGATAGGGAGTCTCACCGAGTCCAGAACTGAATTTTGCCGTCTCCGCGCCTGGGCAAGGATGAATGAGAACGAAATCTGTATCCTGCATGAATATTATTTATGTATCTCATATTATCATAACGTGTCGCATCATTGATATACACATGGGAGGCGGTAGACTTCGTATCTAACTGAACCAACAATGTCCACTTCCTCGTCTAGAACACATCAGACATGGTCTCTTGAGTTTGGCACATCTAGTGCCAGGTGGTTGGACCGAAGAATGATCCATCGTCGGCGACCGTCTTCGTTACTGCAGTGCCTTCCGCATCAAGGTTGTTTTGCCACACAGTGTTACCCCACCAGTCGGGGAATGACGCGCCGCTGAGCCCAAGGGCCAGCGCAGAGACAACGATGCATAGCGCCGTGCCAATATCGAGAGCACCGGACAGGACATAGTTGTATCGGGCTATCGTCGACATGTCAGTCAGCCACAGTTTCCTCTACGCTTTTTTGCATTGAAGGCAGGGAAAAACTTACTCCACCAGCCAAAATAGGCTCTCCGAATAAAATAGTTGAAGATGAGCCCCACGATAACCCATTGTCCCAGGTACCAGCAAGTGGCCGGCGGGATCTGTCCGGCGGCACCGAAGATGGACGGGAAGAACAGGTATCGCAAGATGCCACGCGGGAATCGACGAGCCACGAAATATTGGATCACAGGCAGGGCTGCTCCAATCAACCAGAAATAGTTGGTCCAACTGTAAAGAGCCCCCGAGCTGAACATCCTCTTTGGGCCGACGACACCCCAGATGACTGAGGCATTGAAGAAGGTCTTCGCATTGGGACATGTGATGCCTTGCTTCTGATCGGATGTACAGACTCCTTCGATGTTGCCTCGGAGGAAGTTGTAAGTGGCAATTTGCACAATGCTAAGCCACACCACAGCGAAGAACTGAGCGTAGAACATGGTGCGCGGCGGGATCTTCATATAATGGCCAATCTTCATGTCAGAGACGTACGTCAAGCCGTTGTAGGCCATCATGTAGCCCCAACTCTTGAACAGCATCATGGCCACGGGTCTGCCTGGCTGCATGTACCCTATGATCAGCTCGGTGATGACGTTCAGGCCCGTTTGGCTGTTTGTGATGGCTTGTATAATGCCGACGGGAAGGATGAGCACGACGCCGATCAGGACACAGATGATGTAAGCCCACCAGGCGAGGTGAGTCTCCCACACCTGGGAAGCGATCATGCCGAACGCGAAAGAGACGAGGAAGACGCTGGCAAACCACCACTCAGGTGCCTCGCGATACTTCCTCATCATCTTCAGGTGGACATCTGCTTCCTCGTGCGAGGCAGATCGGGTGCGAGACCAGATGTCCTTTCCGTAAAAGAGACCGACGTGAACGACGGTCGAGGCCAAAGCGGCGAAGGACATTCCGTAGGTCAACGAGAATGCAGGCCCAAGCATAAGGGGGGAGTACTCCTCGTACTTCGTCTGGTTGAATGTGAAGTCTGGGTTAAGGATCCTGCTCGTGTTGTACGGCGCGCCAAAGTGATCAAAGTTTCCGTTCGCACTGATGGGTAAGTACTTGTAAAAGTCAGGGCCGGCATAGGCCAGTCCGATCGAGCCCAGCATCATCAGGAGGATACCAATGCCGACGTTGAAGATGGCGAAAGCGGGAGTTTGCAAGGGCGACAGCAAGAAGCCGGTGATGATGTTCCAATCAAACGAGAGCGGGATCAACCCCACGCCAGTCTGACCACCGAGGAGTTGATTGACCAGTACATTATTCGGTGCGATCCACGTCGCAAACGTAAAGACTTGAAGGAATGTAGCCATTACCTGCGGGATCCTGCAGCGCAGAGACAAAGTCAGCCATCACGAAACCATCATGATCGGGGTCTCACATCTGAACATGGGGGCCGATCGTACCATTCATAGCAGAAAGTTCCAAACGCCACAATGAGGAAGAACTTGTAACGACCAATTCTCCAGCCATTAGCCTGCGAGGGATCTGAAGGCCTGTGGTCATGAAGGGTGTTCATGACAGTGGTGAAGATGAGGGTCGCGGGCCAGACCATGGCAGAAGGCCAGACCAAAAACCTCCTCATGACACCAGCGAGGCCGAAGCCCATAGCTTGTGTCGACAGGATGAGCAAGATCTGGAAGCCCCAGCCGAAATGCTGCTTGTAGAAGATCTCCTGGGCGAGCAGGATATCGAGGGCGTATGAGAGGGCCGAGCCAGCAGCGGTCATGATAACAATGACAGTGTGCTCCTTCATGTTGAAGGGAGCCTCGGGATTGAATTCAAGGTGCTGGCCGAAGAGACGGAACTTCCAGTTGGGCATGCTCGCGTGCCAGCCTTTGCCCATGGGGTAGGCGATCAGCTGCACGACAACGGGTGATATGGTGACGGGCGCACGGCGCATGTTCAGTAGGACGTTGCAGGCAGTGACAACAGTACAGGTGATGAGACCGATAGTCCAGGCGCGAATGGTGTTGACGGGCGTCTCGGGGTCATCAAATGGCTTCACCGAGGCCCTGACCTCGGCGTACGGCGAGTCCTCAACCAGTAGCGAGGCCTCGACCGCAGCCTCTTTCTCCAAATCTCCGGTGCGCAGTACCTAATCGTGGCCGGCATGTTAGAAGATGCGTGTTCGCTTCTGTGAACCCCTCCCCTCGCTTGTGTTACACACCTGGTCAGCAGCGTCAAGCTTTTCAACTTCCATGAAAGGATCCCACTTGTGAAGCTTCTTAAACTTCTTGAGATCAGCCTCAGGGTTGATGTCGATGGGCTGGTCTTCTGGGGAGACATCCTGTCCGGTGGAAACGCCCTCGGACACGGGTGCATCCGAGGCCTTTCCACGGAAGGAGAAGCCCATGGTGGGTGGAATGTTGTGTTTGACGGGTTTGGTGTGTCGGTGTGTGGTTGGGGCTGAACACTTGAAGTTGATCAGACCTGGCTGACTGCCTGGGCACAACCGTGCTGGAGGGATGAAGGGAAGGAGTAAACCATCTGGGGCGCGTGGCAGCGGGTGGGGATGGAGCAGAGTGTGGCGGCATGATATATCTGCCACTGTCTGCTCGCTCACTCACCACTGACTGAGACCCCAATGCAACGTGAGACTGCTCACTGCCTTTCGATAGTAGGGTCCTTTTGCCCCCTCAAGCCCCTCTGCAGGGGGTGCGGGTGCGGAACCCGTGCGTGAGGGCAGTCAATCTTAGCGTTCGACGCTTGACTCCGAGCTTAATTACAACAATTGCAATGCAGCGGCGCCATTGGTGGCTCCACGCGGGCGGCCGGTTACCCAGGTCGACCTGGCCGGTTTCGTACGGAGCGACGGGGGACTGGAATTGGAGAAGGCACCCAAGGCACCGAGCTGAAGTCTAAGACTGGTTGCTGTTGGACGAGGCGATCCAGGCCATCTAGGCGAATTTCCAACCTGGAACTTTCCCATATAGGAAGGTCTACTATGTAGTAGGGTGGCGATCGGCCCTTGACCGGGACAGCGGCTAATACTCAGGCTCGACAACACGATGTCAAGATGTGTAGCAATCGGCCCATCAATGATGCCTCGGTTGTAACCTGTGTGGCCCCCTACCCCAGATGGTCAAGCGTGCCCACAGGGATACGATTTTGTACTGCCCACCCGTGTCAGCCGTGAACACCAGCAATCTCTCTGGATGGTCTTCTCTGGCCCGAATCCGTGTGCTCATTTATAAACTTTGTCTAGCACGGCTAGGGCTGATGCACGCTTTTGGCGCTGTTGAACTTTTGACGCGGGATTATGCCTGGCGGCTGTCGAGGGTCTGTCCTGGCGGTAGCGTTCGACGGGACGCTCGAACGATCCCGAGGTACGAGGGTTCAAACCAAGGCCCCGAGCACGGAGTATACTGGATACACTGTCAGGCTCTTTAGTCAACGTTCTTGGTCACACACACACCACCCAGATGCTCGACTTGAGATCTGTCGACGGCCGGCAAGATAAGACTGTGCTTGTGTAATTCAATCTTTCACAGCTGATCCTTCCAAGTGGCCTTCAAGTGCATTAATTCGCAATTGATGGGGTGTCATCGAGCCAAGAGGGACGGCCCCCTCGTCTCCAGAGCCAAGCCGTGCCAAGTGAAGCCACGCGACTCCCGGTTCGCCCAACGCGCTCGCTTTCAAGAACAAGCAACCCAAGCATTTGCTTGGGGCAAGAGACAAGCTTCAGCTTCAGTCTTGCCCGCCTTGTCCTTGGCTTGGCCTCTTTGAGCCGCAGGTGAAGGCCAAGTGGACAGGATCCTTTTCGCCCTCCTTGGTGGTACGAGGGAGCACTGGGGGAACGCGAGCCCGATCGACGCTATGAGCTCCAGAAGGCTTAGCTCGTCCTCTCTTGCCCCGCGCACGCCCAGGCCATCCCAGCTCACACCGTTGAGGCTTCTGACGGCTCCGGTGAGCTGCAGACGAACACATAACAGGGCTGAACCATCGCAGTGATAGCTCCGGGCTGTTCCCAGATCCAGGGACCCGACCGAGATTGATTCCAGCCGGGGGGCCAATGACTCGCACCCCAATAACGACGGCGTCGTGTGCTCTCACTTGGTCGTGAACCGTTCGCGCCGGTCATTCCGACCTTCCCAATGTGGCGGTTGGAAAAGAAGACTTCAAGCTTGCCACACGTGCAGTGCAAACACACCTGGGCACTTGTTAGGGCATGCGCTCGTGGCCCTTTCCAAGCAAACCGGTCACCACCGGGGAGGAATGTAGCGGTGATGAGGATGAGTTGTGTCCATCAGTGATCCTGAACTGGGCACCTGCTGGGTCGACGTCTGGCGCTGACCTCACGTGACACCTGAAGCGGGAGGATCATTGGCAGTACCGAGTGCTGTGAGCAGTACTCAAGGTTCGTGTGGCGTGTGGCGGATGGGATTTAAGGTTGTTCTGCAAATGCATCACAAGGGCGGGGCTTGTGCTCGAAGGATCCTCGAAGGATTCGAGGCTCTTCCGAACTGACCCAGCGTCGAGGTAGAACAGAGGGAGAAGGCGCCCTAGAAGCAGGCGGCGGCGAGCTAGCTTCAAGTCTTGGCCCGCCAGATAGGACTGCGGTATCAAATGAAGCAGCACTGACAGCCAATAGCCGGCCCGACTCGGTGCACCCAGGCTCCTGCTTCATTCAAGGTTGATGACAGAAAGTTGCTCACTGCTCCATGGATGACCTGCATGCCCCATGTCTGGTCTGCCCGTTGGCTGATTGATCCTTCAAGATTGCTGCTGTCTGCGTTTGAGTCCTGCTCGACTCCGTCGAGACACAAGTATGTGCCTCGCGAGGCTGACAGCGTTTTCATCAGTGTGCTGGGACTTGGAACAACCAGCTTCAGCTCTGCATCATGCAGCACTTGCTGTATACGTTCCGGGGGAATGGTCGCCATATAACACCACAACCAAATAGTCAGGGCCTTCTAGAACTACCCCGGCCAGATCACCGCGTCCAATTTGTCGTCTCGCCAGGGCCCCAGAAAATCGATTGGCGCGTGCGTTCAGCTCCCCGATGGTCAGCTCAGTGCTACCGAATACGAGGACAGTCTTGCGCGACTGTCTTGCCGCCGTCTGCTCAAGTAGCCGGTGGATGGAATGTCCCATCTTCGTAATATCACCATTGCCAGTGAGGTCAAATTTCCCAGCCGGAACTTGGTGGCCTTCTGCCGAGGGTACGCTTACGTTTGCGATAGTCCACAGCTGTTGTGAGAGTTTCAAGGTTGCATTATGCTCGTGGTTGTTCGTTTGGATGATTTTAAAGGGCTATAGTCGCACTGATTGTGTAAGCTTAGCAACCCATCACGAAGCAGACGTCAGCTGGTTCCTTGTTCACCTTCGGCCGGACTTAACTTCCTCCCGCTTGCAAGTATGGAAAGAAAAGCTGCCATAACTTTCCGTGGTGACCGAACAGGGCTCTATCAAACTCCATCCGCTTGGTCAGACAGACAAATGATCAGTTAAAGCTTCCGAAATTTTCAGTTAGAAACGAGGATCACTATCAGCAGTTTGCTATCCTGAGATAGCGTCAGCGTGACGATAATTCTTCCTGATTTAATAATAACTGCTGTGCAGGCCAAGGAACTCCGAATTTGCCGAAATGCTTCAGAAGACGAACCCCTCTCGGAGCACGAGTACTATCCCGCTGAATATCTACAAATGCTATCGAGCAGAATGTCTGTCACCCCTGTTTGGCCAACCATAACCGCTGTACTACCCGATCCCTAAAAGTTACCGTGCTATCATCGAAAAACCAGCCGAAAAGGCCCCTGTGGATCTTGCCTGCTGGATTCAAACAGAAAATCCATGGTTCGGTGTGCCACTACAACCTGGAAAGTACTTGGAAATGCGCCTTTCCATTCAGCAGGTCCGAGCAATTATTGTCCGAGCCGTAGCCAATTATAGCGGACCTGATCACTGTATACATTTAAGCTTCTTGTTAATTCCGTGAACAAGTCTTGATGTCAGCCTATGCAAAATCTTGATTTTCTACATCTAATGAACCAGAGCAATGCAAGATGATGATATGTTCTCCGATCCCAAATATGATTTGGACGTGATTTTAACGGATCAAGACCGACAGATTGCGGCATGGAAGCCACTGCTTGGGCGTTGCCGGAGCACCAGTTGACGTCGGTGGTCCCCAACACGGCTTGACGGACGGCAGCGATTTGCCATCTGATGGCAATGGTACTCAAAACGCAGTTCCATGTCCAGTTGTATTGGGCTTGAAAAAGCTTATAAAGGCTAGCAAATTCGTGGTTCTTGCTGCTCGACCCGACTCGCATGAATCCTGTGCTGCCGCGCTTGAAGAGCTCAGCCACCCTTTTACAAACACAAGCGTACTCGTATCAGCGACATCGAGTTCAACAATTTATATAGCGATCGACTTAATCTCAAAAACATCTTCGAATGCAGCCCTGCCGTTACAGCTTTCGGAATTGTGGACGACAAACTGGCCCTGAACCTTAAACCGCGGGGGCCGGCGTCGGTGCTATCCTTTACCAACGTGTGCAAGGAATCGGACAGCTTTTGTCAAGAGGATCCCGCCTTCAATGGAAAGAGGAAAGTTCTGCTTCAGGATATGTCTCGTCTCGATGCTATATCTCCACAGGACCATGGAGAAATGGAGGCATCATTACCCCCTTTTCTACACAAAAACATCATCACCGAGAGCTTTGAGCAGATTTCGGAGTTTAGCAAGAAAGGCGACCCTTTCGTCAACATATTCAGTGGCGGCTTTGATAGTACCTATCTGCTATTGAAACTCCAATAATTCGGCTACACAAATATTCACGCTGTCGTGAAGTCGCGGTTGATGTTTGAGGCCGCCATAGACAAGGACAGTCTCGTGAACCAAGCCCTCTATCTCGATTCTACGTTCAAGTATCTCGATAGCCGGGAGCGTTCTGTCAAAGAAGATGTCATACCAGCCGTACGCACTTACGCGAAGCATGTGGGCTTGTATCCAATCAGCAGTTCACTGAGCCGTCCGGCTATTGCTGGTTTGGTTCCAGACTCCGCCAAAGCCTTGGCCGCATGGTTGCTGCTTCGTACCGCAAACCTGTCCCAGAACAGTCTACAACGTCTCAACAACAATTCTCAGCCCTGCGCCAATACCGCAGAGTCTGGGGGCTCATGTGCCAAGTCAGTCATCTCGCGGGAGAGGAAAGTAGCAGAATTGGCGGCATGCGGATTGGCCATTACGTCCGATCGCAGGCTGAGCGGTGATGAGAATTTGTGGTGCCGGGAGTTCGAGAGCGGTCCGTTAGATGATCCCGAGAAGTTCTATATTCCGGAAGAGTTTTACAGATAGATTCGACGCTGTGAAGATCGAGCACCTCGAAAACTCACGGTCAGCTTTAAGGCAGTCTCGTCTCCATCAATGGTAATAGAAACCCCCTCATCAAGGCTATAGAGCTCTTGAACAAACGGGTCGAGAATTCGGCCACGGCCGATTTGTCGAGCTCGAGCCTGTCATGACCGATCACAAGGCTCTAGAAGTTGGCGAAGCTCCAGCGTCCGTAGATGCGCTCCGCCATCTCGAGGTCGCTACCTAGATACCAACACGCTAGATATAATATAACACCTAAAGTAAATATAGGTTTAAAACTTAATAGTTAGATAATAGAAGAGTAA